AAGGCATTCTGTTCTTTGCCAACTCAAGACCATGGTCTTGGATTTAGAGGAGCCGATTCTCCTCTAAATCTTCAAATACAAAAATACTTAATTGAGACCAAAAATTACAATACAAAAGTCATGGTCCGTGGTGAGCTGCCTGCCAGTAATCATGTTTGTCCTCCGAGTCTTGTCTGCAGGTGGGTGTGTCTGAAAGCAACCAGTTGCAGCTGATCCTGTCATCAAGGCCCAGGGGCTTTAAGGAGCAGTGTGACAACACACCATGCCGGATGATTACTCTGTTTGGGTAGCTCTAGCCACTTGACCTGCCTCAAGTTTGTTCATCTTGTTAGAAAACCTGTCGCCTGAAAGTTCAGACAATTCTCCCCTGTTCTCCTCCAGGTTTCCCACTCCATCTCCACAACCAGCTTGGATTCCTGCACTACAGCTCACACTGCTGTTCCCCTGTCCGTCCTCTCTCAGCCGCTCACCTGCCTTCACCAACACCCACACCTGCCTCACCTTTTTGGACAAACTGGACTTCGCTTTCTGGACCCCTTCAGCTCTCCCGGACCTGACCAAGCCCCCTCCTTGCCGCCCACCTCTACCGGAAACAGTAAGCTCCAATCTCAGCCAGTATCTCCATAGTCCTTCTGGAAACTCACTGTCTCCTCCCCCAGAACCCCACCTTGGAATCCTGCTACCAGTACGCAGCATCTTCAGTTCCCATTGCTACTCCTTTAGATCCTCATTTATAATAAATCCTTTTTTACACTCACCTGTTCTGTGTGTGATTCTGCATGTCGTGGGTCAAGAAACTGCCTCCCAGCATGACAATATGTAAAAAAATAAAAACAAATAGAAGAAAAAACATTGAAAAAAAATGGAGCGTTTTTCAAAAGTTGCAAAGCAACCAACAAAAGAGGACTCAACTCCTTCAGGAACTAAAGGGGGCATATAACTTTTTTCACCAAAATTATAATAGTCCTATGGTTGATACAAACTGTAATGGAGACCAGGGGTTCCATTCATTATGATTTGTTTCTGATTGAGTTACAGACAAAAGGTTTTGTTATTGAAGTTATTTATTTTTTGTTGGACATTTAAAACAGATTCTTTAGAAGCAGAGGGACTGGCCACCCTTCCTGTGTAAAAAGGAATGCTTGTTAAATGCATAGACTGTAAATACTGTAAATGTCAATTTGTGTTTAAGTTAATCTCAAGTTTCACTCACCTTTCTGGTGTTGTCTCCTCAGCAGGGCGGGGCAGCAAAGGGAAGTTGGTGTCCCAGGTGCTGCTTTTAAGCTGCTGGATCATACCACTTAAATAAGGAGGTGTGATTCTTGGAGGAGTTATGTGAAATCTAGTTTCTTTTGTTTGATTGAACTTGGATTTATTTAGTATAATTTGTATTTATGTAAATGTTTGGTACCATTTATTATTTTGGTAGTTGGGTTCTGTAAATATTATTTAGTTATTATTTCTTTGATTACCCCTCTTCTTGGTTTCTTCCAATCAGTCACTTAGGTATAAAAGGCAGTGAATGTTGGTGTTGGTGACAAACATGTTGCAATAAAGCCACCTCAACCTGATTTATTTGTTTGCCTCTCCTTCAAACCACGTGCCGCCGCCGGTCAAAACTGACACAAACCATGTTTATGAAGTTTGCACAAAATCCTACTCACACAAGGCAATTTCAGCAGTTTTATTCTTCAACATTCAAGATAATTTAGTCATTGCACAGGTGTACAACGACATTGTCTTTGTGCTCCCTAAATACAGCTTACGTAAGAGGTAGTAAAATTGCAAGACACACACACTCTCGCTCTCTCACACACAGCCGATTTAAAGTGTAAAAATGTAAAAGTATCATGTAAACATCGTGGTAATGAGACAAGTATAAACTACAAACTGAAATACAAAGTTAACATAATAAAAATGTGAACATGTTGAGGTATCAGGATTAACTAGCTTAATGCAAAGGTGCTGTAGTGCTTCTTGAAAGGCTCGATACCTTTTAGAATGAGCCGTATCAGGGCTCTGTCACTTTAAGAAAACCAGCTAGAGCTGGCCACATCATCTATCTTCCGCTCTGCTATAAGCTGAGAAGCTCTGAAATCCATAAGGGGCTTGGAGTAGAGTCGCTGTTCCACCAGCCTGGAGAGATGAGTGTCCCCACCAAAAAAACAGCTCATTTTTTCACTTAATTGCTGAAAACAAACACTGACAGAAAACTGATGTTTTATTTTCCATGCTTGGAGTGTTTAAAGAAGCAGTAGACCCACACGGCAGAACAAAAGGATGCAAAAGGTGAGTTTTGCATAATGCATCTCCTTCAATGAAGACTAGAATAATTAGCAAAACAGACACAAGCAAAATAAAAAAAGTGTAAAGTGAGTTAAATTACTATAAAGATCCCAAAATGACACAGAACCATAAATAAACTATGAACAGTGCCTGGAACTTTCTGCACATCTGTTGTCTATAATCACAGATACACAAGGCTGATTTTATTTCAGACAAATTCCACCGGATCATAGCTTTCCAAAAACAAAGTTAAAAGGTCAGTACAGCCGCTTAATCCAGTCCAAACATGATAGTTGTCCATGTCTCTCCTGCTTCCCCTTAAGCTTGACTTACTAACCTGAAAACCTCTCCATCCATCCCTCGATTCCAACCGAGCAATTTTAGGGACACTGATTATCCTGAAACCTGTGCATGTGCGACAGTAAATGCAGGGGCTTGGCTGGTAATTGACCAATCAATGACTGAGACGCCTGCCGTGTAATTGAACAGGGGTTGAGGGGCATTGTAGGACTGAAAGGGTCCGAGGGCTCCTCACTGCCCATTAGACCTGGCAGGGGGTCCACTGTTCCTGTGGACTTTCATCATGGAGCCCGCGGCGCACCGGGCCCTTCAATGCAGGACTGACACCTTTCAGAGGGTGGAGTAAGGGAGTGGCAGCGAGGCAGCTGTGAGGGGTTAAATATCACAGAGAACAAGATGAGCTGAAACCTAACAACTAAAACACAGACAGCATGATGCAAGCCTTTAAGAACCCAGGGAAGTTAAACTTGAAGGTCCCTACTACATCACCCACAATGCAATTCAGCTGCTGTGAAACAGATTCAGGTCTTGTGAATGGTTCAAGCTGTTAATTTTCAGACATTAAGAACTTTTCAGTTTTCTTATTTTCAAACTTATCAGTAGGGCTTAGGAGTAGGCCTGTGTGGTTCCTAAAGTCCACAACAACTTCCGCTGTCTTCTGGGCATTTAGCAACAGGTTGTTGTGGCTGCACCAGGACACCAGCCGTTTTACCTAGTTTCTGTAAGCAGACATCCCCGTAGATTAGTCCAATGACAGTGTTGTCGTCTGCAAACTTGATAAGCTTTACAGACTCGTGGTTGGAGGTGCAGCTGTTGGTGTACAGGGAGAGAACACAGCCCTGAGGGAAACTGGTGCTGATGGTCTGTAGGTCCAAGACATTCTTCCCCAGCCTCACTTGTTCATCAGGAAGGCAGTGATCCATCTGCAGAAGGGATCATGCCCGTTCATCTGGGACATTTTGTCTTGGAGGAGGTCTGGGAGGATTGGGTTGAAGGCAGAGCTGAAGTCAACAAACATGAATGATCCTGGCATACTCGGGCATTCAGATGCTGCAGGATCTAGTATATAGCCATGTTGATGGCATCATCTACAGAACTGTTGGCTCTGTAGGCAAACTCCCGGGGGTCCAGAAGGGGGGCTGTGAGTGTCTTGAGGTGGGGGGAGAACCAGGTGCTCAAATAACTTCGTGACCACAGATGTCAGAGCCACAGGTCTGTAGTCATTGAGAATTACTCTTGACATTTAAGCAACTAAGTCAGGTGGAACTAGCTATAAATTCAACATTTCATTTCTAAGAGTGAATACACACAAACATGACAAAAAAAAGTTTTCTGTCTGTTTTGAGGAATTATGTGGCTAAAAAAAGTGGTTTCAAAAGGTCCCCATTTGTGATGTCACAAATGGGGAAATTAGAATAGAACCACCTCTCATGTGCAAGAGTTGCTGCTGGAGGAGCAGCAACTCCACACTGAGATGAAAGTTACAAAGCCGTGAAATGGCTCATTGTGACAGGTACTGAAACTAATGACTAAAACAGCTTAAATTTCTTTGTGAGATTTTGAGCAAAGAACTTTATCAACATGTTTTTATTGACCTCAGAACTATAATAATGTAAATGTCTTCCTTTTATGTTTTGCACTTGCTGTTCACTTTTTTATCTTTTTACCTTTTCACAATACTTAGAAAAATATGTTTTTCTCAAAGCACTTCTGGAGAAAAGTTACAAATCTGCAGATTTCCATCTTAAAACATGACTGTTCCCAGGTATGTGAAAGTCACCTTGATGACAATATTTTTAGGTTTTAATATTCTTATTAATAGTCCTTGAATTTTAATGTTTTTTAAATGAGATCGAAACGTTTTTCAGAATAAGTTTCATGTGATTATTAGACCTTTTTTGCAGTTATGGCTGACTTATTCCTCTTTTTAAGGTCTGTGGATCATTGCTGGTTGAATAAGTCTGTCCTGTAATGTTTGCAAGCATTACCTTCATCCACAAGTGACCCAACACTAAAGAAAAATACAAAAATGAGTCTCAGCGTACCAAATATTTGTACACAATTATTTCCTCTACTGTCTAAATGTTGAGACCCCAGGCTGAGAAATGAAATAAACATACCAATTGGTTTTTCTTCCAACTGAGCTCAGCAGAAATAGCTTCTGCTCAGCTGGGCATTGGTAATCACTTAGGTCTGTTGCGCCCTCCATCTGCATATCATAAATAAGACACTGAATCTTCAAGGTTAGCAGGTACAGCCTTAAACAGGCAGGCATTAATAAACTGGATGTCTGCTTAAGACATGAACTGCTGCATCAATTACACCATCAGCAACTCATGCACATCAGTGTTTGCAACTAAACAAGTAAATAAGCATTGTAGCTTTAACAAATAAAAATTCAAGCAACAAGAAAACACAATTTACTTCTTTTATTCCAAACATTAGTTCATTATATTGAACTAAGGATGACTGCACTGCAAATAAAACACCTGCACACACGATTTTGTGCAGTGTTTTCTAAAACAGCTACAGAACTGATTCTATAAATACAACACATTTTATTTGATTCACTTCTTTTGATCAATTGGAGAGCAGTTGAACCTGGTGTTCTACAACCCCGATGCTATGACAACCTACAATAGACAAAAAGGCACAACTTTTTTACCCATCACAATGAAGTGCAACGGTTACGGTTTGGGGTCAGAAAAACCCTGCAGACGGCAATGCTCCCTCAACCTGTTGAGGAAAAACAGGTAATGAGACATTCAATAGATATTTTAAAGCACTTCTGCAAATCTTGAGAAATATCTTGGAGATTCAAGTGGTGCTAACCTGACAGCATTTATTCTGATGAATCCAGAGGCATCACACGGGTCATAGTCTCCTTGCACGTCCATGCTGGAATGACAAAAAAATAAAATAAAATTCAGTGTTCAAATTCCAGGTTAATGAAGGGCAAATCGCAAGAGAAATCAATAACTAAAAAGAGATTTGAGATTGCTGTAAAAATAAGCAACACAGAGCCTTCTCACCCGCTGGGATAAACTGAATCGCTGATGATCGGCTATTTGGAAATAATGTTCTGATTGATTTTCCTTTAAACGCACCTGCTTGGCACCTTTTGTACTAAGCGATGGAGAATCAATATAACAGAACATGTACAGAACCCCACCAAAGATCCTCAAAACTCTGATAAAAACAATCCCATCATATCAACTGTGAGCCATGTTGCTGAGATGATTTTTTAAATCTGATGTTTGCCTTCCAGTTTGCCCACTTCTTTTGTTAAATAAGTCCTGAATCTATAACTTTGTGTTGAACGCTGAAGCTGCTCTTTGTGCAAGAACCTTACAAAGAATGCCGTGTAATTACAGCAGTTTCTACCTGCAGTGTTTAATACACTCCCTTACCGAGTCTTTTCCTCCTTTTGACACCCCCAACTCCCGAGGTAGAGCTTGCGCTCATTCTTTAAAAGCATTTAGCAAAAGAGGAAATTGCCAACAAATGATAGGATAAACACTAAAAAAAGAAATGACGACAACTAAATCATCAACTCTCAATAAAAGGCTCCCTACCCGGCACCTGAACGCCATTATGAGTGAGCGGCCACAAAGAATTTGGCACTTTGTGTGTGTGTGTGTGTGTGTGTGTGTGTGTGTAAGCATGTGATTGTGTTTGCCTTTAAGAAACCCTGCAGTCTTAATTGAGAGTAAAGCTGGTCGAGAGCGAGGAGGGTGACATTTCTGTCTCAGATGGGTGCGGTGAGGGACTGTGTTACCACTGTGTTAATGACGCCATTTACTGTTGCCCGTGGCGAGCCAACAGGATGTCAGCAGGGGTTTCATGCCTAATCTGGTCAATGTGTGTATGTCTGTGTATACGTCTGACTCTAGCAGGATCTCACTCAGTGGTAATTAAGTGTGTGCTGCTTCAGGTGTATCGATGCCAGGTACGTATAAGTTATTGTCTAACAGAAACAGAAATGTTTTACTAATTCTCTTAATTTTTATTTAAAAAAATCACATACATACTGAAATAAATCAGAATTAGATATGTAGCAATTAATACATATTAATTATGACCAATAAGATGTGACATTCCATACAAATATGAAATATTAATCTGATTGATCTTTGAATGTTTAATCAGAAGATTCTAATGTTCTTTGCTTATTCAGGGACCATAAACACACTTCGTATTAATTCGGACAGAGTCAGGTATATAGTTTATAAAATGAATAATTATTTTTCCTAAACTAACAATTTGTACATGACAAGATATGTATTTCTAAGACTTCAGAGGCAAACTAAAAGCCACTTGAGAGGTTGAGTCGGGCCGGCGTGACGCGCTCTTTACAAACATCAGCTGCGATTCCAAACTTGCGTTTCCAAAAACTTTATTAAAGTAAATCCAATTAACTCGACAAATAACATGCTCAAAATCAAACAGTACAATTATCACAGCGATCAACTGACGGTCAGCAAAAATATGCGGCAACACGCTCAGCCACTCCTCCTTTTCCCATATTATCTGAGCAGGTGCTCGAGATGATGTTAAATCCCCACCCATGATCACCTGACCTGACACTGATCTCCGTTTACAACCAATAAACCCACCAAAAACACATCAATAAACATGTATATGTCTCCTATAATATGAATAATGAGATGTGGTGTGGTGGATGTGAGGTGATGTAATGGAAGCTAGATGTTGTAGCAACCGTTCTTTGTATCTGAGAGAAATTGTGAAATCTGGGTATAAAAGAATTTTTTGTTGTTTTAAACTAGAGAGTCGTTTATTAAAACAGCATCAGACGCAATCTGTCGTGCCAAGTCTACGCACCCTTGGTGTGGAGGTTCTCGCTCGATCCGGGGGGTCGATGGTCACTGCCGGTGGAGTGAACATCTGATATCAGGAACCCATAGATAGCTCCAATAAGATCCGTCCAGTCTGAGATCCCTTGAGGTGAAGGCAGGAAGCTGGGATGCTTATTTGAGTCTAAGGTTGATGTTTGCTTGGCTCTTAGAGAGCTGGTTGTCTGGTATCAGCCGCAGCATTGCAGAGAGGCTTTGACAGGAGGTCAAAGGAGAAGATGGTTTCGAAAGGCTTCTTTCCCGAATTGGCCGGTTCGAGGGTCAGCAAGAAACTGAATTACTCGGTAAGTAATTCTTGTTTTATTAAACTACTTTGTTATGATTTCTGACCAAGTTTGGCAAATCAGAATTTGACACGTTTCTGAGTAGATTTACCAACATCCCTCAGAAAGCCACGCCTTCTTGCAGATACAAAGACATTTTTAACCTTAATATGTATCTTATTGTAATGTGTATGAGTGTAAACAATGATTAACTTGTTAAATCAAACACATAGTGATTTGTGATATAATTGGATCATTGTATAAACAATAATCATTTCAAATTCATTGATTTAAGCACAGATTATTCAAACATTTGATTTAAACGTCTTGTTCATTCATCACATATGATTATTTAACTTATAACTATAACATCGTGGAGTCTTCACTCATTCAGAGTGAAGAATGCTGACGTCTGGCGTGAGTGCAAGTACCTAAGGTGAGAATGTTTGTTTGAATGTTTTGTTTTCATGGTATGTAAACACGCACTGCAGAACCTTCTGGGTTTGGAAGGCCAAATAGAAAGTGGATTTATTTCTGTAGATGAAAGGTCACTATGTTGGTCTATGTAGATGGTGAAAATTTTACCCTTTTGGACATTACAAATATTTGGTTAAAAGTACCAATAGATTTAAAAAAAACTTTTAGCTAGAACTTTAACATGGATCTCAGTGGTTGCTGTGCTAGAAACTTGACTAGTTTCATTTCTGACACCACTATGCAGCCCTCTGCTGACTAAAAACGGCACTTGATAGTTTATAGCAGGTAGGGGTTCTAGGAGCTCTTTACCTGCTTTATGGCAATTAGCTTTAATGCTAGAAGTTAGCATTTTCAGTTTGCCGACTGTCAATAAAAAGAAAAAGAAGTTTGCTTGTTTTGTTGGCATCAAGGCGGAGCCTGGAAGTAAAAGTAAGAGAGTAAAGTCTTTGTAGGCAAGGCAAAGAGCTAAAACTGGAGCAAACATTGGCACAGCTAACCCTAGTTAGAGGGAGCTAAGGCAACAAAATCAGACTGATTGTGACCTGGCTTTGTTCCTACTGACTTGTAAGTAATATGTTTTGTCCAACAATTGTGGATCTTTTAACTTTATGGTTTATTTAAGTATTAATTGGCTGATGTTAGTGTAAGCTCATTGTTAGTGCTAACTACAGCAGGCTGCAACAGGGTTGTTTATGACAGTTGTAATTCCACTTTCAACCAATAGAGCGGAGAAGCGGGAAACTGCTCAGTGTCACTTTAAAGATAAAGTTCAGATTATTTAGAGCGAGTTTCTGTTTTGAACAATCCCCATCTTACCTGGTGTAGCCAACTCTTTGCATGACCTCAGTTTAAGGAAAATGAGATGAGTTTAGATTGAGCAGAATAGCTAACGGCAAGTTAAAATTGGAACAGACTCCAAATGATAAAAAAAATTGCTGCAATCTAAAAGCCAGGTTAAGGTCAGTGTCATTAGAGTAGGCCTTCACTCGTTTTTCAATAACTCTGCAGTGGTCTGATGTTAAAATAAATAAATAAATATATAAATAAAACGCTTGCACTCCTATTTCTGGAAGGAGAAGTTAGCCGGAGGAGAGGGAGGTGCAAAACGGCAGGTTTTGAAGTCTGACTCATTAATATTCATGATTTTTGAACATCTCGCCTCTGATTGGCTAACAGCAATGCAACTGTTTCGCTGGCTTCTTTGCTCTGCAATGCTGATGTTCCATCACCTCAAATACCACAAGCCTGAATGTGTTCTGCCATGCTGTGGAGTTACCAATGCTAATCTTTAGCTTCTACTAGCTGAGATGTGCTCTGCTCTCTCATGGCTAAACACAACCTTCTCCATCAAGAGCCAACGTGAGTGAGTCCATGAAATGCAAATTTGCACAGTTTGCTTTGAATATTAGAATTTTAAATTGTTTTAAAGGTGAATAGCTGCTCGCTCTGACCAGTCTGATCAGAATTATTCAGTATTTTTCCACACAGAGGTGGCACAATTTAAGTGTCTCAGATGCAGATCTGGAAAAATATCTGACAAAACATCTTGAAAATGAAAACATTAATGAAAATGTTCTAAATGTACAAGTGAAACAAAAACAATCACAACATGGACTTATGGAGTAACAATCAGAGTAATCATTAAAAAATAACACCGTATTTATCACCTCTTTTGTGTTTTTCATCCCCTCCCATTCTGACCTGCTTAACACCCATGACACCCTGTTACTTTTCTCCTAAAAGCCCAGTGAAATCACCTCTGCTCGGGCTGAAGACACTATTAGCTCTCTCACTTTAGGGTACAACTGGAGTATGCGTGAGTGTGTGTGTGTGTGTGTGTGTGTTAAGCGGAGCTGGAGAGCCATATGGAGGGGTTTTCCTTTGGTCAGTGCTGAGCCTGCCCAGAGGGCATCAAGGGTCAGCCTTCTGAACAAACCCACTGTTACCGCCACTAAGAGGGCATTAGGGGGTTGGGGTGGGTGCCCTGCAGGGACTAAGTGCGACACTTCTCTGATGTCTTTGTGAGGCAGGGTCAGTCTAGTATGCTGATGCGGGGGTCATCGGGAACTTGAGCAAGCTGATCAGCGAACAAATGGAATAACTGCACTGTGTCCAGAGCAGCTCCCCACATCTGTCAGGCGCAAAAACACACACACACTTTGTCTTTATCTCACACACACACACACACACACACACACACACACACACACACACACACACACACACACACACACACACACACACACACACACACACACACACACACACACACACACACACACACACACACACACACACACACAAACACACACACACACACACACACACACACACGTGCAGCTCTTCCACGCTCTGTTTACCTGACCAGCTCCTCATTGTACAGAGACTTGGGTGACTCTCGTCCCAGGATGTAGACCTGACCCTTAAAAATGGACAGCTGGACTTTGCCCTCCACGTTCTCCTGGGACTTGGCTATGCAGTGGCGCACAAAGTCACACTCAGGACTGTACCAGAATCCTGTAACAGAGGAATGACTGTTGTGGGCTGTGTGGTGAAAATAAAATACAGGTTTGGGCTCACATTTGACTGAATTTTGTGTAAAACAATTCGTTATTTTGATTGCTGCTAGAGGGGAAAAGCTGTAAAGAATCAGAAAAGATGTAAATAATCCATAACAAATATTACATTAACAGAAAATACATAAAGCGAATGAGTTTTTAAAAAATCAACACCACCTATAAAACTTCTATGTAGGACAGTTTAAAGTAACACTAAATAGTTTTCTAAACTTCAAGCTACAGCTTTAAGATTGATCTCAGTGACTGCTGACTTAGAAACTTGACCAGTTTCATACTTGACACCAATCTGCAGCCCTCTTTGTGGCCAGATACTGCACTTTACAGTTTTGTGGAGTGGCTAGGTGCCCTATAGAGGGAGCTCTTTACCTGCTTTAACGCTGTCATATTAGCAGTTAGCTTTTTCAGTTTGCTGATCGTCAATAAAAAGCACAAGAAGAAAAAAAAAGTCTGCTTTTTGGTTGGCATCAGTGTGGAGCCTGGAAGTAAAAGTAAGAGAGTAATGTCTTTGGAGGTGAAGCAATAAGCTAAAACCAGAGTGAACTTCAGCATGGCCTACACTAGTTTGAGGGAGCTAAAGGAGGCTAAGAAAGGGTGACTGATGGTGACCTGGCTTTATTGCAACTGGACTTGTAAGTAATAATATTTTGTGTCCAACAGTGTTGCTCTTTTTACTTGGTGGTTTATTTTTGTATTAGCTGGCTCATGTTAGTGTTAGTTCTTTGTTAGCATTAGCTTGTTTACGACAGTTGTAATTCCATTTTAAACCAGTAGGGTGTAGGAGCAGGAAACTGCTTACTGTTAGCCTGGCAAGCCAGACTAAATAAATGTATTATTTAGTCTGGCCATGCTCCATTGACGGCTCTCGGTTGTGGGGCGGGTTCTACCGTTGTCTTTCAAATGATCTCCGCATTCCACTGGACAATGAATGTGACATACTCTTGTTTCACTCTGTTGCATCATCCCACCCACCAGGCATATAGAGTGCCCTGATTGGCCCACAAAGCGGATAAAGCTCTGTGATTTGTTCACTAAGCAGATAGAGCACTATGATTGGCCCACCATTATGGACCAATCACAGCTCTTTATGTGTTTGAAACCCCTCTAGAGAGCTGTGATTGGCCAGCCAGAGTCCTGATAGGAGCTGCTGAGGTTCCAGTGGAGCATGCCTAGACCATTCTTTGCAAAGCAAGAATTTGGTCTAGTTCACTAGGCTAGCTTACTGTTACTTTAAAGAGAAAAATCTAATATTAGAAGATTTTTTCTTTTTAATGAAAAAATTAAACATATTTGCTTTTGTGTGCATGTAAATATGCACAGCCTGTAGGTTTATTTATTATTTCCTGATGCACGAAAGCCATCAGACCTGTCTCCACACCAAAAAGATGATTTTCACTTTCAAATCTCATAACAATTTAATAATTCCATGCAGAAATTCTTTCGTATCTTCTGAACAAGCCTGTCGAGTACATGTTGATCAGGTTATACCGTCACAGGCAATAATGATAAACAGGCTCTACGTGAATCAGTAACTTATTTTAAAAGATGCATCCCAGTCTGTGTTCCAGGTGAAGTTTACGCATGCCTTCCTTTCTTCTCTTTCATTTAGCAGACCTGAACCTTCGTTCTCTGGGACAGATGGGGAGAGGGATGTGTCTATATGTGTTCAGAGGTCAGGCACACCCCACTCAGCAGGGGGTCCTCCTCTCATCAGCAGCTGACCTCCACCTCATCGTCTGGCCATGTTCAAAGACACTCCCCGGCTTTTATTCCTTCTGAATTGGCACAATGTGTTGGACGCGACAACTGATGGACTTCAGGGACATATTTTGGACTTTGAAATGAAAAAGTGGTTCAGGAAACATATTCTTTAGATCTTTTCTTTTTGGAGGGGTAGAAAACGACAAAAGAACACTTTCCAGTTGATATTTCAGTTTCAAGTTATATTTAAAAAAATTAACAGCTCAGAATCTATAATATGAATCATTAATTAGATCCCATATTTTACAGCATTAAAACAGACTTAAGAAGGTATTTGATGAGTTTTTTGTCTCAAATTACAGCATCTGAAAACTGTTTTGTGTAAATGCTGCTGTAAACAGATGCAGGACAGGTGGATTGTTAACATAAGCCCCACTACCAGTCGCCTACAATCTGCAGTTATTAATGATTTAAACCCACAATGGGTTTAATCTCTGCCCTGCTTCTGAAGGGAGCACCTTTGTGTCTCCTCGTCTCTGGAGGACAGAACGGAGGCGGCCTAGCAGTCGGCCTGTAATGGCACTGATCCTATTATGTGGATGAAGGTGCAGACGACTGGAGACTTGGCAGAAGGGGAGGATTAAGACACCTGAGCCAGGAAAAGCTCGCACACATGGGCAAACACACTGACCGTGTAGGGGGTTTGTGCACTTATCTGAGGCGTGTTTGCCTCTATCTTGTTTAAACGGGTAAATAGAATCAGTGCGGTTTGGCGTACAGCTGAGAGGAAACGTTTGAGGTAATTACCATTGTACACGAGTTCAGAGAACTTGACACCAAGTCCCTGTTTGATCCTACGTACTTCTTTGTCCATGGTGAACGTCTCGATGTCCAAGTGGGCCTTCAGGAGGACGGTGCCTCCTGGAGTTTCATATATGCCTGAAAAATAATCAGAAAGTAGAACAAAAAATGCTTAAACACAAAATAAAAGTCTAAATTGTAAGTTGTATATTAAAAACATCTTAAAAAATTCATTATTTTAATAATCAGCCTGGTAAACTTTCTACTCATTTTATAATGTGGCACTGTAATGACTTGAAAGCCATTTTCAGAAGCATAAACCCGTTTAACTGCATCAAACAGCCCGATTAGTCATTAGCAAGGTGACAGACAGGCCGTCACGACGCTCACAAAACAGGAACGAGGCTGTCCAGGGTAAATGACAGGTTAGGAGGCCCCTGCCAGCCTGGATTCTGGACCAGGGCTCAGCCTACCCTGCAATTTACCCCCTCTGGAAAAGGGAGGGAGGGGAGATGGAAGAAAAGATGAGGTGCATGACGGCAGAAATGAAGCTGTCACTTAAATGTCAGCTAAAAACAAAAGAGCAGGGGGAATGCTGCTAAGGACAAATCTTGAGAAAGTGGGTGCAGTTTCAGATCTTCTGACAAAAAAGTAAAGCTATGGTGTATTCTTGGAGATTTAAGAGATGGCTGCACTTTAATCTCTTTTAACCCGCTCAAGACTGAATAACCCCTGAAAACATCACCTTTGGTCCTGATCTGTAAATGTGCTGACGGGCAAAAACCCAGAGCTTAGCGACACAACTGAAAGTCTAAAGCTTCAAAAGATCGTCACCTGAGCTGGAACGGCTCGGGCCTCATGTGCAGGGACACTTCCTTTGGCTCCATCAGATAAATGGTTAAAACTACCCTCCAACACAACTTGGCTTAAGTGCTGTAGAACAGACTGGAGCCCATAATTGGCCGACCTCTGGTTAAGCTTCAACACTTTAGCTAGGCTTAAGAAGACCTGACCCTCAGTAGTTTTAGAGGTTTCACTCGATCCTGCGCTAGCCCTGCTGCACGCCTGCAGGATGTAACGCTTCCTGGGCTGATCCCATTCGACATCTTTGGGCTAAACAAGAACATAATCAGGCTGCGCATGTAAATAAAGAAATGAAAATAAAAAATACCCATTATAAAAGCTTTTGACAACTCATTTTAAGTTTCACAGCGGTTTGACATGTTCATCGACAGATGAAGCTATTTCCGAGGCCATCGGCAGAGCACAAGTCAGAGGTCTGACAGCGTGGTGACAGGTGGGAAATATTAGTCTGGTGCACAGGTTGTCCCGTGTTTTGTGGCACAGTGACAACATTCTTGACGAACCATTTCAGTCCCACCCGCCTCCTCGACCTCACGCTGATAAACACGACCCAACACAAATAAGTATGACATGTCCCCCTGCTCTTTCCCTCCCATCATCTATTGTGCCAACGCCACTGCTGCTGCAGGAGAGGCCAGCGCATCCAATCCATGGTAGTTATTCAACCATTTGGCCACCTTGTGCTCCACCTCTTCGCGTTGTTTCGAAGACAGGAAACAGCTTTGATCTTTTGTTCATCCGAGGGTAGAGAAAAGTGGGCTACCCATTTTCCAATTTCTACCTGCCAAGTTGCGCCGCAGCTACAGTCCGCCGGCCGGTCAATTTGCCAATCATAGCACATACAGTTGTGGGTGGGGGGAGAAGTGTGTGTAGTTGTAGTTACGTCTTGCACGGCCAGGACCGCACGCTGGCCTCGTACGTTCACTGTAACACATGCAGACCCCTAACAAAGGAGCTTTTCAAGCTGCCTGTTGATGCCAAAGATAAACAGACAAAAACATCCTGCGCACCTTCATCTCCTTTCTAGAAAACTGTTTGGATTTTGTTTGCAAAAGTGAATAAAAGTAACTCCAATATCTTGATTCTGGGTAAACCAGAGGGAAACATCCTCCAGAAGCAACGGAGTGAGACATTTAAGGCACTCATGTAAAATAACTGCAAATTGCATGAAAGCCCTGGATGTTGAAAGGACAGCATTTGAAAGTGTGTAAAATTTAAATACACACACACACACACACACACACACACACACACACACACACACACACACACACACACACACACACTAGAATTTCTTACCTCGTGACTTCATGCCGATAAAGCGATTCTCTACAATGTCAATCCGACCCACTCCATGTTTTCCTCTAGGAGACAAAAGCAAGCTCAGTGGATACTTTTGTATGCTGGCTTTAGCTACACTCAGCTGAATCTCCCCGTGCATATCTGGTCTCTGATTTGACGTAGGAGCCTTATGTATAGGATCCTCTGAGTAGAAATGTTTTCTTTTACATTCTGGAAGTATTACAGGTGGGCAGCAGCGTTGCAGCACAGCTTATTTGTTACGTACTGTACCGTTTGATGGCGTTACACGTGTTACTTTGTGACGATGGTATTATCATAAGACCACTTCTACAGTCTCGTCACTTCAGGAAGTTATCAGCCCGACTGAGCCGTTTACAACCAGATAAAGTCGGGGCATGTAAACACACAAAAAGAGCAGAGTCAGAGGAGTTTCTAGAAGTTTTGACTTGTTTCCTCAGATGGTTGGTGGTGCTGAGCTGCTGTGATTTAGAAGTTTGGAATAAATCAAAAACCTAAAAACTTCTTGGCATCAAACTGTTCTTCAAAATTGACATGTCTTAAATCCATAGCATATACCAAAGGGGATCAGAAAATAACTTATTGGCCCATAGACTCCCATTTATTTTGTTTTGCAGTAGGGGACCCAGATGAGTGTGACTTAGGCTCCCCAATGAAACGACTATTTCCAACAATGTTAAAGGCACTTTTAAGAATGGTCTTTAGTAATAATTGGTACAGCCTTTGTCACAAGAGTATATTTATGCATTAAAATTAATTTGAGTTTAGAAAACAAATTTAATTTTGGCTAAACATTAGAGAAAAAACGCACCTGTTCGGTGTTTTAATGCTTTTCTAATTTCCAAGCAGTTTGGTTTAAAATTTTAATTTGCACAAAAATCTGAAGCAAGTCTACTCACCCAATCTCATTGAGGTATGAGAAAATTTCCAGGGGTGTGTCTTTGGATTTGCCTTCCTTCACATTGATCACCTTCACAGGCACTCCTGAAGAAATCAATGTTCTTACATTAAAACCAATGTTGCATCAACAGGTGCAAAATTTAATCATATTTACAGGTGAAACTCAAAAAATTGGAATATGATGCAAAAGTTCATTTATTTCAGTGCTTCAACTTAGGCTGAGAGACCATCTAAGGGCTCAAGAACCCTTTGCAGGTGTTTTGGATTCATTAGCTGATATAGCCTTCATTCATTAGCCTAGAAGTTGAACCTTCTCACAATACTCTTAATTGTCTTAAGATTTTGAATTTGGAGTTTTCATGAGCAGTAAGCCAAAATCATCACAAATAACAAATAAAGGCTTGAAATATCTGGCTTTGCATGTAATGAGTCAATCTTATATGTTCGTTTCACCTTTTAAGTTACGGAAATTAATGTTTGCACCATATCCAAACTTTATTGCACAATTTATATCCTGTCCTCTAGCAAGGAAACTAAAGCCAGTACCTCACTGGGCTGCAACTGTTGGAACTGTGAACGAGATTTGGTTTTCCAAAAATATTTCAAAATGTTTGCAGGATTTTCAGTTTGCACACTTTAGCCACAAGGCCTCGCTCTCGTGTATCTAGAGTTGCAAGACCAAGTTCAGAGCTATTGCAGAAGTCTCAAACTTGTTTCAAAATCTTTTCAGTTTTAATTCTCAGTTTCATTTCTGATGACAGTAGTCTAAAAAATTTTGTTTTTGAGGGGGAACCCAGAAGCACCCGGATCAGCACGCGGGAGTCTGCTGCAGCTGAGAGTGGCAGAGCACGGCAGGATTTGGAGCCTTATTTTCCTGATATTTGGACATCTTGCCTCAGATTGGTTAACAGCAACACGACTCTACCACTAGCTCTATTTACTCTGCCATTTGGAGGATTTATTTTCACAAATAACACAAGCCTGAAGGAGTTCTGCTGTGTGGTGGAGTTGCTAATACTAACAGTTAGCTTCTGCTAGCTAAGATGTCCTCTTGTGTTTCTTGGATGCTAAACCAACAACAGCCTTTCCTGTTGTGAGCCAAGAAGGGTGAGTCCATGAATGTCAAGTGACAGTTTGATGTAGGTCTGTCAGACTTGTCAAACCCTAGTATTTGACTATGTATTTTATATCAGAAGCTAATGTGGGATGAGATAGGTGTAGGAGACCATTTTCTTGTTCAGCCTGCTTGAAAAACTCAGAGCAACTGATTAAAATCAGAAATAATAAAAATGGGTTTTCAGTGTTCCACAACTTTAAAACTTGGAGCAAAAGTGTGATTCCATTTTAAAAGTGCAAATCCCTCAACTTTAAGTCTCCCCTTAGTTACAAACAGTTCTAACTTTTATTTTGTTTTTTTAGAAAAGGCAAAAAAACACACTCTACATTCTCATAACGCAGTTTTCAGTAAGATCAGACTAACAACAACAAAAACAAAACAAGAAACTGCATCTCAAAATGTTTTTGTATTTTAATTCTGCTGACGAGTGCTTCTCCTCTCCGTCTCAACAGACGACCCCTAGAATAAGTGACACCCTTTAGAAAGACCATGGTGAGAAAAGGCTAATAAATTCAAAGGCCCTCATCAATTGAAAGCTGTGAAATTGTGGGCTGGCCTTTACCTAATTCAATTACCCATGCAGCTTTGTTACCCTCCGTCTCTTTAACCCAGGGACAGAATGTTTGTGTGCTCATGTGCATGCGTGGAATAAACAAAAGCACCTGCAGCAGATCCATCACCCGTCTTCCTATTACCACGTCTCTAACACGCGGAGGGACTCTTCTTTTTTAGAAGACACCCACGCTCGCTCCGCACACTTCCTCTGCGAAGCCACTTAAAACTGAGTGCACATCAATCACTGTCACGGAGCCGCTCATTCACGGCCCTCAGTTAGCAACACGAGCCAAAGGTTGAGGCGAGGAAGCAGACAGATGTGTGAAAAAGGGGCAGAAGAGGCTACAGAAGGTGGGAATGAGGACCTTTTTGTTTGTACTCGAGTGTGTGTATCCGTTATCAGCTTAGAGGAGAAGAGGACCACTACTGGTCACCTTTCATCAGGCCAATCTCCAAATTGATTGATGTATGAGGGACTGTCTCAACACAAGGGGCTTGTTGGTGGCGGGAACCTTGGTAAAGAAGAAGTTCATCCAAGAGCAGGAGAGGGCAGCAGTGCTTTCCTAACCTCCCCTGCCTTTAACATATCTAATAATTAGATTAAAGGTTTTGATAAATGAAGTGAACGTCTGAACGTGGGAGTGTCCCTCTTTCCTATCATTCCATCATTCACTGTGGGTTCTCTCTCTCTCTCTCTCACGAACCCCCCTGTTTCTTTCTGGAGTTTTTGAAGACTAACAGTGCACACAATGGGGCTGTAGACACAGTTGTAGGAAAAATTACTGCTTTACATTTTTCTTCTCCGTCTCTCTTTCCTACTCACTTCTTCGGCATGACAGGAGGGAGGCATGAATTTTTTTTGCCTTTGAAAAAGGGAGAGTAATGGGGAACGGACCGTTTGACGGGGGTAAAGGTTCCTGTTGTTATATATTCTTTTTTAATCAGTGAGAAAACTTTGGTGAGAAAGGCAGGGATGAAAAGGTGGGAGGGGGGAATGAAGTGAAACATTCTTGTGCTGATCTTGCACTCAGAGGGAGGAGTAGGCTTGGGCTTTTGTGTGGACAACTAAAACAGCTTTTGTCATAGTGCGCTCAATAAAAGGCCCCAGAATATGTGTGAAAATGGGAGTTCGGGGCCACAAGGAACCCGCGAAACCAGTCCGGGCTTTACTGGGTGCGTCGCCGTCTTCACAAAAGACACATCTAGTCTCCAGCTGAACCGACGCCGGCCGACTTGTTTCGTTGTTAACATTTTCTTTGGGGGAGACTGGTAAAGCAACGGGACGAGCACAAGGCACTTTATCTTATGCTTAGATATGGCATAGTTAGAAATCACACCAAATCATCCCACACAAGTTCTGGCAAACTTTTGAACTTTTCCAAATTTACGATCCTGGCTCATAAAGCCGCCCATGGAGCTGTGTGATGAGAGGGGCCAGTGTGCTCCAGCCGATTGATGTTCTGCACTCCGGCCTCCCCCTGGTGACCAGGGATGAAGGAACATCTGTGTCCTTAGCCGCAGGGTGAACGTGTCCTGCCATTTTCACTTTGCACAAACATATGACATTTTCTAGTCAGCCACCGTTAGCCCTTGAGGCAACATACCTAATGAGTGTTTCTCTGGCCCCTCTGGGCTCGGTGTATTAGCTGGAGTTAATGCTTCCGGCTTGTGTGTGCGCCCCCAGGCCAAGCATGGCAGTTCTGGACTGAGAATCGCTGTTAGGAGGTTAAGGATAAGTCTGGGTGGTCATAAGTGGAAATAAAGTGCTGGAGGTCAGCCTTAAAGCTAAAACATTGTGGTTGGGTAATATGACGAGATGTGGACAGAGAAGCTGATGTTTTCTCTTAAATTATTATAAAATCCCCTAAAATGAAACGCATTATGATATTAACACTAGTAAGGAACAAAATAACAAGGTAGGGTCCTGTCAAATGAAACATCTGTTAATTAGGGTTAGGAATAGATTAGATCACCTCTTTAGAAAGGAGAAAATGGTCTGAGATTTGCATAACGGACTTTATTTGATCACTCTACAGCAAAGACAACAGATGTATGTTTTTTTAGTCCAAATATATATTTCTTGCAGTGATTTCCTGAAGGCTTTTCACAGTGTTTGTTTCTGTTGTTTCCCATCAGCCTAAAGCTCAAATAAGCTTTAACATGGCCTTTGTTGAGAAGTGGCTTTTCCATTGTGACCCTCCCAAATAAAACATCTGTGGAGCGCTTGTGATCCTTTATTCATCTCTGTATTTCTTGAACTGTAACTGATATTTTCAGCTAGAGGCTGCATTGGATATATCAAGTTCATAAGATATATTTTGTGTTTCCATTCAAGGGCTGTAAAGCAAAAATACTCAAGTGTTTCAAAGGAACGGATTCTTTTCTATACCCACATTTATATATGGAAACACAGAAACACTGATTATAATAAGAAATAACGATTAAACATCTTTTGTACATTCACTCTGTGTAACCCTTCTGTTATTTTGTTCTTAAACACAGCGTAGTAGAAGATTTGTTTTTTCCTTTTCCCTTGCTGACAAGTTTTAGACGAGTGTCAATGCCTCCCCGCTTGACACTCAGCTTTAAAGGGTTGGATTGGGGGGTTAAACCACCAAATAGCTCCCAAGCACAGCCCCTGCTGCAGCTCGCGGCTCCCCACGGGGATGGGTCAAATGCGGAGATGTAATTTCACCCATGTGTGATGGTGGCTAATGGAACTTCAACTTGAAACAGATCAGCAGAGAATGTCTCAGCCAAGTAGAAGTTAATTGTTAGCATTAACAACTCCACCACATGGCAAAACTCCTTCAAGCTTGCGTTTTTTGTGGAGATAAAAAAAATCAATGTTGCAAAGCAAACGGTCAGTGGTGGAGTTGCATTGCTGTTTGCCAGTCAGAGATGGGATGTCCAAATATCATGAAGTAAGACTCAAGGAGACTCAAAACGAGGACTCAATAACAACAAACCTTTTCTGAACTCAATCTCTAGAACATCTGGGACATTTGGAGCATCTTCTGGGTTTTTGGTCATCAGGTACAGATCAGCAGGAGCATGACTCTGAAAAACAAAACCGCATTATGTGTTTTATGAAAATGACGACTCTTCAGAGAGAAGGTAACTTGGTTATCACAAGTAGAGAGACAAAAAGTGAAAACATTCAATTTAAAAATATATAACTAAGTCTATGAAGCATGTTTCACAACAGAGAATTGCAGAGAGGAGTAAAAATAAATAAATAAATAAATATATATATATATATATATATATATATATAAATAAAATAAATGCCTGATTTACTTGCAAGTACAATAAATGTCTGACAAGTCAGTAAACAACCGACTCGATGAAAGAATCACCATCTTCTGAGCAGTTTTAAAGCTTCTTCTGATCTTCCACTTCTGATTTTCTGAGTGACATCTCACTTCTGATTCATTTTCAAATAAACACTTTTACCTAAAGGGGCATCAGACAACAAAGTCTAAAAGCCCACTAAAGTTATTCCGGGTGACAGACATTTGTCATTTTATTTTTTTCATTCCAGTTGGTGGGAGCTGGGAGTGATTTCAGTAAGTCGCGGTTTGGACCTAAAAGATCATGGTTGTGTGACGATTCCTCCCACCAACGAGCCCCTGCAACAATTACACAGTATTAGGACAGGACGATGGACAATGTCCCCTGAGCTGAGGCAAATTGCAGGGGGACTATGCAAAATAACTACTGGGTGCATTTAAATGGAAAGCTTTACCAGACTCTAAATGATCATACGATAACTAATCGGCATTCGCTCGCCGCCTGTCAGCGAGGAGAAAATGAGCAGCGCAATCACTTTCCTTCCTTTTAACTAAACACAAAAATTGACTGGGAAGACGAGCGTCTCCCTCTCTTTTATTTTCTGCCTCAGTGCCCTGAAAGATGCCAAATGAGAGCGAATAGGGAAGAGACGAAATGACTACTCTAAAAAGCCTATTGATGCCTACTCTTTGAGAGGGGGGGAAGGACAGAAGGGGACTGAATGACTAGTTTTAGCTGTTTTTTCAGCCTTCGGATAAAACACATAGCACATAGGAAGCATTGGCTTAAACAATGTGTGGTTATCAGCAGCTCCTATAAAGTCAAATACTTCCAGAAATAACACTTCCTACCTTTTTAACCTAAATTTTCATTCAAGTTTCATTTCCCGTTCCTAAACTAATTGATCCCACCCAGTGGCTATTAGAATGGACAAATGATGAATTTAAACATATACACAAACTGTGCCATGATAAAAAACTCATTCATCCTCCCAGCAGTGCGAGCTTAAACTTATGGACTGGCGAATGAAAAGAAACAGAACATAAGGGATTGGGGTTGTTTCCAGTGAGCAGGAGATCAATGCATTTCAATTCAAACCCCCTGCAGGTGGACCTGTCCCCAAAACCATGGCCCTGAAAGAGAGAAAAAAGGTAAAGATAGAGAAGGCGGGGGGCCGAGGGTATTGGAGGGAAATGGGGCGTGAAGCACACCATCATGTAGCGCCCAACAGCTCCTTTGGCAGTCTTTGCTTCGACGATATTGTTGTGCTAAACGTGCAGGAAAAAAAAGAAAGAAGGCTGACGCATGAACTTAAAGCAAGTAAATTTCTATCTTTCCACTCATTAGTTGCCTCATTGGGTTTCAATCTAAGCCAAAAGGGCCCCGAAAGAGGCAGAGGTGCCAGGAGGGGGAGAGAGGAGGGAAGAGATAGAAAGAAAAAACATCTTTGGAGCACCGGATTGGAAGTGATGCTTAAATCACTGCGTCTCAAGTCAGTTTGTCTTATTAAAATGCAAATATGGCAAACTGAGCCTACAGAATATCAACACATTTAAATCCTTAATGCTCAAGACTTCCTGGTTAATTTTAGATCTGATTTTACTGATTTTTTAAAGCAACAGGAGAATACGAAATGGACACAGAGAGGACTTGCTGACTCTTTCAGGTCAAGCCTGCGAGGCCTTTAGGCCAGCGAGGGCACATGACGAGCTCTGACCTCTTTGCTTGGAAGCACACATTCACATGTAAACATACGCCGACAAGCTCACTTCCTACCCCTACAGGCTGCTCTTTAACCATCCATCTTTCCAGCGAGCCATGCGACCAACGGCAGCAGAAGTTTTCATTTGCTCTTCGGTGAGCTGAGGCTCAGAGTTCTGCTCTTTTACCCCCTGGATTCGACACAAGCAGTGGCCCATCACCTCCCTGATCAAAGAGCTAAGTGGGCTCAGGGAAACTCACTGACAGCGACTATAATTAAGACAGAGGTGATGTGTTAATGACTTATGAGTGTCGGGATGCCCAAGGAGCTTCTCCGACTGCTCGTGCGTGGAGGGGAAAGGAGAGAGGACATGCTTCGATGCATGCCTTGGTGTCAAATTTTTGATTACCTTACATATGCTTGCAGGGCATAAAATCTGTCCCACAAAGTTCTTGTCTTTCAAACCATAAATGTGGATGGGCAGCCTACAAAATTCAGTATCCGATAAATAATCTTCCTTCTTGGTTACCCAAGCCAACATGTTCCTATGTGGAAAATTTATTAGTGAACAAGTTTTGTCCAACACTTCTTTGAAGAACTGTTTTAACCGCTACGGACTGTTTAAGGTCAAAGGTCAGAAATTTCTGGTAGAGAGCAGAATTCATGGTTCCATCAGTGGAAAGCATTTACATGAACATCAACTGTTGCTGAGGAGGCAAGTGCCTGTCTCATAATAACCGGAAGGTTGAAGGATCTATTCCCATTCAGTATGTCAAAGATGTTGTGCCCTATGGAAAGAAACCCACTTTGCCTGCTGGTGGTGATCAGAGGGACCGGTGGCACCAGTGTTCAGCAGCCTCACTTCTGTGTGGCTCCAGGGCAACTGTGGCTACACTGTAGCACATCACCATCAGTGTGTGAATGTGTGTGTGAAAGACTGGATGCGTGATGCACCTTGGGGGGGGGGGTTGTAGAGCCCTAGAAGGGAATATATAATCACAAGCCATTTACCATAGTTGGCAATAGCTAAGCTAATACCTTAACCAGAGAGGGATTCTTTATCCTAGTTTACACATCAGTAAGAAAACCGATTCATTGATTAAAGTACGTTTGGCTCCGCAACAGTAGGTGGCGACGTGTGCCTTTTCGTGTTGCCTTTCTTCTGGTTAGACAGTAAGTGTCACAGAAATGGTAAATAAATGCTGGCGGAAGTGTAACAGATGGAGTAAGGGCAGGATGTGCACAAATTACAACAACATTAAATGGTACATGGCGTGTATTTGTATAGTGCCTTTTTAAGCCTGATTTATACTTCTGTGTCGGGACGGATGTAGGCTCGGCAGGATTACAATAGGAACTAAGGTGGGTGCAAAAGGAAACGGCAGGAGGCAGGAAATGAGCAAAAATAGAAAAAATTTAGTTAGAAAAATGTGAAATGAGAACACAGTTTTAACAATGCAACACTCAGATCAACAACTCTGAGCCGGCCCAAAAAATAAATAAAACCCCAGTCTTATTTTGGACTCAATAGTTGAGTTGTCATTTTAGTCGTTAGTCAAGTCACCTTGAGTAGTAAGTCTTTCAGTTTCAGTTCTTTCTGGTTTAGTGGTTTGAGTTGTTACCACTTGGTGTAATAAAAAATACTGAAAATGCAAGAATCAAACATGTGAGCATTTATTATCTCTAGGAACAAAAACCACCAACTCTACAGCAATCAGGTGCATGCTGATACGCAAGCAGAGCATGACACCAGCTGCAGCAGCCCTGGATGCATACCAGCACACAGGTTAATGCTGCCAGATGTAGGTGAGTAAAGAAAAGTCTGGAGGCCATTGTGGCACAAGGGAACAAGGTTTGGGGTTATCATGAAGACTACAGTGTTAATCACAGAGTAACCTGAACCCTTCAGACTCTTATCTGCAGGAACACATATGAGCGGCCACTGGGACACTTCCTAATGGGATGCTATTGAGCAAAGAGGAACCATTGTATCACAGGTGGGGGGGTCTGTATTGTCAGGGTCTGGCCTCGGCCTTTAGGGCTGTAACTGGAGGAGAAGCTGATACACAGAGGAGATACTCTGAACAAGGTGGCCTTTCTTAGATGACCTCCAAGATGGATCAGAATATAACGAGCTGCTTTGTGAATTTACTTTCAATTAAAGAAAATACACTACAATAAGCATCCCATTATCTATGTGGACTCTCCAGGGATTATTTAGAGCTGAGAGAAGCAGAGCTCTGATCGTTGACGTGCTCCAGACAGATGCGTCCTGAGCACGGCCACAGTAACATTCTCAAAGTGTCGCCACCTCAAAAAAAAAAAAAAAAAAAAAGTAACACGCGATTGTTTCTGTCTGCTCATATCCTTTCATGCTTTCTATCTTTTATTTGTGCCTGATGCGTTTTACTGCTGCGGTGCAGAGCACATCACCTGGGGACTGGGACATTAATTCAGGCTGGGAATTTTGAAACCATCCCAGGCCACCGCCCAATTCACGCTAAACACTAAAAGTGGGTCAGGTTGGGCGCCTACTGATGTAAAAGTGAAAAACAACTTAACTAAAACTTCACATGTGCCCTGATTCTTTCCTCTGAGATATAAATATTTGTGTTCTGCTGCTATAATCTCTGCTTATGTTGCATAAACTGAAATTCTATTTTATTCTGTTAAATGTGTCTCCTGCACATGAGATGAAATAGGCCAGATGCCATCATCCACCTGAACTACAGGTACCAGACTACATGTCTGGGTCAAGAGAATCACACCACAAGCAGAGACATAAAATCGTGTGTGTGTGTGGGGGGGGGGGTGTCTCCCCATCGCTAAATTACTGCATAATTAGTGTCATTTAGGTTTACAACGTAGTAGGCACAGATTAAATGGACAGCCTCAACAATGGAGGAAGCCTTTTGCAGATGCACACACTCCGACATCCATATATACTGGCAGACCAGTATATATGGATGTTTTCCTCATAAAATTCATATAAACACCAATAATAATACTAAGGGTTCAAAGGATACCAAAGACAAAATAAGTCAGAGGTGAAGGTTTATGCATTTAACAAGAAATGTCATGAATGATCATCAGGGCTGATGTGAAATCTAATTCAGATCAGTCCAGGTCAGAATTATCATCTCATCTGTTTCATGATCAGCAGCAGCTGGATGTTTATGGCCACAAAATTTCAAGTGAAGCACACTCCTTTTATGTCTTTTGTTTGCTCACGATCCATATTTCCATTTAGAAACCGTTTGTCCTCCATGGATGTACCTGCCTGTCAGAGCGTTTAACCACTGGTTGGTCAGCTGATGCTGCTGTCAGTCATTGTGGGAATGTGTACGGTGTGGGGAAACGGTTTTAATTTCTCTCCTCTGCCTGAGCTGATGGTGACGCGCGGCGCGCCTGCGGCAGTGATGTGCCTTTTGCGCAAAATGCGGCCCTTCATGGAGCTCGTGCCAGACTGTGGATGACTGATGTTAGAGGACACACAGATATCTTTTCAAAACTTTCTGAGATTTCGACTAATGAATACCTGGAAAATTTACCGGTATGCACTGTACCCTAGAAAAAGTACTGACATGCTGAAAGGTTATTTTTAGAAGTGGCGGTGGTGCTGGTACCGGTCCAATGCACTGCTCTCTCTCCCTAAATCCAATTCAATTCATTTCAATTTATTTATATAGCGCCAAATCACGACAAGAGTCGTCTCAAGGCACTTCACATAATAAACATTCCAATTCAGGTCAGTTCATTAAGCCAATCAGAAATAATGTTTCCTATATAAGGAACCCAGCAAATAGCATCAAGTCACTGACACTAGTCAGTAACTTTACAGCAATCCTCATACTAAGCAAGCATATAGCGACAGTGGAGAGGAAAACTCACTGGGGATCGAGAAGACAGCGCGCGCGCGCACACACACACACACACACACACACACACACACACACACACGGATGAGTCTGATTATCTGATAATCAGAACCTGATCATCATGATCAGTTCCTGACAGCCGCTGTTTCTCCCTCCCCAACCCACCCCACGTGCCCAGCATTACGTGCTGCGCGATGATTAAACTGGCCCAAAAACTCCACCTTAAACCAGTTCTCCCAACATGACCACATACAGGCCAGCCTGGACATGCATCTGTGGCCAGAGCTTTCTTCTTTTCCAATCTCTCCTTTTCTGCTTCACCTTTCCTGGTCCGTCTAGATTCATTTTGCCTCTGGGGCCAAAGGTGCGGTGGTGCTGTAGCCGCCCTGGGGTGGTGGGTGTCTGCAGCGCTTTGCCAGACCCTGACAAAGTGATGGGAGGGGGGTGTCTTTGTGCCCAGTTTGCTCCGTTTGTGCGAGCATCAGGACAGCAGATGCCCTGATGAGCTACATGATGGATTGCTCATTTAGATATTACGCACGTCATGACCGGCAATCACTGAGCGGGCCAGTTTAACGGCCAGGCCACCGGGAAATCTCCCATTTCTCCCAATTACCAGTCCGCCACTGAAGAGATGTTAACTTAGAAAATGTGGGCCAAATTTTAATTACTTGTCAAACCCCCCCAATCCCCCATATAAGCATAAAGAAATAATAAAGCATGGGAGGTCCAAAACAGTCAAGTGGAGCATTATTAGCCTGGTTTGAAGTGAATTGTGCAAAAAAATATGAAGGAACTGGTCAAGTCGAGATCAACATAAAGTTTCTAATCTAGACGTGACATCTTTGAGAAACAAGAAACAGAGGAGGGCAAGATATTCTGAAAAAAGTACCTTCAAATGTCCCTTAAGCGGCCCAGAGGGACATTTCTACTGATGGGAGATTCAAGAAAACATAAAAAAGGCTTCAGGCTGGGAAAAATAATAAAAATGAAAGTGTTTCAGACAAAATATAAATGTTTTTTAAAAGCTGTACACTCACTTTCTAAACCACTTATCATGCAGGGAGCTGGTGTCTATCACCAGTTACTGGGCTGAAAACAAGGGACACCCTTAACAGGTCACCAGTCTGGGACACACAGTGACACACGCTCACACCTATAGGGACAAGTTAGAGTCACCAACCTTCCAGCTCATTAATGAATTTGAACTGTGGAAGAAAACCGGAGTAAAAGCCTAAATAAATCTTTTTCTTCTTATATTTATTTGCATTTTTGTTTAACATTTTAGACAGGTTTAATTATTTTTGTGCACTATTTTAGCTTTTCAGGCAATATATAAAGAAGTTAAGGGGGATTTTAGATAATGTTTATTACAGGTTTCCCTCAGTGTAATATAATAAAAAGTTGATGATACAAAGTGGTGAAAATAGTTGTTGCAGGCAAAAACAGACATTTTCAAAAATGTTGTGATTAAATTCATTTGGTTTCAAATAATAAAAAAGGACTTGATTTTTCTTCACTTTTTAGCTTTGATCAATGTAGTCAGAGATGTCAAATGTAACAAATAAGAAGCACATAAAATGTAATAATTAGAGGATGAATCAGTTACCATCAACCCATCCATCCATCCTAAAGTTGTTGTTAGTAAAAAATAACTAAAATATCAACAGCTTTCCAAGCTCAAACTAAAATCTTGAGCTTGGTTAATATATTCAAATCCTTTCACCACTTCAGACCTCTGCTCCATAAATATTTCATTGTGTTTTATTCCATTAATTGATTCAATATTAGAGTAACGGTTCAAAGCAAGAAGCCCCTGAATAAAATCAGTTACGCAATGCAACATCATACATTGCTATGCCATTGGGCTGGCTCGTCTCATTCTTTTCAAAACATTTCTCCACAGGGCGAGTGAAGGACAGGACACTAAAAGGGTGGGAAAGGGACGGAGAGAGAGAGAGGTCTGGGAGTTACACTGGCCCTCGTATCCAGCAGCGCGGGACCCCTCTTCCCTCTATGACACCCTGAGCATCGGGAACTCATCTGTCTGGCGTACCATCTTTGTACTTTACTGTTACTGGTGACATTTTGGTGTCACGGTGTCACGATGAAGTGGCTCCCCTCCCACGTCGTAGCCTGCGGCAGCACAACCGCTGAGACAATGAGGTCCTGAGGAGTTGGGGCTGGAACTCAGGAGGCCCCAGCTGGGCGCAACGCCCTAACCCTTCCCCCTCCCAGGCTCCCATGAAATCGGGAATTAGTCGAAGCGTTGCTGACGACAAGTCAGTGTCTGTGTGTCCCAGGCTCTTCCCAGGGCCCAGCAAGGACCCGGGGTGAGGAGAGACACAGACAGACACGTCCACCAAAGGATGAGAGCTCCAGAGGTCAGTCGGGGCGACCGGTATGTACTGCACAGACCTCTGACCCCAACAGAGATCAGACTCATGTCTTGCTCGTAGTACCGTGAGAGAGGGAGGTGCACTCAACTTGGGTGATGGAAAAAAATCTACCGCTGCATCACTCCAAACGCTCAAGAAATTTCACAAAAATAGGAAAAGGGTCCTTTAAAGCAGTTTAAACATTTCATGTCCATTTGTTTGATGTAAATGTTGTTTACAATAAACAAATTAATACATTTAGTTAGTCAAGATATGTGAAAATGCTATTTTATTTAGTAATTTGCCCAAAATTGTGTTTATGTGCGTTTAATGTGACACTCACCTTGGGATTCTCCAGGATGCCAGACTCATAGCTGTACATAAAAATTAAAAACATTTTATTGCACTTTGCTTATTTTCTACTGGAAAAAAAATCATTAAAAGCGTGCATCTCATCAGTAACACCCACCTTATGTGCATGAGATTAGCATCCATGCTCCAGGGTGCCCGAGGAGTGACGGGCACTGGGATGCCATGTTTCTATGATGTGACAGAAAAGACAGTTAAAGAATTACATAACGTCTGTAAGAAAAGAAAAGATGAAACAAAACATGCATGAGAAAGTTCTCTTCACAAAAATAACAAGAGAAACAGTTGGAAAATGCAGGTTTTTGCATTTAAAAGTGACAGACCTTTATTCTTCCACTGTGAAAACAGCAAAAACAAACAGCAAGATGGTTTTTTTATCATCTTTTTAAGAAAAGTCAACATTGCAGCTTTTTCAAGTTGCCTTTTGTCATAAAATTACAAAAAACAGATGTTGTGTTGAGTAAAAACACCAAGATCGCCCTCAAGTGGTGGATCTGGATCAAGTGGACATTTGGAACAAGAAGTGAGAATTAGACATTTCAGCTACTTTATTCAAATCTGGATGCTTATTTTGCAATAAAAATGCTATTTATGTGTTATTTACATTTTTCTGTAAGCATAAATGTTTTGGCTCGATTAACCTTCCTTTGAAAAGCAAACCCCTGTGCAATACAAAGGAGAGGAATGATTATCACATTTACACCTAAAATGAATAACCACTACTTCCTCTTAAACTCAAAATTGAAGGAGAAAGAAAAAAAAATGTATATATTTTTACCTTTGCGTATTCCATCAGGTCTGTTCTTCCCCGGAATCGATTGTAAAACTCAGGGATCCTCCACGGTGCAATGATCTAAAGATGGAAACCAAAACTGCTGCAGCAATATTATTTCACATTACAAATTTTTACATGAAAATTCTGCAAGCTCACCTTGACCTCCGGGTACAGAGCGTAGCATGTGAGCTCAAAGCGTATCTGGTCATTCCCCTGAAAATAGTAAAAAGTTTTAAACGTGTGGGAAACTCCATCTATCCATCCATTTTCATCCGCTTATCTGGAGTTGGGTCGCGGGGGCAGTAGCCTAAGGCGTGAGGCCCAGACTTCCCTCTCCCCAGCCAATTGGGCCAGCTCCTCCGGGGGAATCCCAAGGCGTTCCTTAGCCAGGTGAGAGACATAGTCCCTCCACCGTGTCCTGGGTCTACCTTTAGGTCTCCTCCCGGTTGGATGTGCCCGGAAAACCTCACCAGGGAGGCGTCCAGGAGGCATCCTGACCAGATGCCCGAGCCACCTCAACTGGCTCCTCTCAATGTGGAGGAGCAGCGGGTCTACTCCGAGCCCCTCCCGGATGACTGAGCTTCTCACCCTATCTCTATGGGAGAGCCCAGCCACTCTTCAGAGAAAACTCATTTCGGCCGCTTGTAACCGCAATCTCGTTTTTTCGGTCACTACCCAAAGCTCATAACCATAGGTGAGGGTAGGAACGTAGATCGACGGGTAAATCAAAAGCTTCGCCTTCTGGCTCAGCTCTATCTTCACCACAACAGACCGATACAACTCCCGCATCACTGCAGATGCAGCACCAATCCGCCTATCGATCTCACGCTCCAGTTTTCCCTCAATCGTGAACAAGACCCCGAGATACTTAAACTCCTCCACTTGGGGCAGGACCTCATCCCTGACCCGGAGAAGGCATTCTACCCTTTTCCGAATCAAGTATGTGGGAAACTCGTTTAATCAAAACATTTGCATTCAACCCTAGCCTGGCAAGCCAGACTAAATAAATGTATTATTTAGTCTGGCCATGCTCCATTGACGGCTCTCGGTTGTGGGGCGGGTTCTACCGTTGTCTTTCAAATGATCTCCGCAAGCTACTGGACAATGAATGTGACATACTCTTGTTTCACTCTGTTGCATCATCCCACCCACCAGGCATATAGAGTGCCCTGATTGGCCCACAAAGCGGATAAAGCTCTGTGATTTGTTCACTAAGCAGATAGAGCACTATGACTGGCCCACCATTATGGACCAATCACAGCTCTTTATGTGTTTGAAACCCCTCTAGAGAGCTGTGATTGGCTAGCCAGAGTCCTGGTAGGAGCTGCTGAGGTTCCATTGGAGCATGCCTAGACCATTCTTTGCAATGCAAGAATTTGGTCTAGTTCACTAGGCTAATTCAACCCTGGTATGTAGGAATGAATGCTTTACAAGCTGTACTCGGGCAAAAAAAGCCCAGAATTGGTTGCATGAGCACAGACAAGTCTGCTGCTGCAGAGGGTGGCAGAGGACGGCAGGATGTTATGTCTTTTTTTTTCCTGATATTTGGACATCTTGCCACGGATTGGATAACAGCAATGTGACTCCACCTTGCAACGTGGATATTTTATCTCCACAAACAACACAAACCTGGAGTTTTTCTGTGTGGTGGTGTTGCTAATGCAAACAGTTAGCTTCTACTAGTCAGCAGCCTTCAACAACAGTCCTCCCTGTCAGAAATCAAGATGGGTGAGTCCATGAATGTTAAATGACAGAGTGACGTAGATCTGTCAGGATTTTCAAATCCTAGATTTTCACAGTCTATTTTCTCTCAGAAGCTAAGGTGTAGGAGACTATTTTCAATCAGAAATAATCATTAAAAAAACATTTTTCAGTTAACCACACCTTTAAACCTCTAAGTAAATACCCATTTGTATAATTAAATAAAAAAGTAGCATTTAAAATTTTGGTTAAATTACATAAAAAAGCTGAAATCTCATCAAGTCTTTGACTTGACTTCCAATTTTGTTCTTTTCTATCTTCAGTTTAATGTCTGCTTTTAAATGTTGTTTTATTTTATTATTGTCTTTTAAAGTAATTGAAAAATTTCTAATTGTGCTGGTGAAATGTCTTGTGGTTTTTATCTTAAAAGGCTCTATAAAAAATGCTGTAATCTTTAAATTACTGATATAAAACAGTTAATAAAAGTGACACAAAGCTAAAGCTTTCAATTCTATCAATAAAAGAATAATAAAACATGAACCAAATTTCAATAAGTGAAGGTAAAAGTAAAATATAAAAATTGTTTAAAAATTTTGTGGTGTTGGTCGCCAACTGGTGGCCACAATACAGTATTACAAAACATAAAAACAAAAAACCTCAAATTTAACTGTATTTATAAAAAAAATAAGAGCTATATTTCCACAGGACAAGCTAATTAGGAGAAAATTTTATCATCTAACCTTGCATTGCAACATATACTGCATTTTTCTCTCGCTTTCACACAGATCTGCAGAGCATAAGCTCGTTTTTGGATTAAAAGCGAGCGACTGTATGTACAGTCTATGATTAAAAGTAAACACACTTTTGGTTGTTTTTTTTTACTGAAAAGTAGTTTTTCTTATTATGCTCTGAAGAAAAATGAATGGAGAATCAGATGAAAGATGAAAAAAAGTGAAATGGCAGTCCTAAAAATCTAGGATGAATACGTTGCATCACTTTTCTGGCAGGAAACTAAATAGTAGAAACATGCTCAGTTTTTAATTTGAGGTGCAGGGATTCGTTCTTTTTTTTTAGGCGATTCATGTAGTGTAAAAAAAGAAGGCAGGTGATTGAGACATTTAAAAGAAAATCAGGTTTTTGTGAAAGGAAGACTGAATGGAGAACTAATTTCTGGATGAGTTAGTCATTTTGGGAAGGCAGGATTTAAACAAACAACAACTGAAAGGTTAATATTCAACCTCACAAAAGTCTGCTTGTGACAACCTGGAACATCATGTCTGACACAGAAAGCTGCTCGCTGGTGAGACTTAACGACCATATACATATATTTTATTCATCTTACCTTTCCGGTGGCACCGTGGGAGACAAACTGAGCACTCTCCATGCGTGCTATCTCAACCTGACGACGGGCAATGCATGGCCTTGCTATGGCGGTTCCCATCAAGTATCGGTCCTCATAAACCGCGTTGGCCTGAACCGAAGGCCAGATAAAGTCCTCCACAAACTCAGAGCGCAGGTCCTCAATAAAAACCTGAACAGGGACAGAAAACAGACATCTGTGTCACATTTTTGTTTCAATTTAATCTGGCTGTTTATGAAACTTTTAGAAGATAAAACACAACAAAACTGTTTAAAGTGATACCAAGCACTTTTGCTTGCTTTTAGCACCCCCAGTGTACATTATTATTAATCTGTGGTCAAAGCAAAAGTGAAACTTATCTCCTTGCTGTGCGTTTATTTTAAAACCTTAATCTAACTGATGAAATGTCTCCCCACCCTTCATTAGTGTCTACAGGAGTGATTCATCACTAAATTAAACAAATCAGGGATTCCCAAAGTGTGGTGTGCGCACCCCTGGGGGTGCGCGAGCTGCCGCTAGGGGGTGCGCAAGGTGAAAACTGTAATGGCGGCGGAGCTCAGAGAAGTCTGTCATATGTCACCATAAGCATATTTGTGGGTGGGCCTAAGAAAAAGTAAGTGGGCACAATAAATGTAATTGAAAATAAGTATATTTTTGCAAGTGTGTCCTCCACATGTGCCCTAGCTTCATAATAACAATGCGCCAAGCTTCAGCACTCTGGCCTGTGCACGCCGATATGTTTCGTATTTGATCATTTTTAACGGTGTTGGAGAAATCTGAAGGTGGTGAGTCATTCTGGCAGATTGTAATTAACACCCTGTCTCATGCAGGTGTTCTGACATTGTAAACCTCACACACAGAACATTGTGGATGTAACAAAATAACAAGAAATGATTCCCATCCAGGATATTAACAGCGCGCTGAAGATCTGAAGTTCAGAGTGTGTCTGTCAGAGGTCAGACGCGATCCAGCGGAACCACGGCTCACGGGTGCACAAGTGAGCACATCTGGGCTGGGCAGAAGTCATTTTACAACATTGGTTTAAATAGCGCCAATAACGAGACGCAGTGACTGGAGTGGCTCATGGAGCTGTGCCACGCGCGCACACACACACAGATTCAATAAGCACGCACGCTGCGCAAACTCTGGCGCGCCGTCAGACTGAAGGCAGAAATGAGCGCTGCCTCCTCTGTGATAAAAACTTTTAAGAGGTTTGATAACAACATTTTTCATTCAAGGTCAAATTAAGATATTAGCTTCTATTTTGGGATGACGTATTAAAGTCGGGTCCGCTCCAGCCAGTGACTCCGAACCGGACTACAACTCATGTTACTGCAGCATTTGTTATTCCAGTCCGAGTGGCAGCGGATCGCAGATTCAGCCACACCATAAAACAGCAATAAGTCGGTCTGAGGCAAAAGTGAACCTCATGGCTATATCTTTTCCATCTTGTCCCCTATTGACATTTGATTACGCACAAGTAGGTGGCCAGTTCAGGTTTACGCAGAGCAGAAGGAAGGAGAGCGCTCGGGCCGCACAGGTTAAACGTTCCTACTTTAAGAAAACCGTTAAATTGCATTGTTTATGTGCTACCTGGGCACTCTAAATATTTATTTAAAACTAAATCAAAGGAAATTGTAATGGTATCGAATGCTTATTAATTACTATTTAAAAAATGAAAGTGATGGGGAAAAAGGTCGATCATATTTTTTTAACCCTGTCCGTTTAGCTTGACGTCTGATATATATATATATATATATATATATATATATATATATATATATATATATATATATATACATATATATATATATATATATATATATATACATATATATATATATATATATATATATATATATATATATATATATAGCCATGCCCTGATGTGGGGGCTGGGGGGTGCGTCGACATGGTCGGGACATAGAAGGGTGTGCGCGGCTAAATAAGTTTGGGAACCACTGATCTAAAACATGCAGGAAACGTGCTGGAAGCAGACTACAGTGCTGGGTATGGATGGATACCTTTTACATTTGAATCATTACTGTACCAATTCCCGGTACCTACAAATTGATACCGGTACTTAACGGTACCAATTTGATACCTTTGAGTATTTAATAATTATTTAATTAGCATTTTTAATTAAGTATATATTATTTTCCCAATATATAACCATATTTGATAAATATCATGATAAATAACATACAACAGTTTGTATTTTATCATTGTAGTGTTGTACAAAATTCTTAAATATTAAAAACTTTAACAGCAACTGTTTCTAAATGACGCAAAAACAAACCCAGCTCCTTGTACTCCTAATCCTCTTCTATGCCCTCTGGAATAACACTGATGAGGAGACCATGAATTATAAACTATAAATGAAACTAAAGCAAACTTCGATACCATTTAACAGTTCTTATATTAATATTGTGGTGTTTCACAAACTAAACGCAGCTCCATGTAGTCCTTTTCCTCTCCTTTCCCTTCTGGACAAACTGTGTGATGGTGGGTCCTTGTAGTTTTATAAACTGCAAATTACACTGAAGCAAACATCATTGCTGTGAACTAAATTTACTGTGTATCTTCATTCCTTTTGCCGTTCATTTTCAAACTGTTTATTTTTCCTACTCAGAAGTTGAAATTTCCGAGGAGAACACGAACGCACCATTAGATATGTAAACAAAAACAAAACTATCAAGCTAACGTTAACGCAAACAGTTTATTTTGCTGCTGGAGCTGATTAAGATGCCTCATACTCAGATCGTTGTCGCTGGTTTCTTCATCACCCAATAGCCCATCGCATAAAGTGAAGTAATGGCAAACTTGAGGGAGCGTTCACTTTCTTCTAGTCTGAATTTTGGAGATCCGAGGAGAAAGCGAACGCACCATTAGCTGAACAGATAACATATCAAGCTACCGTTATCTTAAACATTTTATTTACCTACCATAGCAGATTAAGATGATGATGCCTCACTTAGATCGTTGCTGCTGGTTTCATCATCACCCAGTTACCCATCCCATTTAGTGAAGTGGAACCAAACTTCAAAACACTTCCTCTCTGCCATGCTGCTTTGTTTACAGCTCGCCCAAAATGACTGACGACATTACGCTCTTGCACCGGCACGAGTACCAAAACAAGGCACCGTTTCATATGAGGTGAATCGGTACTCAGTCGGTACTATGGAATTCGGTCGGTGCCTTAAAAAGTACCGAATTCTGTACCCATCCCTAGTGCTGGGTATAAACAAGGAACATTTTACTGGTAATCCAACTGGTTTGGTTGACACTTAATCCTTGAGTCAGTTGGAAGGAAGTGTTTTCATGATTTTTGTTTCTGGGACAAAGACAAATGCATAGTTCCGCTGAAGCAGAGCATTTCCTTAAAGCTTCACATTTCCTCATCTCACCTTCTTGGCGCCGAGGCTTTCCGCCTTTTTCCGGGCAGCTTCAAAATCTTCATCTTGTCCGATATTGGCCTGAAATGAAATTTTGTTGCAAGAGAGCACGATGATTAATGCTTTAAAGCTCTCGTTCACTCATTGTTTAAATACATCTGCTGTGGTCCCTAGTATAGCTTTGTGAGTCATTATCTGTGCTCCCGTTTCAGGAAGTAGAAGTTAGCCAGAGGTAAGGGGAGCATAAAACGACAGGATTTGGGGTCTTACTCATTATTATTCATGATATTTAATCATTGCACCTCTGACTGGCTAACAGCAACGGAACTCTTTCACTGCCTCCTTTCGATTTGCAACAATTATGATTGGTCTCCCCAAACAACACATGCCTGAAGGAGTTTCTAATGCGAACAGTTAGCTTCTACTAGCCAAGATATGCTCTGCACTCTGCTGGCTGCAAATAATGATCAGTCTTCCCCAGCTGTGACCCAAGATGTGTGAGTCCAGGGGTGACCAATCCTGATCCTGGAGGGCCGGTATTCAGCATGTTTTAGCGGTTTTCTGCTCCAACATGATAGATTGAGTAGTTGAATCCCTGTGCAGCAGTTCATCGGGATCTGCATAAGCCTGTTAATCACCTACTGACTGAAATCAGATGCGTTGAAACAGGGTTAAAACTAAAACATGTTGGATGCCGGCCTTCCAGGACCAGAACTGGGCACCCCTGGGTGAGTCCATGAATGCTAATTTGCAGTGTGACAGATCTGTGTGGCTTCTTCTGACCCGAGCATTTCCCTGTCTATTTTCTATCAGCAGGTAAGGCAGAAAATAGGGATAGAAGACTATTTTCTGGTTCAGCCTGCAAGTGAAACTCAGAGTGACTGATCGTATTTAAAAAATAAGTAGAAACCGGTTTCTCAATGACTCAGCTCTTTAACGTGTTTGAGGAAACTTTGGGTTCAAGAAGCGAGTGATAAATGCACGAGCACGCAAGCTCGTGTCTGAGCAAGTATTTTTCCGGACATCTTGTAATTCAGATCACATTTGCAGGAGTTCCTAAGAAGATCATTTAAGCTCAGGAAGATAATTTTTCATTTAAAATCTAATTTAATAAACTAAAACGACACATCTGCATCACACATAGTTCTACAATTTGTTATTGTTTGAACACATAACTGAACCAGGCCATTAGTTCTTCTCCAACATAAGCCAAAAGGACCTGCACCTCTGAGGGGCCACGTGGACACTGACCCCCTCCCCCAATTCTCAGTGAAAAAGCAATGAGTGAAGTTCAGCGAGAAATTTGCCTCCCTTGCAGTTCAGTGACCCTGGGGGGAATTTTAAATCCGGCTAGATTTACGCTGGCATTATGACGGCAAATGGCGGCTCTGTTGGCTCCAAAATGCTTACCTAAGCTGTCCGAAAACAGCAGATCATTTCAAAATGTCAGTGACAAATGCAAAAGCAGCTGGTTGACATTACCACCTGTTGTTCAACCTCACCAAGTACGTGATGACATCATAGCCCTGCTCCTTGAGCCACACCAGAATGCAGGATGTGTCCAGTCCACCGCTGTAAGCCAGAACCACGGTGCCGTTAGACATGATGACAGGCAGAAGGTCTGCAGGACAAGAAGCATCTGTCTTGTTAATATATAACAGCTGTGATAATTAGTTAATAACTAATTCTGATTTGAGCTAAAGTAAAATCCTGATCAAGATTTCAAATAAGTCACTATTTAAGAAATTTTCATTATGGAATACCAACATTGTAATCCTTTAAACAACTGACAATTAAGATTCTAATAAAAACTAATTACTCACTCAAAGCCGAATTTTGGCAGAAAAACAAATATTAGTTGTTATCTGTTTAATAATTCCCACTGATCTAATGGGCTAAGTTGCTGAAAATAATCTTTAAATAGTTCAAAATGGTTACCGGATCATTATTTTGAGCTAAATGTAAACAAAATATAAATAAATAATGATGGCATCTCCTTGTGTGATTTTCTCACATCCAGTCAACTGTGCTAGGGGTTCTGGGAATACAGAGTTAAGATTCACTCATCGGGATTTTTTTGCGGTCATGAAATTAAATAAATACTAACTAGACAGCTAGCTTTGTTCTGCAGCAGCAGCAACTGTTGCATCACGGCGCCTCGAAAACGGTTTTTGTCCTCCAATAAAATCTAATACTGAATAAACACCGACATGAAAGTAAGAGTGTACTCACACAGCAGAGAGCAAACAACGGTAGGTCTGTGAGACTGTAGGTTGTCTGGAGCTGTGGCGTGTTTGGAGCGTCGACAGGGCTGAACTGCTTTACCAGGGATACGTCATCCGAACAAGAGCACGAGACGCACGACGTCACCACGTCAAATTATACAAAATTTTAATAAATTCGTCACTTTATTAAAGTCGGATAACTTACAATTTGAGCTCATGTTTCCATAAGATAAATGTAAGCAACAATAATAAAGTTCCGCACAAACATAAAGAGAAAGGGAAGGATTATTTATTAATTTATTAATTTATTAATTAATTTATTTGTTTATTTATTTATATATGCAGTTGAGACAGTGAAACCCTTTGAAATTCCTTTTAAAAAACAACCGTGTATTTTATTTTAAGAATTGTCTTTAATATTTTCAGAAAAACAAGTTTTTAGATCATGTTACCAGAGGCGGTTCTAGGGTGGGCAAGCACAAGTTTGGTGCCCTGGATGTGGTGTCTCTGGCATAATTTGATAGGTGGGGCACAAAAACTCCATAGCTGTGACTGACACACACACACACACACACACACACACACACACACACACACACACACACACACACACACCAATAAACACACACAATTGCAACTAATTCATTCATGCAATCTGACTCTGAGCCATATTATATAAACCACAAAAATAGCACAAACCCACACACTGGAAATACAAATATTTATTTGTAATTCAAGAGTAACTTTTTTAGATATGAGATTTCAAATAAAGGGTCACTCACCAGTGTTGTTTGTTTCTTGAACAGCAGAGATGTGCTACGATATTTAACCTGAGCAAACTTCTTATTAACTCGGTTGTCAAAGTCCAGTAATCCATGAATTAATTTGTTTTTAATGGACACCATTTAATCTTGGTTGCCCCATGTTTTCATGTTTTAATTGTTTTGAGCATTGAAAAGATCTTTAAACAGTTTATGGCCCATTCCCAATATTCGCACTTCCAATGCCCAAGTAGCTAACAATGGGGAGCCTACGTAAGTCACTTCCGCATCATGGGTCCCCAGAACAACGAAAAATTGAATGCAAGTCAATGGGGCCAAAAACGCAATTTAAAGTAAAAGAGTTAAAGTATCTTGAGGTCTTGTTCACAAGTGAGGGAAAGCTACTTGGGTTCTGTTGGGGTGAACAACCCAATATTATCTTTGGGCGACGTTGGGGTGATCACTCCAAAATCCTGATTAATTGGGTGCTGTTGGAGTGAACAACCCAAAATTCATGATATTTGGATGGCGTTGGGGTGACCACCCCAAAATTCTTCGGGTGACACTGGGATGATGACACCAAAATCATGACATACCAAACTTCCCACGGCAGAGTCGGTCATTTTTTATGTAAAATTTTTTAAAACGCACGCTCCTAATCAAGTGATCATTTCCTCCAGGGAAGAAGAGTTAGTGGCTGTCCTGACAGAATGGAAGGTCCCTTAATTATCACTACACACCTGTCCTGTGTTATTTTAGATTAAATATGAATTACACTTGAAATAACACTAAAGGTAATTTTGGGTTAAACAATTAGATGTGGCACAAATAAACATTTACCAAAAATGTGAGCTGAATTATTGTTTACTACACAAAAAGCAGGAAAGTCATTAATTTCATTTTAGCAATGTGCATTTCTAAAACCTATATCTGAACTAATCTAAAAAATAAATTGGTTTGCAGGTAATGAAGTGTGCTCATCAAAGAGCTGATGGAAATTAGAGCAGGACTCCAACAAGTGACCTTCTGGCTAGAGAGCACTCTAAATCTCCTTAAACTAAATCTACCAGAAGCAAGTGAAAACATATAGCTGTGAAATAAAAGCATACAATTTCCCTTTCAATTTCAGTTGAAAAAGTATCACATTATTGTACAGCAATAGTCATCTCCAGACTGAATTTAGGAAACACAACCATGTTAGCAGGTCTAAGAATGAAAAACGGTCTTGTTTGTCTGAGTTAACACACAAGTCGCATGTTGATCACACACCAGCTGCCATCTCTCTGACTCAGCAAGCAGCTGCTCTAGTAAAATCTGATGGCAACAGTAACTCCTGAAGACATCAGTCCATAGATCACATGCTGCTGTGTGTCCGTTTGGCTCAGCTTGTGCAACGGCTGTCAAGATGCCATTACTCCAGCATGAATGATGTGTTTAAGGTCACGCCAGGGCGCATCAATAAGAATTCAATCCTAACCTTAACCAGGCCACTCCATAATGTTGTTGTTTACCCAGAGGAAGACTTTCTAGTTGTTGTTCTTCTGAATAATCCTGGAGACCAAATGATGGCTGGATATTTCCCTTCATGATTTTCTACTGAAGAGCAGATTAATTCATGGTTCCATCTATCACAAGTGGTCTAGGTCCTGAAGCAGCAAAGCAGCCTCGAACCATCACACCACCACCACCATGCAACACTGTTGGTATGATGATTTCTTGAAATGCAATCTTAGATTTACACCACAAGTAAATCAAAACACCTTTCAAAATGTTCCACTTTGTCTATCTTGTCTTGTCAGTTTGAGCGGTATTTTTCCTAATGTTTTAATGGATTATGACCGTTGACCTTGAGCGTCACCATCTGTGGCCTTTAGATGTTGTTCTAAAGGTGATTTTCCAGGAGCACTACTCATAGTAACTCGGACCGACGCAACTTGGTCTGACCACTGTTCCCAAGGGCATGATTCGGTATTTTATCTCTACTTTCTCCCCTATTTTAGTCCCTGCTCCTTTGAGGTACCTGACAAGGCTGAGTTGACCGGCATTGATTCTGGCCGCTGATTGGCAAAGGGCGGAGTCACTGGTTGCTCCTGAGTTTTTTGTCTTCTGTTTCACTGCCTGCAGACATTACCTGGTTCAGCCTGGGAAAAAAAGCCATAAAACTGAGCTAAATGTCCAGCAACACCACCATTTTTCAGCTGAGGCGAGTTTCTGTGGAGCATACAAGTTACCTTACACGGTTTACTTATCACCTTGTTATTTTGTCATGAGTCAAAATCACGCACATTTATACCAGTATAAGTCTTCCATTCACAAACTGACCGTTTTCATTCACCACAACTTTCCTGCGAGCTGAAGCTCGCCAATAAACTCTTTAACCAATCTGGATGTTTATGTTGTTTGTGTTCTGGTTCACTTTCACTCTCAGATCATTAAACGTTTACTGAGCCAGTGTCCTTGTACTTTTTTTTATATTTATTTTTTGCCATGAACTTTCAAAAATAAAGAAAAAACATGAACAAAAATACAACATAAACTTCTGAAAATTATTACACTGAATACTTAGATTTTCTCACGCAGGTCAAGAAACACTGAGCAAAGGCAGAGTGTATGTGGCTAGTAACTTAGCTCAGTCTTCTTTGTTTTCTAGATCCCAGAACATGTTTCACAAATCTCAAACCACCCACCCTCCATCCTTCCACTTCTAATTAATCTTGGAAATCATACACAGTTCACTAGTTAGGCATTTGTAAAAGAGACAGGACAAAATGCCCAATAAGAAGTCCAGAAGCTGATGACTGTGTTGGAGGTTTTCAACCAGGATGACTCCAATCCACCTCCTAGTATACAATGTACACACAGACACAGACACACACACCCTCTGGGATCAACACCCCATAGACAACAGCTGTCAGTAAACTGAGACTGAATGTGTACAAATGTAAGGGACACAAGAAAACGCCAGGAGTCGAAGTAAGATGATGACACCCCAAAAAGTGATGGTTTCAAAACAGAGACCAGCATCTGTCAGGAACTCAAACAGCTGTATTTCAGCTAAACTGCATGTTAATTGTGAAAATATGACAATTAATCTATGACAATTTATGGCATAACATCTGTCAGATACAACAAGTTTTTTTTCTTCTGCACATAGACCAAACACTGCTTTTTACAGTATTCCTTGAACTATGAAGAAAAACTGTATTTTTATTCTTGCTATTGTGAAATAACAAGTTTCAGTAAAAAAAAAAAAAAATTATTGTTGGGACAGAAAGTGAGAACAAACTGTCCACTGACGGCTGAATTGTCTCCTCTAAATTTGGCCAAAACCCCCCCAAAAAAAACAAAATCAGTGTATCCTGGTGGGCAGGAGAAGAGAGGGAAGGTCTCTGTGTCCCAGCTGTTGAGGGGCATCAGTGGTGCTGTGCCATTCTCTCGCCTCTGTCTACCACTCTTTCTTTTTCTCATCCATGGAAACACCGCCGGGCCCGAGCGCCACCACCAACAGCAGCCCACCGATCACCGAGGTGGTCTGGAAGAAGTCGTACTTGAGGAAGTCGTGCATGGGCTTGTAGGCGGGGATGGTCCAGAAAGCGTTGAAGTACACGTTGATGGCCAGAAGCCACACGACCAGGGTCAAAGCTGCTAGTTTGGTTTTAAAGCCGATGGCCACCAGAATGATGAGAGCCGTCCCCACAATGTTCTGTAGGATCTGTGGAGGAAATCGGAGAAATCAGTATGTCAGATTCAGCCAGATTCAGATTTTCCCCTGGTTAGAGCATGAACATAACAGAGCAAAAACATTATTTTTCATTAATATAAATGACTGCCGGTTTGGAGTTATTTTATAGTTAATAAAATGTAGTAAAAATTAGCTTTTTTTGTCAGTTAAAGAACTAAAAATATAAAAGGACCTTAAAAAGTTTTAAGGTAGCTTTACAATATGGGTCCCTTTGTTAACGTTACTTAGTGCATTATTAAGCATTGAAGTCTCTGGTGATCTGACCTCCAGCTCTAACGGAGAGACGCTCCTGGAGCTCTACATCGCTCCAATTTATCATCTCAGCTGATTCTGACACCTTTTTATTAATTAAAAAAAATTGCCCTCAGTATCCACAGACACAGAGGGACATTAACCTTTCTGCCAAATCAAATGTGCAACAGAGGTTTTATTAACAGGAAGTCCACCTGTGTAACAAGGTGGTGTCATGCCAGGACTTACAGAGAAGAAGCTGGAGTCAAAGTGCAGCAGAGTCATGAACATAAGTACGAGGAGAACTCGGCCGCCTAGTTGCATGTACTGCTTCGGCGAACTCTCTCCCATGGAGGGAACTCCGGCAAACATGCTCTTTCCTTCTGAACGGGACTCAGCCAGCAGCAGGAGCAGACCGCCTCCGAGGGCCAGGTTTCTGACAGGAGAACACAGACCATTTCTATTTATGTCGACTCCAGTCAAACAAAAACGGGCCACCAGTGCTGCGTGAGTCAAACGAATCCTCCCTCTCTGAAATAAATCAGTGCTGTTGCAATCATGAGTTCTTGAGCTTTGCAAACACTTTATCATTCAGTCTGATATTTTTCTGCCCACTAACTTGTTGATGAAAGGATTCCTGCACTGCTTTACACCCTGTTTTTATCCCATCAGCAAACAGCACAGGGATTACAAGTCTACAGCTATGGTGCAGCCCTGCAGACTGGTGACTCACTGTTTTATGCTGTTTAAATAAAAGAAACCTAGCTATATCCACAGTAATTACAGTCATAATAATAAGCGCAGGTGTCTAAAAACTCAAACGCTTCATAAGGTGAAACTTCAATCTTCAACAACAAAAGAAAGCGCCAACTGAAGCAGGGTATTTTAAATGGTTAAAGGATGCTTACCTCATCAAAAACTTGAGGTCCCATAAAATGCTGTATGCAACAGTCTGGTGGGAAAGACAACAATTGGATGAAACTTTACGTTAGACGCATTCATGAACAGTCAAAAACAAAAGTTCTTACCTGTAAAGCTATGATACCAAATAATCCAAAGCAGGCATACTGTACAAAGTTTCTACTGAGAATGAGGACACAGCCACCTGCAAGGAAAACGGGAAGAAAAAAGTATATGTGAGGAGATATGAATGCGAGGTGATGATTAAATAGACCTGCTCCAGTGTGTTTTTGTTTGGACAATCGACTGAAGCAAAATAACAGCATTTAACTGTCAAACTACAGTGGGATTTTTCTGAAGCTGCTCTAGCAAAGGAACTCATTTCACCAAATCTGGTGTCCCAGTTCAGCTGCAGACAAAGTTTAAAATGATAGAATTTGTCTTTGAGTTTCCTAACAGTTTTGCCTCCTATCTCTGATCAGTAGCGGCCATATGACCCACCTCGCCCTCTCTATGGGGTCAGTAGAACAAGGTGGTGGAGCTTTTTCTGCGTCGGGTCCTAAAATGGAACGTTCTACTACTTCTTGGTAGACAGGCTCCCTCACTTCCTGCTTTTAAATCTTATTTCAAGGTCAGCTTTACTCACATTTTTAATACATTTAAAGTGGTCTAGAGTAGGAATTAGTGCCTAGTAAGTCATACTCTGGGGGGAAAAAGCTCTGGTGCACCTGTTTGCGGATGTATAAGTAGGGTTGGGCATCGTTTGATTTTGAATGATTCCGATTTCGATTCCAATTCCTCGATTCGATTCCGGTTCCTATCGATTCCCGATTCTTTGAAAACATGACGTTTTACATGAGCCAGCCAACCACAGGTCCTTCTTGATGAAATTATCTTAACTTCAACATGAATTTTAATTCAATGAACAATAACATCACCTTCATTCAGACAAAAACATGTTTTAGAGAAAAAAGAAAAAGACTTGCCGCACAACCAGTGTGTTTGTTTCTGACCACAACCAAAGTCTGGAAGAAGCCTCTGGGATGAGAGGCTAAATGTCTCCAACATATCCAGAAACGTCCAGCTGTTTTCAGCTAAAACTCTCAGGATGATCATGTCCAGGATGACGGAAAACTACACCTCCATGCTGCAGCAGCATTCAGTCAGAACGGGAAGTGAAACCTAAATGTAGCTGCTGTCAGTAACAATCTAACAGATTTTAAACATTAAAACTCTCAACAGAAACAGTTCAGAAAGGAAATTAAAATGTTCACAACTTTCTGTGTGATTTATTATAATTATTTATTGTGGCAGAAGCTGGTGTGGTCTACCACAGAGAAAGCTGCTCTAGCATGATGACTTTACAGGTTATTGTCCAGCCTTCTGACGCTCTCACACGCACGCACGCACACACACACACACACACACACACACACACACACACACACACACACACACACACACACACACACACACACACACACACACACACACACACACACACACACACACACACACACACACACACACACACACACACACACACACACACACACACACACACACACACACACACACACACACACACGAGTGTTGGTGAATGGCTGCGTCTGACTGCTGACGCTCTGTGTGTTTTTATTTCTGCAGTGAGAAACTCACCTCACACCGTCCAGAATTTGTTCTTTAAAGCTTCTATTAAATCCACTGTGTTGACGTATTTTAACAAGTTTCCTCTACAGGAGTAAAATTTACATTACGGAGTAAAAGTTCAGCAGACGCATTTGTTTATATCTGGGTGGGGGGAGGGGACTCGGTGCTGCACACAGACAGCTGGTGTGATCAGCTCTGAAAAGCGTTGATCACAATTTGCAGATCACGTTTATTTTTCACGAAGATCGGCCGCGGATTCCTCTTCCGTCGGCATTCTAGGAATTGAAATAAAAAACTGAACGATTCCGGGAAAAACTAACAGTTGGTCCCAGTTCCAATCGGTGCTCGGTGCCCAACCCTATGTATAAGTCAGATGGAGGAGAAAGTAGCTTTAGATGGCAGGAATTGACCTTGTGCACGATAGTCAATTTGCTTCTGTGTTGATGTCGATCGCCTCCATCTCTTCATGCGGTCGGCACTCTATATCCAAGTTTCCCGTAATTTCTGTCCACGAATAAAGCACTTGCTGCATATCTTTGTACTCTTTCAGTCACGAGTGAATAAACATTCATATTTTGGAACTTTTCTATGAGATGTTCTTCAGTCTGTTCTGTGTTTGTTGCTAAATATCGCCAGTTAGTTTTTGATCCGCTATTGACGTTTTTTGTTCCACAATTCCTTACATAACACCTGCATAGCCATATAAAAATTTAGCATGCTAGCTTGTGGTGTTTTTATGGGAGAAAGCAAGGCAGTTTTTAGCTTTCTTGGTTTACTCTTAATAGAGCAGCTCAACGCCACCAACATTTTGGGGGTACGCCTCATGAACAACAGGCCAAGATTTCAAGAACCTGACTCGAGCCTCCTCAGACTCAGCTCTCCTCTCTAAAGGGCGACACACACAGGAGTGTGTTTGATACATAGCTCTGCCAGGACAGGCTGCATTCACAAACATCAGCTCCGTCACAAGCATTTTTCAACCAAAACAGAACACGTAAAACTACCCCTTACAAAATTGCAAACAGAACGGAACATTCTGTCCATTACACTAGGTAGCCCAGCTCTAGCTTCACATCCTATTCAGGTGCTCCAACCAGCAATTCCTACACTAGAAGGTTATGTGCAGAGGGGGAGAGAAGGTCAGAGGGCAGTTTGACAGGTCGTGATCCTAACATTAAGAATGAGATGTTCACAATGATTGGATGAGGTTTTCCAGGGTTGTTGGTTTCCAAGACCATTGAAAATATTCACTTTTTGACAAAATTTTTGATTAATTGGTTGCCATCAGTTTATGAAGGGCGTAAATTAGGTAAAAGTGCTGCTAAAAAAGATCTAATACCCCACCTTTAACAGCAGTGCGAGTGAGGCGTGCACTCACCGAGCTGTCCGATGAGGTTAAGGAGCACAAAGCATGTAGCCAGGAAGTAGCCGCAGTTCCAGGTCGCCTCAATGTAGTCTCTCTGCTCATTCCACTGTAACCACATTCGGATCCCATCTTCTAGGAAAGTGCTGATGAGACAAAGACGAGCCAGATGGGGCAGGTACTGTTTGGTCACCCGCAGGAACTGGAGAAACGCAAGTGATGAAAGGTATAAAGAAAGAAAATCAGGCTTAAAATACCATTATGAATAAGTTGTGCACAAGAAAGAAGGTTCACTTTTCTTTTCAAAACATTTGCAGTGGTCTCTAGTATAAATTAATGCCTTGAGTTGCTCTCTGTGGGGAAAAAAGCTCTAGTGCTTCTGTTTCATGAAGTAATAGTTAGCCAGAGGTGTGCAGAGCAGAACACAGCAGGATTACAAGTCCTATTTCCTAATATTCAGACATATTTCCTCTGACTGGTCACATTCAACAACAATGTGACCATCACTGACTCAGTTTGTTATGCAACTTGATGTTTTACCTCCACAAATAACACAAGCCTGAAGGAGTTCTGCCCCGATGTGGATATGCTAATGCTAATGGTTAGCCTTTACTAGATGAGACGTGCTCTGCTCTCTCCTGGATGCTAAACCAACAACAGCCTAATAAACCCATCATGAGTCAAGCTGGGTCAGTCCATAAATGCAATTTTCAGTGATATAGATCTGAGTGGCTTTTCTGATCCGAGCGTTTCCCCGTCTATTTTCTATCAGTGGCTAATGCAGGAAATGGGGTAGAAGACTATATTCACATTCAACCTGCATGTTAAACTCTTAGTGACCAATCAAATTTCAAAAATAAAAAATAAATAAATGGTTTCTCATTTAACATGGTCCTTCAGTGTCTGCAGTTAATTATTGCAATATTAAGTATGTGTATTAAGGGTACAGAGGACTGACACAGAACTTCGTGGACTGGTTTCAGCAAAACCACATCCTGATCAACGCGGGGAAAACAAAGGAGATGGTGGTGGATTTCCGGAGACGCCAGCCTGCCGCTCCTTCACCGGTGAACATCCAGGGAATGGACGTTGAGAGAGTTGACTCTTATAAATACCTGGGTGCACTGATCAGGAAGGACCCGAGTAGGATCTACCTCCTGAGGAGACTGCTGTCTTTTGGAGTGGAGGGGACACTCCTGAAGACTCTATGACTCTGTGGTGGCACCAGCTATCCTGTATGGTGTGGTCTGTTGGAGCAGCAGCATCACAGAGAAAGAGGAAGAAGCTGGACAGGGTGATCAGTAAGTCCAGCTCTGTCCTGAGCTGTCATCTGGACTCAGTGCAGGAGGTGGGTGACAAGAGGGTCCTGACAAAACTGAGGTCCATGCAGGGCCATGAGTCCCACCCCCTGCAGAATGACCTGTCTGCTCTGGAGAGCAGCTTCAGTGAGACTGATCCACCCTCGTTGTGTGAAGGAGAGATACCGCAGGTCTTTCATTCCTGCTGCGATTAGTCTCTATAATGAACACTCCTAATATACAACTCATAAATCTGTAATAACTCATATCTGTAATAACTCATAAATCAGTAATAACTCATAAATCTGTATTAACTAATATAACTGTAATAACTCATATCTGTAATAACTCATATATCTGTAATAACTCGTATCTGTAATAACTCATATATCTGAAATAATTCATATCTGTAATAACTCATATATCTGTAATAACTCATATCTGTATTAACTAATATAACTGTAATAACTCATATATCTGTAATAACTCATATATATCTGTAATAACTCATATCTGTAAATGCCACAACTGTCATCACCATTCCATACATGTGCAATATTTATTGCAACAATCATTATGTGCAACAACTATCAAACTCACTATTCAACACTTTTTCAATTCTAAGTTACTTATTTTAATCATTTTGCGTGATATATTTTCTGTATTACTCTATTTTATACTTTATTGTACTTGTGCTGTTGCAATACTGCAATTTCCTCACTGAGGGACTTATAAAGGTATTCTTAATACTTGTGCAATTCCTACATACATTAGTATGTCTGTGTCTCTGCTGCATAGTTCTGGAAGCCCAAGTTTCCTTTTTATTTGTCATTTTTAGTGTTTGAATGTTACAATGATAGCTTACTGCCTTTTGTGTGTTTATCAGTAATCTTGTTAGTTTTCTTCTTCAATGTCTCTAAGTGTATGTGCTGCAGTAACAAGTGAATTTCCCCACTGTGGGATTAATGAAGACTATTCTAGTCTAAATATCTAGAATACCGACTCAATACCATTAAGCCACAAAACACCCTGTAACCAAACTTTAACAAAATGTCTTTAAAATTCTGAAAATGCATTTGGGAAAACATCCCGCCTTAGCTTAGAGGTTTGAGGCACAACAGAAAAGAACAAAGAAAGGGGGGAAAATGTCAAACTTACATCTGGCTCCACTTGTAAGGTGGGAACAGAAAACAAAACATCAGTCCTGAGGCTTAGCAGATATGTCTGCTACCAGGAAACTCAGGGAATATTTTTTATTAAACTGCTTGCCCATTTAAAAAAAAAGTTGGATTATATATTATTATGATCTAGTCAGGTGGTCAACCATTGAAACATCAGTAATAATTATTTTAATGTGCACCACAGGTGAAGAAAGTATGGGACATTACAACAGATTGCAGTGTTCCTTCTGTATTGCAGTACTGTGAAAAATGCACACCAACAAGCTGCACAAGTAGTGATCAGATGAAATGGTCACTGAAGAAGACAACGCAATAAGAACGCCATGTTTTAGCCAACTTTTGCATCTTGAATACTCCTTTATCATTAACTACACTGAACAGTCATACACAAAAATGACCCCTTAGGCTAAACTGTGGTAGTTCACACTCAGCTCTTCATATAATAATACTCAACAGAGCAGAAGTGGCCTGGCCCCATGTCCCGCCCATCCAGCAGTCCACATCAGCAAAGTCAGACCTCAGCAACCTATCAGCAGCCACCAACTCCCACTTCCGCGGATGCAGACGACATGAATGGGCGAAAGGGGAGCCAATCCGAACAAGCCCAAGGTTGCTGCAACAGCCTAGAAATAGACAACTCTAAAAGTGTTACAAGTCTGAGGGAAAGGCTGCTTATGGGACCATCAGCAAGGGATGCAGCCCTAGAAGTTTATTTTGGCACAGATCCATGTGTCGTTTTCATATTACACTCCTCTCATGATAGTAGTGTACATGTGGTGCATTCAATGGAACTTAGGAACAAATCTGCTGACTCCATGCCTTGCCATGTAAACGCACCAACTAGAAGTTACATGACCTGATTTCTTTAGAATACTTTAAGTCAAAGTTTTCAGCATTTAAGTCAGATTTAAGATCATCTTTGACCATTTTAGTAGTTCCTAAACCTCATCCCACCACAAATTATAAAGAAGACGAAAACCACGCACTGAAACTGCAAATGCCCGTGGCTTAAAGTGAAGGAAATGTTCGCATGTACAGGTGATAAGGAAGTCGCAGTGCTAATGAAGGTTTGATGAACATTTCTCTGATTTTAAATCAGCAGGAGAAACAACTGTTAGCTAACACTTTGCTAATCGAGTTATTTCACAACTGCAGACTGATTCAGTCCAACCAGGCAAGCACGGCAACTGTTCAATTAGCCGAATAAATATATACTTAACAAAAAAAAAGCCGGTAAAATACAGTAAACCGACTCACTCATGTTCAAATATCACATCGTTGTCCCAATGAAGCACACAACTAAGTACAAAATCTAACATTTCTAGTTAAAACACGAATGGAACTATTATGTTAAGCCACGAATATGCCAGGACCACGAAAAACCAACAGAAAAAACTAATAAAAGTTGTCAAAACGCAAAAGGAATTTAAGGAAACGCTCAGCAGCTCCACTTCATTCTCATGAAACTAGTTAGCAGCTAACATGCTAGCAGCGGCTAACATGCTAGAAAAGAACTTACCTGGTCTGCCACGTCTTCGGCTTTGTTCATTAGATCCTCCTGGCCCATGTTTCTCTATAATTACAGTTTTGTGGTGTTAAAATGTCAACGCAGTACGCTTTATTTATTCGGCGCTCCGTTTCTTTCCTCGCAGGCTTCGTTCACTGTTCCTGCACCCGTTATTTACTTGAAGATTTCCCGATCGCCCAGACGTAGAGAAAGGCCGCCTCCGCCCCACAATGCCCCGCGATTTGACAAGCGAGACAGCGGAGCCCCCTCCAAACAACCGCTGGATGCCACGTAGACCGAACCGAGCAGGGTCTTCACACACCGCCACCCAGCATTGTTTACAGCCCTGCACAGGTAAACAACCCTGATCACACACATAAGCACTGCTGCAGGCTGGTTACATGCAAAGATGCAGGAATCAGCCATGAAAAAAAAAATCTTATATAATAAACTTCAAGCCTCGTTACATTGAAGACACTACAGTGCAATCCTTATTGAAAATTGCACTTAAAAATCCTAATAATAAAAATCAAAACATTGAAATATTAATTAAATGGTTAAAGTATGCTTTATGAAACAAGCTAAATATGACTTTCTAGCCAGAGGGGGCCCTGAATTGTGTCAATCTACGCTTTGGTGTATTCAAACAAAACAAAACCACATACAAAAGAGCAGCATCAGTTTTTTTAATGTAAAAAAAATCTCTGAGAAAGTTAAAACATAATTTAATCTACTTTTATGCCAGTTTCCAGTTGTGACAGTGGTTCCTTTCCACACTGGCAGAAACAAGCAATGAATATTTCACTCACTCATTTCCTCTTTGTGCATGTGCAGGGAGCTGGTGTCTATTTTCAGTGGTGAAAGATGTCCACTCATTGGAAATGTCCAACATGGGGACATGAACAAGACAGGCCATTACTTGCAAACACACAAATGCAAACACCTGCAAGTGTTTTAGATAAGTCAGTCTAACTAACATTTGGTCTGCTGGAGGAAACGGGAGTAGCCTACCTAATCTATAGTGACACAAAAATGAACTCCAGCTGATCACCCCTTACCTGCTCTCTATACACCTTTACTCCACCACTCTCTCTATATTCTGCTCTCCCCACCTATTCCACCTTCCTCAGGATCCACTAATTTCCCTATTTCCAATTATCTCTCTCTTTCTTAACTTTTTTTAATCACAATTGTCTAGTTTTGCGCATTTTAAATATATTTGTAAACATTTTCTAAATGCTTTTTTATATTTTTACATTTTTTGGTTTTTTGAAGCGCCTCGGGATTTTTATCTTGAGAGGCGCTATAGAAATGATATTTTCTTCTTCTTCTTAATTTTTGGTAAAATACACCTCTGAGTGATTTTATGTGAACTTGTTAAACTTAGAATTTTCAGTAGCTCCTACACTGTAAACTGTAGAGACACAAAAATACTCCGGCTGATCACTACTTACCTGCTATACATAATACACCTTACATTTTTTGGAAACATTACTTCTCTGATTTTTGATGATTCATTTTTTTTGTACAAAGTCTTTATTAGAGAAAGGCAAACATCAGTCACAGCATTTTTTACAGATATATTTCCCTTTCTTAATTTTCAATTAACCCAAACCTTGCCCTTCCACAGCAGCACATCTATGATCAGATTGGCTACTTTAACCTAAGTATTCACAGCGACAACAAGCAAAAAGGAAAAACAAAAAGTAAAAAAGAATATATATATATATATATATATATATATATATATACATACATATGTCTATATATATATATACATATATATATGTGTATATATATATATATATACATATATATATAATATATATGTATACATATATATATATATGTATACATATATATATATATATATATATATATATATACATATATATGTATACATATATATATATATATATATATATATATATATATATATATATATATATATATATATATATGTATACATATATATATGTATACATATATATATATATATATATGTATACATATATATATGTATACATATATATATATAGGCATATGTATATATATATATATACACATATATACCAAGCCCCCACAATGCGGCTTTAAAATTGAAGCCAACCCGGAAGAACCAAAAATTGCAGTTCCACCCTCATCCGCTGGGGGCTGGTGTCAGAAGCGAGCAAATCCTCATTGACTCCCATGTTAAAAATGCCAATTTCACAGCAGAAATAAACATGTTTACAGCCTGGTACCAAAACATGTTTTTTGTTTAAATTATCTAGTTTACACCCATGACAACTCTGAGGGGGGGTGGAGGAGCAGGAGTGCCCAGCAGGTGATGGCGAAGAAGATGGATGAGAGAAGAAGCAGCAACAGCGGAGAGAGATCCGCGGCCGGAGACGCCAGGGCACAGAGCGCAACACAGCAGGCGGGCAGAGTTACTCTGCCCCCGCGCGTAAGTAATTGATCAGTGCCTGGCAGTGTTAGAGTTGCTCTCTCTCTGTGAGTGGTCTGGTGCCGGGGACCTATTTACTGCCGGAGTTGTTGTGTGCCACAGGGGCCGGGCCGAGGAGGATTGGATCCAGATCGCACACTCGATTGAACACTTTTTTTCTTTGGCATCATCATCAGGGTTTTGTAATAAATGTACCTTTTTAATTTGCTTTGGCTGTTGCACTGATTGGCTTGTTTTTTTAGAACCTATTTTAATCCGTTTAATATTAGTGGCACCTTCCATTCCACCTGGATCGTGTCAGATACATAACCCAAACCAATATTACAATAACATAAACTCTTACACAAAACGCTCCTCTTGATAGAGCAAATCTGTTCAGCACATTCTGACAGACAGACCACCTTTCTTCTGTCATGTTGCTGTACAGGACATTTTTAGAGTTTTTCTTTTTAAAGATAAATAGTATTACATTTAAAGAGCAATACTTTCACATTATCAATTTCCCACACTTTCTGTATACCTGTATTTTATTGTTTTTCAATAAAGAATGACAAATTATTTAAGTTTGTGGTTTTTTAGCACACAAATATCTCTGTAAAAAGTATTTACAAAGCTAATATTTACATAACAAGTATGATTTGGTTTTGCAATACAGCACTCTGTTTATTTTAGTAAGATTTTTAAACCAAGTAAAGTTAGTAAAGAACACATTTCTATTGGCTGCTAAGAAACTGTTGGACTTAAAACAGGCCTGTTGTAGAAACAACTTGGCATAAATGATTCTTCCTTTTTTGTCTTAACCAAAGAAATTCCAGTGATTGAGCAAAAACATTTATTTTTTTACTTCACATTTTGTAAAATAACAGGACACAAAGTGTCAGGACATTTAAAAAATACTTAAAATACTAAAAGGGGCCCAGAGAGCTGCAGAGTGAGTGGAACATTGGGTTGTGAAGGAAGAACAGTTCTCAACAGTGTGATATGAGGGGATCCTTGGGGAAGGACAGGGGCCGCCGTCCCCCCAGGGCCCCGAACAGGCGTCGGGACACAGCCTGAGGGCCGTGGGCTGGCAGATTTTCACCACAGCACCTGGCCCTCTGGGAGGCCCAATGCGGAGACGCTTGGGTGGTTCGAACCACGTCGCAGGGCTACAGGTTGCAGTTCCGCCCTCGGCCCCCACCCCCTTCGGGGGTCAGGGTGACTTCGGTCACAGATCCTGCACGAGTCAGCATCCTGATGCAGGAAATAGATGGTCTCCTGGACAAACGGGCCACAGCGGTCGTTCAGCCGCATTTGCAGGCAGACGGCTTTTATTCAACGTATTTCTTGGTACCAAAGAAGGACGGGTCCCTGCGGCCGGTACTGGACCTCAGGGGTCTCAATCGGTTCCTGAAGGTGCTGCCCTTCCGCATGCTTCGGACTCGTGATGTCCTTCAGGTAGTTTGTCCAGGGGAGTGGTTCACGACAATAGATCTCAAGGATGCAGGTACTTCCATGTCCCGATCCATCCGGGGCACACGAAGTACCTGCGGTTTTCTTTCCTCTGGAGGGTGTACCAGTTTCTGGTTCTGCCATTCGGCTTGTCTCTCACCCCCCGAGTTTTCACGAGGTGCGTGAAGGCAGCCCTGAGCCCCCTGTGTCGGGCGGGGTTGAAGGTCCTGCCATATCTCGACGACTGGCTTGTCTGTGCGCCATCGTGTCGCGAAGTGGGTCTGGTCACGGCCAGTGTCCTTGCTCACGTCGAGGCACTGGGGCTGACGGTGAGCCTGCAGAAGAGTTCTCTGGCTCTGACTCAGCGGGTGGATTTTATTGGCATTGCCATAGATTCTGTGGCCATTCGGGCGAGGCTGACCGAGCAGAGGAGGGTCCGAATTCGGTCTTTGCTCCGGGCTGCTCCAACTTTGGCCCTTGCAGAGGTGGTTCAACGGCTTCCGCCTGGATCCCCGGCAACACCGACGGGTCGAGCTGGAGGTCACGAGCAGCTGTGTGGCTCTTTTGCGCCGTTGGGATGATGTCGCCTACCTGAGTCTCGGTGTCCCACTTGGCGCGGTCCCCGCCAGACGGGAGGTGGTCACGACGGATGCGTCACCCCGGGGGTGGGGGGCGCACTGGCAGTGCAGGTCGGTCAAGCACGTTCTCGTCCGGACGGACAGCACCTCGGCGGTGTTCCACATAAACCATCAGGGGGGCACCATGTCATTGCGATCGTTGAGGGAGGCTCAGATGCTGTTGACCTGGGCTTACCCTCGCTTGGCCTCCATCAGGGCACTGCATCTTCCGGGGTGGAGGAACTCGGTGGCGGATTGCCTGTCTCGGCGGGGTCGACGCCCCGTTGGGGATGGACGCCCTCGCCAATGCCTGGCCGTTGGTTTGGCTGTACGCTTTCCCGCCTTTCCCGTTGATCTTACCGACCCTCCATCAGGCGAGGGACTCGTCACACGAGGTCCTTCTGGTGGTGCCAGACTGGCCCATGAGGGTGTGGTTTCCATTGCTTCTCAGTCTGTTGAACGGGGAGTCGTGGCGGTTGCCGGCGAGACGGGACCTCCTGTCTCAGATGGAGGGGAGGATTTGGCATCCGTCCCCAGATCATCTTCAGCTCACAGTGTTGCCACTGAGGGGTGCAGGCAGCCCCCAGTCGGCTTAGAGCCCTCCATCCAGCAGGTGCTGGATAGTCCCAGGGCTCCATCTACAAGGGCCACGTACGCTCACTGTTGGAAGCAGTTCTCTACCTGATGTTCCGGCAGGGACGTGGACCCTGGTTCTTGTTCCCTGCATGAGGTTCTGCGGTACCTCCGGCACCTGTTTCACAAGGGCCCGGCTGCCTCGACCCTGAAGGTACACCTGGCGGCTATTTCGGCCAACCACCTCTTAGTGGATGGCGGGAGCGTTGGGGCTCACTATTTGGTGACCCAGTTTATGCGGGGCGTGAGAAGGTTGTGTCCTCCCTTGTGCAGGCCGGCACCTGCTTGGGACCTTCCCCTGGTCCTGCAGGCCCCGTGTGGGCCACCCTTTGAGCCGATGACTACCGCCCAGTTGGAAGTGGCGTCTGTGAAAACCGCCTTTCTCTTGGCAGTGACAACGGCTAAACGGGTCAGTAAGCTGCACGCACTGGACATCAGCCCTGCCTGCCTGTGGTGGAAGGCAGATGGGTCGGGGGTGACGCTGTTGCCCAACGTTGCCTTTCTTCCCAAAGTTCTGCCCTCTGGCTACGTAAATGCTGCAATCGAGCTGGGGGCGTATTTCCCTCCCCCATTTCATTCAGAGGGACAAGGACGGGCGAATTTTCTGTGCCCGGTCCGGGCACTGCAGCTCTACATTGTGGCTACAAACACTGTCCGGCAGTCGAAGCAGCTGTTTGTCTGTCACGGAGGAGTGAACAGGGGTCGAGCCCTTTCGAAGCAGAGGCTGTTGCATTGGGTTGTGGATGCCATTGCGATGGCTTATGCGGCAGTGGGTGCAGTGGCTCCCCCGGGATCGTGTGCCATTCCCCAAGGAGTGTTACTACATCCTGGGCGGCGATGAGAGGCGTGCCACTGACGGACGTCTGTGCGGCGGCGTCCTGGGCAACTCCGTGCACGTTTGCATGCTTCTACCGCCTCAATGTTGGCCACGGGTCCATGCTTGCTTCGGCGGTGCTGCCTCTGGTGGCTACCTCTTGAGTGGGGGTAAGTTTTAGGTTCCTCGTGACACTGCTGGCATAAGTCATCTACTCTGTTTACTGCCACTGGCAGTCAGGAGGGAACGAAACAGAACGGAAGTTACGGTGTAACTATGGTTCTGTGAGTTCCTGGATGACTGCCAGTCACAGGGGTCACTTGGAACTTCTCGGGCGAGAAGATCCCGGGAGACCCGAACGTAGCTATCGGCACATAATTTATAGACTAGCGACCAGGTACGCTATGTGTCACGTGCGTGACTTTGTTTACATTAGTACTCGACCTGCGCAGAGCGCGAGGAGATACATCCACTCTGTTTACTGCCACTGGCAGTCATCCAGGAACTCACAGAACCATAGTTACACCATAACTTCCGTTTCTCTGACATGTCTTTATCCAGGATCCCAACCACTAACTTGTTGCGAATGTTTTCAATCTTCGCCGGACCAAACTGACAGGTCTCGGCCAGTTCATAGAGTGTACGTATGTATTCCTCCGCGGACTCACCCTTCTTTTGCGAGCGGAGGTAAAACCGTGCTCGTTCGTGGATGACGTTAACTTTTGGAATTAAGTAATTATTTAGCTTTTCCAATACTGTGTCGTAGTCCTCCTCCTCAACGAACCGCAGAGTGTTAAACACTTGTTCCGCTTCCTTGCCAAGCGCGTAGAGTAGTGTGCTAACCTGCACAGCTCCAGCCTCAAGGTTTAGCTTAGTTGCTAGCCGTAACGCTGGAACCGCTGCCTCCACTTCGGCCACTGCTCCGGGCGGGTGAAGTCAAAGTTCTCGGGAGGGTTAAACTTGGCCATATTCACCGCTTAATTTCTGACACCATGTTCTAAGTACAACCAACGTAATAAATGACTCAACGTCCTTAAACTCAAGAGGTGTTGTGTTTATTTCTCAGCCCACCGAACTCTCTCCAAAACTCCTCCCACTTCAGGCAAGTCTTAAAGGCATACACACTGCATCTATTCACATGACACTTCCTAAAACACCAAACAGGAGCTTTTGAAAATTAAATTTTAAAAAATTCACAAAAAATTCTGTCATTTTACAAAAAAAAAAATACAAATGTGTAGTATGGAGAGCATGCAAGCAGTGATAAGTTGGAGTAATTTTGATGTCACTATAGTTTTCAGGGTAGATAAAATTATAAGTTAAAAAACCACCCAAAATAAGAGAAGTCATTAAAAAAATAAAAGATGTAGTAGGATCAGCATCCAAGTGGTGATTTACAGTGTGTATTTGGTGTCACTACAATTTAAAATTAAGGAGATAAAATGTCACCCAAAATCAAAAATGTGAAGTGTGGTATGATCAGTTTAGTTCGTTTGGTCACACTGCATATTAATGTCTTATGTTTAGTGATGACATATTGAATGTTTATATTACATTGTATTTTTGTAGAACTGTTTAGCCTAAATTTACAGTGCAGGCACAACAGTTATAAAGTTATGTCTTTGTATTTTCCATCAGATAGTTCATAGCTAATAACTTTCTACACTTGTTAACTTTCTCTTAACAAACCCAGAAACGCCCATTTCTTGATAAAACGAAACTTTAGTTAAACGCGGAATTGAAAGCACGTTCTCAACGTGAGCTCTCAGCAGTTTTCTCTGAGACAGCAGGAGGGGAGATTAGTGGCTGGACCGATGGGCTGGACACAACAGAACAGAACTAGAGAAGAGAAGCAGATCCGTTCGGTTCTGGTAAGTAAGTATTTGTTTAGACTGGATGAGCGTGTGAGAGAACGTGGAGTGGGGTAGCTGCTGGAGAGACACTGACTCCGGTGCTACATGACACCCCTGAGTAATTGTGGCCTTACAAGTGTGATATACTTTATCTTACACCTACCTGCCTCCAGAACGACTTACTTTATTGTTAATTAGCTGAATGCACAGGAGCTAAAGTTAGCTGCGCAGTTCCACGGGGAGGTGAGCTAGTTAGCATACATGCTTTATTAGCGTCACACGCGACTCGCTGCGTTTAGTTCAGACGACTCATTAAATGAGCTAAGTGAGTTTAACTACTTGTTTAGCTGTTATTTTTGTTTGCAAAATGTCGAGGAAGCGACTGACAACATGTTTATGAATTGCCAACATGTGATTGGCTGAACCTTAGAGCCAAAGATCGTTCATCACAGATGAATGAATCACTCTGGAGGTCAAAACAAGCAAGATTTTCTTAGTTCTGCCTGCAAATAAACAAATGCCTTAGAATTATTTAATGTTCATCTCGCAGACATAAGTTAGACATTCAATTAAATACTCTATCAAGCCTCATAATGAAATGAAATTATTAAATGGAATTTGGATTTCATTGTATTAGTACAGAAGAAACAAATTAATAAAATGTTTCGTAGTGTTTACTTTTATCGTCAAATTTATCGTTATCGCCAGAAGGGTCTGAAATTACCTGTTTTGGGCAATATTGCTCACCCATAATGCTAGGAATGTTTTAATTTTAATATAAAGAATACAATAGACTTTATTGATTGCACAGTGGGGAAATTCACTTGTTACAGCAGCACCAACAATTAAGAGAATAATTTTAAGAATAATAATAAAGGTACACGTATATGCATATAGGCAGTAATCTAGTATTGTAACCTTCAACCACTAAAAACCACAAGTAAAAAACGAAAAAAAAATTGGGTTCCAACCATCGACATATACATAATGGACAATTCCTGTCCAAAGGCTTGTATTATAAGTTTTTAATCTGAAATTGGAGGTGGCCACCACCGCCATTTTCATTGTGTCACATGTCTCGTCACGCCCAGACAATTCCATAAAAGGGAAAAGAGGTGGAGCTGAGGGTGGGGTTGTAAGGCTGGGATCAAATGACGACACCCGTTGAACAGAAACAATGTAGCTACAAGCTAGCCCAAAGCTAACGCAGAGGTGAGAGCTAAGCCGAAGGAGGTAGCTACCTAGCTACAACCGGAGCTAACTGTGCACAGTACCGGAGCTTCTGAGTCGGAGATGCGCCGGGCTGACCACTAGGGAGAACCGGGTGGAACACAGAGGTCTCCCGAGACCTCCACAAGCCGGCAGTCCGCGTACAGACAGGTGTCGCTGCGCTCAGAGATGCGCCGAGCTGCCGCTGAAAGGAGGGAGTACATACCGATAGTCAGAACCCAGCTCCACCGGACAACATGTCATATTTCAACCCCTTTTCAAAAATGCAGCGTTATGTTAAATGCACTGGGTTTTACCCTATTAAATTTAAATGTCATGGTGAAACAATACATATTAAAATGGTAGTTAGTGAGCTACTTTGATAAGCTCAGCAAACGCAAGAGCGGCAGTGACCTAAAATACATAAATATAATTTTACTTACCAAAAAAAATGAAGTGAAGACTCCTTGGACGCTCTATTAGACCAAGTAATACCACAGCAGGTCATTTTGTCCAACAATTGCACAAATAATATCTAAAAAAGAATACACAAACAGCACAACTAATGGTCTAAGTTGAGAGACTGAAAATGGCGGAACAGTTTTAAGGCGAGGCTGAGGCTCAGGCTGAGGCCTTTCCCTGGAGCTAGGTCTGCAGTCACGTGGGTCTGATGCTCATTAATTATTCAGAATTTTAGGCATTTAATACACTTAAACATAAGAGTGACAAAAATTCACCCCCCTATGAGTTGTCATGAGTGCATACTAGATCTGTTAAACATTAAACATGTTTTGGAACCAGGCTGTAAACATGTCTCTGTTGTGAATTAGGTATTTTTAACATTGGAGTCAATGAGGATTTGCTCACTTCTGACACCAACCCCTAGTGGATGAGGGTGGAATAGCAATTTTTGTCACTTCCTGTTTTGCTTCATGTCCAGACCGAATTATGGGGCTTGGTCAACACTATGCAGCATACTGCAAGATGCTTTGAGGTAGTGATTTTCTGGCATGTTGTGGAGGTTCTTTTTTCTTTAGCTTCCTTTTATTTATTTTTAGATACTAGTAGATGGAACGGGTGGTAACTGTGGTAAAGGTCACTTGACACAACTGCAGACTTATCCTTTCGTCTTGCTTTTTAACAAAACTTACAGTTTGTTGGGCAAGGCTGTTCAAAGTTCAAGTGAGAGAAACAACGCAGTCCCTTGTGATTGTTTAAAAGCTGATCACACAGTCATACGACGGCAAGTGGCAAACTGAAAGTGAAAGGGATCTGCTTGGTGATAAGGCCATATCTCTCATCCATTTTGTCGTTTGTAGAATCTCTAAAGCCTGAAGATGAAGTGCTCATTCTGTAACCACAATATTGTGGAGAAAGAAGCCAATTTTTGTAGCAACTGTGGCTCCAAACTTTCTGCTGCACCTGCAAACACACAAGGTAAGAAAATAAGCTCAGATAATCTATTTAAGGTAGGAGGTTTACCTATTAACAGCGTTTAATGCCACATCTTTAATTCAGATGCAGAAAATCATCCAAAGTCTTTGATGGCAGACTTGGAAATCAGAATGGAGGAATCAGGGTCTCCTAAAAATGCCCAGCCTCCAGATAAGCAAGATTTAAATACATCTCCCAAACGACAAAATTATGAACAACTCAATCCAAAGAAAAAGGTGGGTGTTTGTCTTTTTGATGAGCTGTGAGTTAAGGGAACATATATTTGTTTAACAAATGATACCAGAATATACAGGTATACAGAATCTCAGGTTTCAATGCTCCTTGAAAAGTTTTATATCACAGATTTGCAAACATGAATTTCTAAGGAATTGTCAAATTAACTTGTAATCACCTCGGTTTCAGGGATAATAGAATAAATATATAAACCAAATCATATAGAAGGGTGTAAAGCTTAAAAATTAATTAAATTCTAATTTAGATATTTTCCTGTTTTCTTGTCATTTTTGTGCTGGTTAGATTATGAGGTAAAAATGTATTTAATTAGCCTCCAATTGTCCAAGTTCTCCCACATAAAAAAGATGAGTGAGGTCTGTAATTTTCATCATATGTGTACCTCAACTAGGGTTGTCACGGTGTGAAAATTTAACCTCACGGTTATTATGACCAAAATAACCACGGTTTTCGGTATTATCGCGGTACTTTTTTAAACGTGCTACATTTTCACACAATTAGATAAACCCTATATGTCAGGAAATATTGTTCTCAGTTTGTGTCTAAATTTTGCCTAAAATTTGTTATTTTGTTATTATGTTGTTTATTTGTTTGCAATTTTCCCCTTTAGTCTTTAAAATACCAATATTTGCCCATAACTTCTTATTTTTTGTCTATTTGATGTCATCATTTAAAAATATTAGATCAGATGATACTCAGTAATCAAGTAGCCTTCTAATCAGATACTTTTTTACCCTTACTTGAGTAATAAACCCTATATCAGGAAAATATTGTCCTCGGTTTGTGTCCTTCCAGTGAGCTTAGCAGATTTGGGAAAATGTCATAAATTTATAATTATTCTCGGAGAGAGACCAACTCTTATCTGCCCCTGGGAGCCCCGTAATGCATAGCGTCATTTCAATATGACGGTGTCCGCGACACGGTTTATATGCAGGTAGCGGCGCTGCGTCTGCTTTATATAGCGACTCGTTGCATTCTCCCTCAACCCAAATCCTCGGATCACGCATTTTAGCTAAAACGCTAACGTTAGCTTGCCTTGCGTTGACTGTAGAGTTGTGGGTGATGGTCACGCAGATGTGTGATGAGATTTGAAGCGTTGCTGCCTTTCACAGACACTTTCTGCACGTGCTGCAAACAGGATAGCCGTCTTCTATCAACTGTCCCTCGGCATTCTTCAAATATCCAAAAGATGCCCGTACTTCCCACTTTGTCTTCTTTGAGGGATTAAAAAAATGTCCTCCTGAGCGCTGCCGTCTCCTCCTTTGGCCATTATTTCAGCTTTAGCTTCAAGAAAGTTTTGGTTGTAAACAACAAAGCGCGCATGTGCCGCCGGCAACTTCAGCAGATGATACGGTGGCTGGACAGAGTGCCAGTCCATCGCAGGGCAACACAGAGACACACAGGACAAACAATCATGCACACACACACTCACACCTAAGGACAATTTAAACAGACCAATCAACCTAACAGTCATGTTTTTGGACTGTGGGAGGAAGCCGGAGTACCCGGAGAGAACCCACACATGCACAGAGAGAACATGCAAACTCCATGCAGAAAGATCCCAGGCTGGGAAGCGAACCCAGGACCTTCTTGCTGCAAGGCAATAGCTCTAGCCACTGCGCAGCCTCCTGGTGATTTATTTAATTTAAGTAAAATTATTACTGTTCGTAATTCTTTTTCTGTTATGTCTTCGGTCAGTATTTTATTCTGTTCTTTATTTAGCACTGGTAAATCTGAATAATTCAAGAATTTATCTATTTCCATTATATTCCCTCCTGTCCTTTCAGTGTAAAGATTTTTATAAAACGTTTCAAAAGCTTCCAGAATTTCACTTAGTTTGCTTCTTATTATTTTAGTCTCTGGATCTTTGATTTTATGGATAGTGTTTTGTGCAGTTTTCTTTTTAAGTTTCCAGGCTAAATTTTTCATTGTATTAGATCCGCCTTCATAATATCTTTGTTTCAAGTGCACCAAATTTTTCTTGATTTCATATTTTGCTAAGTCAATCATTTAATTTCTTGATTTCTTGATTTTCTCCAATAGGGGTTGCTAGCTTTTAATGGTTTTCTTCTAACAATTTTAATTTATTTTGTAGATCTTTCAATTTCTTATCTGTGTTATTTTTTTATGGGAGGCTATCTATATAATTTTACCTCTTAGTACAGCCTTCATGGCCATAAAATAGGAGGGGACACGTCCCCTTTATCATTCGTTTCCCATTAAAGTTGGGTTTTGCTTCTTATCTGTTCTCTGAATCGCGGATCAGCTGGAATTTAGTTTCCAGTTGCTAAACCTCGGTTGTAAATTCAGATCTTAAAAACAAATTTATTGGTGCGAGATCGCTCAGATCTATTGTTCCAATTTCACAGTTTTTAGTTCTATCTTTTCCAAATATTAAGAAGTAATCTAATCTTGTGTATAAATGAGATGAAGAGTAGTGGGTGTAATCTCGTTGACTGGTGTAAATCTTTCCATATATCCAGTAGTCCAGCCTCCTCTAACAAAATGTTAATTTTCTTAGTCAATTTTGTGATTTCCCGGTAGAGACGTCTAAATTTTAGTCTAAATTCGAGTAAAAGATCTTCTCACCATCTGTCCACCTCTTGTATCTTGTCCTCGTTTCTGTTCTTGGCATCTGAATTCTTGGAGTTTCTCCATGGCGTCCCGGTTGCAGTCTTTGCTCTTTCTTGTCGTGCTCCACTCTCTGTTTTGGATCTGCTCCCGGATGTTCTCCGGACTCCTGATGACCGTTACCGGGAATCCCTTCTTTGACAGGTTGCCTCCTCCGCCGAAACGTATAGCACTGGTCCCTCAGGGTAGAATATCCGGGAATGGTGTTTGGAACTGGAGTTTCTTCTCTCTTAGCCCAGCTTTCACCTCTGAGTATTCCTTCCGTTGTTTCAGGACCTCAGGTAAGTAGTCGTGATCTTGGTTAACTTTGTTCCCCATATATTCAAATCCACGTTTTTTGCCAGACTGTTTTTGTTGTTTCTTCTTTTGTTCTATAGCTGGCCATCTTGGCGATGATGGATCTGGGTGCTGCGCTTGATGGTGGCTTTGGCACCGTAGCACAGTTTTCTCACTCTGTTTGTATTTCACTCTTCTTCGACATCTTCAGTTTCTGTCTTAGCAAGCGCTCCAGGAAAACAGCCATAGATGGTGCGTCATTTTCTGACCCCTCTTTGATTCCATATATTCTAATATTTTCTCTTCTGGACCTTCCCTCTAGATCTGTGTTAAGTTTATCCGTTACTGCTTCCTTGTTGTTTTGTATTCGAGTTTTGGTATCTTTTACCCTTTCCTCTGCTTCTTCTTATTTACCTCTTCTCAGATAGCTTTTAGCTGCACATCATTTTCTTACCCAAATTCCCTCAGTTCTCCAAGTATGGAGTTACTTCCCGATTAATTCATTTTCCAGCTGATTCCCGATTCGACCAAATCGGGGGGGAAAAGCATTTTTGAAACCATTTTCTCCTTTGACGTCAAGTCAAAGACTCTGCCACGCTGCAAGTGATTTCAGACACAACGGCTCTTTTAGGAGCCACCCCACACCTTAGACACAAACAAGCATTCCAGCTTCCTGCGGTGACCTGGAGAGATCTCAGACTAGACGGGTCCTATCGGAGCTAATCTACGGGTTTCTGATATCAAGAGGTTCACTCCACCGGCAGTGTCCATCACGACCTCTTGACCCCCTGGATCGCATGAGAATCTCTACAATTTTGTTTCTGGTGTCCTTTGACAGCCCTTTGATCTTACCATACCATACCATTTTATTTATACCGCGCATTTAAAATACAGCATGAGAGCTGAACAAACTTGGCCATAGTGGAGTTTGCAGTGTAACCATTAAGGTCATGGACAGGTGTATTTTATACTAATAACAAGTTCCAACAGGTGCCAATAATACAGGTAATGAGTGGAGGTAAGAGGAGTCTCTTACATAAGAAGTTACAGGTCTGTGAGAGCCAGAAATATTGTTGTTTGTAGAAGACCCAAAACCTATTTTTCCACCACAATTTGCTAATAAATTAAAAAACATTCAATGTGATTTTCTGAATTCAATTTTTCTCATTTTGTCTCATAGTTGAGGTACACCTATGATGAAAATTACAAGCCTCTCATCTTTTTTAAGTGGGAGAACTTACACAATTGATGGCTGACTAAACACTTTTTTGCCCTACTGTACACCTTATTTTGTCTTTATAGAAAAAGAAGAGGAAGAAGTGCAAAAAGAAGAAAGACGGTGTCTCTTCAGATCAGGATCAAAGCCAGTCAGAGCTGTCATTTGGTTCTCTAGAAGACAACCAGAAGACAGAAGACGCAGGACACTATTCTGACAGTGACAGCTCTAATGTTAAAATGGAGGATGCATTAGAGTCACTCCAAGATGAGTTCTCCTCTCTGGAAAGACAGCCACATTCATTGACCGATAACGTTGCTGCTGCTGAAAACACTCCGGTCACACAGAGCGAAAAACCTGCAGTTGGTTCCAATACAGCAGGTCGTTCTGAGGAAACTTCAGTTAAAGCTAAAGGTGGAGAGAGAGGTGCACAGACGTCAGCACAGAATCAAACTCTTCCCTCTGCAACAGCTCAACGTCCCACCTCAGAGAACAAGAACTCGGGTTCAGATGAGGGAACACAGACTGGTGATGCAAAAGTTCAGATGACTGGCAAAGACGTCTCAAGAAACAAGAAAGAATCTGATCTTACAACGCCGTCTACTCTGGATCAGAATGCTAATTTAGACCAACATGCCAAACAGGCTGTAGAAGCCAAAGAGAAAGGAAAAAATCAGGCTAAGAGGCAGAAAGAAAATGTTCAGGATGATCTGAAAAAGAAAGAAAAGGTTCAGAGTGAGCAGAAAAACAAAGAGAAGAACCAGGAGAATCAGAAGAAAAAAGAAAGTGACCAGGATGGTCAGAAAAAGAAGGAAAGGGTTCAGGATGATAAGAAACAAATAAAAATAGATCAACAGGACCAGAAACGGATGCAGAGTTCAACACCACCAATGGTATTCATAATTATTGTTCAGTATAATCTGTTTTTCTTTTTTAAATGACCAAACTCTTGGGTCTTAAATTCATGTTTGGTTCCACAGGCTTCCAGCTCCAGTGTGGACCCAGAGGACATGGAGGTTGCTGGGTCTGGGGATGGGGATGAGGATGGGTCTGGGGATGGGGATGGGTCTGGGGATGAGGATGGGCAGCGCAAAACTTCAGATGGTGACAAAGAACACAACAAAGGCACAAAATCCAACACACAAACACCACTGCCCAAAAGGTGACACCTCAACCTTTCAATCTACTTTTTCATTTTGTTTATCACATTCAATAAAACATTAATATATATATATATATATACATTTTTTTTAGGTTGACTCCACCCAAGAATATTTCTACATGTGAAAGACTCACAATCTTCTTCCATGCAATTCTCTCAAAAGACTTTAAGTTTGATCTAGAAGAAGATTCAATCTTCATCCAGGCTGGGCCTCCGATTGGGAAGTGGGAGGAGATAGTAGCTGACCTGCATGTGATCAGGTAATAATATTTCTGAATACAAACACTAGAGCTGAGGAAAATAATCTAACAATCAATGCATCTTGATGTGGACATAAATGATTATGAATCATTGAAGTGCACCTGAGACCAGACCCGAACCAAATAAGCCCGACGAGTTGAGTCCGATTTGGGCTGATGAATTATGTTAGTTGACTGAGTTGAGTTGTGCATGGACAGCAGAGAGAGAGAGATGGACCGATTGTGTGCTTGTACAACAGAGGAGAGGAGGACACACCTCAAGACACGTGTTATGATTCCTCCTTGGTGTTTCAAGATGCGTTTAAAAAGCTCTGGTTCAGTCGGGCTCCGAGTGTTGTGATGTCGGGACTCGGGAGAGCCGGTTTTGGGTAGGGTGAGGGTGAGTGACAGGCTGCAGGAGCTATCAACTTTCTCTTATTTATTTGGAGAAGTTTACTAGCCTGACCTGCCAGACTCATCCTCTGTGTATTTTACACAGAGGATGAGTCTGGATACTCGGTGGCATAAATAACCATCAGAAAATAGGCAGAAATGGCAACTGTATTGTACGACGCAGTCGTTTTTTTTAGCTCTAGTGAAAGGTGGCATCTGGCGACGGCGCTGACATGTTTCTGTAGAAGAAAGGCTTTTAGCGCTTCTTCTTAAAGATATGCCAAAGTCATTTAGAACAGAGGAAAGAGCAGCAGCAAACTCCGCATCAGACGCTGTCTTCGTTGTTTATGAGAATCTGAGCATCGTGGTGTGTGACGTACGCTGCTCAGCGCTGATTGGCTCGGTTAGAATTCTCAGGGGGTGGGGTTATTTGAATGGGAGTGTCACCAGGTCCTTTGCTTCCCATAAGGAAGCATATTTAGTATGACTGACCAGGCAAGAAATTTACAGGAGAGAGTGAGCTCCTCTGAATGAGGGCGATCAAAGGGAAAAAAGAACATTGTGCCAATGTTCCACACTGTGGAAGTTCTTGTTACACTTTTTTTCTTTTGATGTTACATTCAACTAAAGAAATCCTGGGAGGAAGTTTTGGTTGATTTTAAGTTACAGGAGATCTTGTTTCCCTTATCTTCTCCTCCAGAGACACGGTGGACATGAGGAGATAATAGAATGGTAAATGGCCTGTTTTTGTGCAGCGCCTTCTTAGGGTTCTACAACCCCCCAAGGCGCTTCACAACACAATCAGTCATCCACATATTCATGCACACATTCACACACTGGTAATGGTGAGCTACAATGTAGCCACAGCTGCCCTGGGTGCACTGACAGAGGCGAGAAGAAGTCAAAATATTCCCAAAGGGCAGGTTTGTAGAAAGATTTGTAGTTAGCTGGTTAGTGAAGGAGGTCCATCAGCTGGGTAGACTATCATTTAATTCTAATCCAGCCCACAGCCTCCTGCGGGTGTTATTATCAGCAACAACAAAACAAACATCTAAAATATTATTGGAAGTTTAGGATTTGCAAGATGTTTTCGTTTTTTCTACATTAAACAGAACTTTGTTCATGCGCCAACATTTCTGAAATGAGACAACTGGGTTCAAACAAAATAAACAAAGGCAACCATTTCATTTCACGTATTTTCTTACTCCCTTGAATGGCCGGTGGGGGTGGGGGGTGCGCGTGGGGTTTGGGGGCCACAAAGAGAGGTCTCGCGGGTGGAACGTGGCCTGCGGGCCGCCTATTGAGTATCGCTGGCCTACTGGTTGTGCAGTGCACCAGGCTAAAGACCAAAGGTGACCGATCATTTGCTGCTGTGGCCCCCAGACTCTGGAACTCTCTCCCGCTGAGCCTGAGATCAGTGGACTCAGTGGTCTCCTTTAAAAAGCAGCTGAAGACTCACTTGTTCAAGCTGGCTTTTGTATGACCTTCATCACCCTCTCCTTGTTCTTTTCTTACTCCAACTTTACCGGGATCCATTGATTTCCCTCTTTCCTATTATTTTTGTCTCTCTCTCTTTCCCATTTTAAACATATTTTAATCATTTTTTAAAAATCTTTTTATACTTTAAATTACTTTTTGTTTTTGTAAAGCGCCCCATGATTTTTATCTTGAGGGGCGCTATATAAAAGATCTTCTACACCTATCTCCTGCATTAGCTTCTGAAAGAAAATAGACAGTGAGACTCTAGAATTTGAAAAGTCTGACAGATCTACAGTGCTCAGCATAAATGAGTACACCCCTTTTAAAAAGTACAAATTTAATCAGTAGCTCAATAAACAAAAGAACAATTTCTAAATATTTCACAAGGCCTGGATGAGAGTGATGCCCAACTTGCTGCTTCAGAATTCCCCACAGGTGTGCGATTGGGTTCAGATCAGGAGACATACTTGGTCATTCAATCATCTTCACCCTGTTGTTCTTCAGAAATGCAACAGTAGCTTTAGATGTGTGTTTTGGATCATTGTCGTGTTGGAAGAGTGCACGACGACCAAGAGCACAGAGTGATGGCAGCATCTTCTCCTTCAGTATAGAGCAGTACATTGTTGAATTCATGATACCATCAATGAACTGCAGCTCCCCAACACTAGCAGCACTCATACAGCCCCACATAAGGACACCGCCACCACCATGCTTCACTGTAAACACTGTGCATTTTCTTGGAAATCCTGACCTTTATGACACCATACAGTTTCGAAACCATTAGTTCCAAAAACAGTGATCTTTGTCTCATCACTCCTTCATCAACCGTTCTCATCAGAAGATTCTCTTGTCGATATGTTAACTTTTGTGGACAGCCTGGACATCTCTGTAAGATGGTTGCACTTCCATTTTTCTTAAGTTTTTGGATCACTTTTGCTACAGTATTGTGACTAGAGGTGGAAAGTAACGAATTACATTTACTCGCGTTACTGTAATTGAGTATCTTTTATGTGTATTTTTGCTATTTAAGTCATTTTTTAAATCTGTACATTTACTTGAGTAGGCTTTTTAAAGGAATTATACTTTGCTACATTTTCAATCATATCCGTTACTGAATAATAAAAATTATAGGCTTAATAAATTAAAAATATTGTGCTTTGCAGCGTCGGAACAGAAAGAGACACCTGCATGAGTGCCGCGTCTCACCTGTGGGGGTGTGGGTATACTGAGTACTGTACTTAGCATTCATGGACTCGCCCATCTTGACTTACAATAGTGAAGGCTGTTGTTGTTTTAGTGTCCAGAAATCAGCAGAGAATGTCTCAGCTAGTACAAGCTAAGCGTTAGCATTAGCATTCCAACTACACAGCAGAACTCCTCCAGTGGAGATAAAACGTCTATGTTGCAAGTCAGTGGTAGAGTCGTGTTGCCGTTATACAGTCCGAGGCGAGGTGTCCAAATATCAGGAAATTACTCAGCTGTGATGTCGCTAACTTCTGGTTCCAGAAAATGGTGCTCCAGTGTTTTTTTCCCTGCAGTACGAATTACAAGGTATTCATTCTTACTAGAAACCACTGCAAATATATTTATTAAATGAGTGTTCAACACCTTCAGTGGTCTCTGAAACATAGAATCCTAAAAAAAACCTCATCCAATCATTGTGAACATAAATTAAATCTAATATATGATCAATAGTTAAAGATTTGCCTTATCACCACAGTCCAGTTGCATGGACATGCAGAGCTAGTTTTATGTTTTGTCACACTAACTTTAACCCTGACATCAGCATTTCTCTTCCTGTTGCAGAGATCTTGGAGACCACGGGTTTCTGGTTGGCGGCCAATTCACAACAAGCAAATCTTTAATTTTGTCTCAGTCGGTTCCATACAAATACGTCATCTATAAGAAAAAAAAGAAGACATATGAGTACGAGTACATATACAAGATGGATTCTTCAAAGGGCATTACCAACAGGTGTTTGTTCGTGAGCCCTCGATTCATCCCTGATGATGGTAAATCAGGCCTTCTCTCAGACTACACACAATGTTTTTTTAAACAAAAATAAACTGTGATTGTACAACAGATAAATGTTTTTGTTTTATTTTTTATTACAGGGGACTGGCATCAATATGATGACATTATCTGTGCTGGGCCATCAAAGAACATGCTACAGCGGGTCAAGGAAAAGTTGTGGCCTGACCAACGTAAAAGTCTAATTCAAGGCAGAGAGATTGCAGGACGTGTAATGCTGGAGACCATATTTCAGCTCCTCAGTAGCTGGAGTGAAACCAACTTAAGAAGTTTTCAAATCCAGCTAAGTCAGTTCTTCCAGGTTTATGGGAACCCTTTTGTGTTTGAAGAGACGGGAAAGAAATGGAGCACTCTGCAGTTCGGAGAAGATGATGTAAGTTCAGAGATGATCTGGGAAAGGTCCAGAAATTAGATTTGGCCAGATTATCTTGATCTTCTAGATCTCTGTTGTGCTTTTATAGGTGAGGAGGATGCTGAAAGACTTCGTGTTGCAAAACATCATTCCTCAGTTGAGAGATGGAGTTGCATCAAATGTGTACATTCAGGACCATTTGAGGGCAGCTGTTGTCGTGCTTTACATCTGCAGACAGTTTCAAATCAAACTTGAAAATCGTGAGCTCAACTGCCTTTGTGGTGCTCTGTGTTTGCCTAAACTAGAGAAAGACAGATTCCTTCAGTACTGGGCACATTTTTCTCAGGATGTCTCAGTATTCACAAAGTAAGTACCTCATCCTTTTGATAATAAAAAAAGCACACACCATGAAACAAACTAAATCACTCATTTCACTTCTCTTGGTTTATTTCATGTCCCATTTTTTTCATTAGTTTGCCAAAATATTTGGTAGATCTGATAAAAAGTGTGAAAATGGGGGGAATGCCTCGCTGGATTATGGTACTACCACTCCTCCACCTTCTCAACGGCCCAGCTAAGCCCTTTGAAGTAAAAACCTCTGGAAACTTTAAGTATGGTCTTTCTTGGGCCGGTCTGCAAGGCCTTGATGTCGTCAACTCAACGAACATGAACAGCCAAGAAAGGAGGTAACACTGTCCTGACCTTTGTTTCTTGTATATCTTTTGCTTCAGTTAAATATAAGCATGCAGTTTTTGATCATCTTTATTTGTGTTGTTTTGGTTAATTTCCAGGGCACTTATAAACGTGATGAAGAACAATACTCACTTAATGAAGGTGGATACACTCTCCATTCGATCCTGCTTGTACCTGATGCCTCTTGAGGAACTGGTGGAGTGCTGCAAGAGCATAAACCCAGAGCTTCTGGACATGCTTTATGCTTTCTATAACAAAACTGTTGTGGAGATCACTAGCACTAATGCCCAGGTTAGCGCGTACACACACACACATTGCACATAAAGTATTTTTTATTAAGTATTGGGAAAGAAAAAAAAAATCACAATTTTTTTTATTTCATTGCAACTCAACTGATACTTTCTGTTGTCTTTTGTAGACAGTCACTGAGATTCTCACTCATATCCAGGAGCATCTCATTGAAGAAAAATACAGGTATGGAAATCAAATCTGTGTAGATACAAGTTACTATTTTTAGATCAATATGGTAAATTTCAGCTTAAGCCTAGTTTATGGTTTTGCATCAGCTCCACAAGCCAAAGATGCACACGCATTGACTGAGACGTTCTGCTCTCGGATCTCTCCTGGGGAGTGTTGCACAGCACTTCCTCGCCAGGACAACAGGGGGCGTAGCGCTGTTCAGGGGTATCCTGTCACGAATCCGGCCCAAGATAGTATTTACTATGGTTTATATAGTGTTTCTTGTATTTCCGAGACTTTTTAACAAAACAATGGGGCCCTCATTCTCCTCCACCTCTTCATGCGCTCGCCACCTCAAAACCCACTTTTCCCTTTAACTAGTGACCTGTGATTAAGAAACAGAAAGTGAAGCTCATAATGTTTCAATGCTGATGTGATTTATTATTTTGTTATTTAATTATGCAAAGTAAAAGTGAAACTAAATCAGTGATTTTAAACACGACACTCACATTTAGTTTTATTTTTGGTGTCCTTGGGCCTCCCCCCGGCCTTTGATGAAGGGGCTTTTCCACTGACACAGTTGGTGTCATATAAACACAGAGTGTTCTGATCAGGTATTGATCTTTGAAATGACCAAAATCAAACCCTGTTCTGATTATCTTTAATCACTGAAGTCCTAAAAGAAAAACATGTATAAATTTGCAAATCTTTTTGTGAAATTTACAGAATTTGGGTCAATTTAGTTTGAAGACAAAACAAGCCATGACTGTAGGGCTGCAACAAACGATTATTTGGATAATCGATTAATCGGATGGGGTCTCGACACGATTAATCGATTAATCGGATTACATGGGGAAATTTTTAAAAACTGCTAGGGAAACGTTATTTCTCTCCTTCCTTCACTTTATTTAACACAACATTATTAGAAAACAGTTCAATAGCAGAAAAACAACATGCCATCACCTAAATTGTCTTATAAGGTGTATAGACAGAGACCCTAAGCTACATCTATCTGTGACCTAAAATGCTTGGTCCAAGTTAAACAGCTTAAGGGCAATTCTCATCTGTTTTGTTTGATCTCATCTGTTAATATTTATTTTAAATGTAATTAAACATAGGCTGTGAATTAATCAAAATTGATCACTATTTCCAAAACTGACTGAAAAAATACCAAATAAAACAAAAGTAAATGAATGCCATCCTCCTTGCGATGATGCCCTGGGCAACTGCCATAAAGTCACATCAAGAAATGCTGCTGATCATTCCAATGATCCCAAATAGACTCACATTAGGCCACATGAAAGCAACTGAACCCAAAAATATATTAACCAGTATATAACTGCACTCTCACACAACACGCCTGCAGCAACAGTTAGGACTCCTCCCTCCCTTTTAAAAGCGTTTTTGCTTCTGAGGACATTGTGGTTGTAAAACCACATGCTAGTAGTCTGGCCCCGGTGTGATCAACCAGTTTCTGCGGGAATGTGACGGCGGAACCAGGGCCAGATTAACACTTTGTTGTACCCTGGGCAACAATATTCAAGGGCTCCATCATCACGACCCAAGGATCACCATAATGTGGTCACATACAGAATATTTTACTGTAATATGCAGTAAATATACTCAATACTTGAATGCCTGACAACACGTAACCCGCCCAGAGTAATCTTTGACCCACCTCGTGTGGACTGACCAATGAGGAGAGGGTCTTAACTTGAGGCCCTCTCTTCATTGGTCAGTCTGCATGAGACTGACTCTCAAATGACATTCAGTCGTAGGCAGCGAAGCGTCTCTGTGCAGCGCAAAAGCCCGGGTGGACAGTTTGTTTAATATAGGGTGACCATATTTCCATTTCCAAACAAGAGGACAGGGGATCTGTGCCTATGACGTCACACTATGGCAACGCCACACAAACCATGTTGGGACCCATTTTTTGTAAGAACTAAATTAATATCAGATTCTGCCAATTAAAGGGCTCTAAAACTATTCATATGTAAATATTTTGCATATTTAATGCAAAATCTAATTTTTCTGCTTTAGTGCTGCAACAAGGTTTTATTAATAATAAATTATTATACCTTTTGTTTTACTACAGCATCGGTAAGCTTCCTGTGCACAGATTATTAAGGATGCTTGTTTCAGCTGTGAGATTAGACGATAGGATCAATGAAAAAATAAGTTGTCACACACTCCATGGAAACTTTCAGAGAATCCACAAATAGTGGCTTTCAAATGGTTTTGTTACTTTTTGCAAGTTTTTAAAAGAAGCAGATGAGACAGCATGTCTGATAATTTAGTTTTTCATCTGATAATATTAGAACATGTCAGTAATGTCTGAGGGGCTTTTATAAACACTGTATAACTAACACTCCTGGAGAGGGCATGGATTACACAGAGGCTTCTGGGGAGCCCAGTTATGGGGGGGGGGGGGGGGGGGGGGCATTTTGCCTTGGCCCCCAAAATGTCTTGAAACGGCCCTGGGTGTGTGACTGAGTTTTGAAGGTGATCTGAATTGTATCAGATGTATAAATATGACATGTGTATAACTTATTGTTTTTTACTGGTAAAAACGTGTCGTGGAGATAAATCTACCTACATTTGACTTTTCAACACTTTGTTTTGTTTTCTTGTTTTTATTTAACTATTTTCCTGTCCTGTCTGTCTCTCATCTTCCTGCATCTCCTCATAATTCTCCAGAAAATCTGTTGCCTGGATTCTTACCTTTTCACCTCATCAGTTACTTTTGAGCAGATCAAAGGGATCTCCTGACCGAAAAGCGCAGAGCGCGTTTTCGATGCTGCGTGAGGTGAAATCACCACAGCACAGGTGATGAGCTCCGCAGTAGCGAGCTTCAGGCACAAATAAGACAGAAAATAGAGAACATGTGCGGACATGAACGATCGTGTGCTAATTATAGTTTTTTGGTTGCGCCACTTTGAGAATGGACCGTGCGCTGGAAGCAGCTGCCTGGATCGCTGCGCGACAATGCGGAACCGGTTCGCAGCAGCGCAAGTCTGCCGGCTCTCCCTCGCGCTGATCTGCCGGTACTGGCTCTCACTCACGCTGATCTGCGGCTCTCCCTCGCGCTGATCTGCCGGCTCTCCCTCGCCGCTGATCTGCGGCTCTCCCTCGCGCTGATCTGCGGCTCTCCCTCGCGCTGATCTGACTTGCTCTGGTCTGCGCGCAACGGCGGGCGGGAAGGGGGGGGGGGGGGGGGGCGCTTTTGGAAGAGTTGTGCGACACAACGAATCGATGACGCAATTCGTTGCCAACGCTTTTAGTAATCGATTTTCATCGAATTTATCGATTCGTTGTTGCAGCCCTACATGACTGCAAACCTAACTTCTCACCCTCTAGCTGAGAGCTAAAACATCCATCCAACATGCAACAAACATGACTTTTTAAAATCATCCGGAGATAGAGATTTTCAAATGTAATATCAATGACGTAGTTTTGATTTCAGTAAGTTACTCCACATAAATATGATTTGTTTCTTGTACCAAAACAACGGTAATGTCACACGATTAATGGCAGGCAGGGACCAAGATGCAGCTGTTAGCAAGCAAGCTAATGCGGAGCTAACGTCTCTCAGGAGAGGTGGTATTTTAAACGGGACAGAGAAGGCAGAGCAACAGCCACTTGTAATGTGTGCACACTGGGCATTTAACATGCTGGATAGGACACCGCTTCATGATTCTCTGCCTTCAAACAGACTACTTTCACTTTCAGCTTTCCCCTTCAGGCGTCAACAAAGTGAATCACCGGTCTCCCATTATTTCCCAGTTTGCCACTAGCAATCCCAGTTCACAGCAAACTCAGACAAAACCTAAAGCAGACAGAGAAAGGTACACTAATAAACAAAGAGAATTAGCCAGTAAACTGCAAAATGTTTCTTGCATCACCAGAGCTGTGTGGTAGCAACAGTTACGCAGCGAAAAATTTGTTGGTCAAGGCTCAGCCTGCCTACTCTATCTTGGCAACATGCATTGCTCAATACAGCTGCATATTGAGAGAGTAAACAACAATATATTCATAATATAAACGTGTTTTAATCTGTGTACTTCCCAAATAAGTGAAAGTGAAACTTAAAAGGACAACTTGGGTGTGTTTTCTTACTTTAACGCGTTCCTGAAAAGTATCAGATCAAGACTCTATCGGCAGATACTCAAAATCAAATCAGTCGGATCGAGAGCAGAAAAATCGTGATCGGAACGTCAAAATCAAGTGTCTCTAAATAATAAAAAGAAAAGGTCTAATTTAAAGATAATAAAATATTATAGTGCAAAAGCCAATGTTCTCATATGTGGACACGGGGTCTCAGGAGGATAATATACAATTTTGCAGATGTTTGGCTGTTCATCTGTTCTTCATATTTACCTGTTCTCATATGTCTATGGAAGAAAAGTAATTGCGTAATATATGTTGCTATCATTTTGTCACCCACCTCTAATTTGGATGATCTGTATTTTTGCCTATAATCTGTCTTTTTTGTTCAAGTCCCTCCACACAGACCTACAGAAAAGAGTGTCTTGCAACAGCAGTGCTACTGTTGGAGAAGATCTGCAAAGGAGTGAAACCTTCATCTTACACTCAAAACTTCCCTGATATTTCTGTGGCAGCGATGAATCTAGTGGCATCAGTGTCAGACTTTTTTCACTCCCACAAGGAACAGGTATAAAAATTTGGTTCAGACGTGTGGAAAAGTTAACTTATTAGTACAGCAAACATGGATATTTTTAGAATGAAATGTATTAAGAAGAAATGACCAATTATTTAAATTTAGGAGGAGCAAGCAGAAGACAAAGATGCAAAAGACTTGGTGATGTCGCGAGCGATGGGAATAATGAGAGACTGGATGACTCGGTCCTTCAGACAGAGTTTGCTCGATCGCGGTTCTTTTTATCGAGCTAAAACCACAGAAATGGAGGTGACTGTTATTCATTTAATCAGTTAAACACAAAGCACATAAAAGAATACTCGCAACCTCATAAATGCAGAGCGGCTTAAATTAGGATTGAATTATTTTAATTTTACAGATATGGAACAACATAATCTCCATTTGCTTCAAAGATGAAGATTACACAAAAGAATGGAGGCAAATATTCACCTTGGATTTCGAGGGAAGGTATAAACAGGTGAGTGAAATAAGATGTCTTGGGTTTTTTTGGGGGGGTGAGAGAACACTATCAGTAATTCATATGTGACTGTGTTTGTTAGGAATCTGCTCTTGACCAAATTCAGTTCTACTGCACATACATTGAAGAGCTGAGGGGTTCCCATCCACATGTTGCTGCCAGCATTGAGAAATGTGCTCTTGAAGCCGTTACGTCCTTGTGCCAGGTAAGAGACGTTTGACTTCACCATAAACACAAATTAATCCGTAGGATTAAGGATTGTCCTGCAGACTTATCAGTAATTAATAAGCAAACCCCACACAAGCTATTGCTCAAAGCATTAACAGTTAAAAAAATAAACACTGTGACAGTAGGAACAAGCTAACAGCTAGTCTGAGCATAAACAAGACCAGAGAAATAACTACTGATAAAAACTCCACAGAGCTCTATTTTTGAAAAACCAGAATTATTCTTTCAAAATTACCTTACGTTTTATTGATTGTTTTTTTCTCTTCATATATAGAGCAGGTCTGAAGGCAAACTTTTGGAGAGGTTAAAGATAAACTGGAAGTTTGGGAATCTCATCTCTGCCATCATTCAAAAGTCCTGGCCAAGGGACCATCATGGAAACTACCAGGAAGATGAAGAACTGGTTCTTAAACATCTTCTCTCCTGGACAGCTGCCAAGGACATTTTCCACCTGCACGGTATTTTCTGATTTAAAGTTAAACAAAAAAAGAACTTTAAATTTTGTATTGTAGGAAAGTACACACTACACAATGTTCTTTCCAAAATTTAAATATGGGTTTTTTTTTAGATGTAGTTGGGTAGCCTGGCAAGCCATTTTCTTACATTTTGCTGTACTGAGACCCTGGTTCAATGACAATTAAAGCTATCCCATATATGTGAATATATAGTCTGGCCTAACCCATAGGGAAAGCCTTGTTGAAGGGCGGAATCTACTGTTGTCTTTCAAACGGTCTCCGCATGCTATTGGCAAACGACCAACAAGACGTACTCACCACTGCGGATGTCAGTCAGTAGGGCAGTTCGTCATTCGTTGTCGAAGAGGACGCAAAGACATCCATTTTCTTCTTAAAGGAATTAAGCACCCATATCTGTTCTTGACTCAAAGAAAAGCACAAGTCTAAATAGTCTAAAGTTGATGCCAAAGCTGTTTCAAACGAGCTGTTTTGCCATCTTGTTCTTCTCAGTCTTATCATTGTGCCCACCAAACCAACAAAGCGCTGTGATTGGCCCATCAAACTGATAGAGCGCTGTGATTGGCATAACACAATACTGCGCGGGCCAGTGGTAGGCCTGCTGAGCTTCTAATGGAGCGTGGCTGGACTAGCCTGACCAGCTGGGAACTCTTCTATTCAAATAGCCCCACCCCCTGAGAATTCTAGCCGAGCCAGTCAACGCTGAGCAGCGTACGTCACACACCACAACGCTGAGTTTCTCATAAACAAGAAAACGGCGTCTGAAGCCGAGTTCGTTGCGGGTCTTTCCTCTGTTCTAAATTACTTGGACATGTCATTCAATCCACAACTAGAAGCACTAAAAGCCTTTCTTCTAAAGAAAGATGTATGCGTCGTCACCATTTTTGACTACAACTAAAAAACAACAGCGTTGCGCGGTACAGTCAGCATTTCTGCCTTTTTTTTTCCTGATTGGTTATTTTTGAGCTGGGTAGTCCCGCCCCTCATGTGCCTCTCTGCTTGAGAGTAACCAGACTAGTTTTCTGTGTAAATAGAGGATGAGTCTGGCTGGCCAGGCTATGGCTGGACTGACGTTCAAAGCAAAATGATTTAGCTTTGGCAACTGACGCTCTAAATTTCTAGACTAGTATTTGTGAAAAGCTTTTTTAAACAAAAATGAGGGCAAGATGTCGAGGGGGCATGCAGAGGTCTTCATAGAGTTAACTAGTTTGGCTAACTCAGGCAAAGAAACAGGAGCAAAGCTATCTAGGACGACGGGTCGGGTTGGAGTCGGGAGAGGCAGACACGCTAACATCTTAATTCTCTGTCTGCAGATGCAGACCAAAGGCTGATTGAGAACCTCACACAGGATGCCAGGGATCAACTTGCCAAAGCCTTATCATTTTTTACAGCCATGACCGATCAGCTGATCCAGGGGAACATGAAGCTCAACCTGCTCAACATCACCCTGGAGTGCAAAGAGGCCTTTTTAGAACTACTGAAGATAGGTAATGTCCATAATTTAAGAAACCTGTTTAGATAAAAAAAAAATGACCGTGGTGACCTGAAACTGAGATACATTATTTGTGTTGAACAGACTGTCTGTGTGAAAAAGAACAATACAAGAATACTGAAGTAATGAGGACACTGCTGCAGTACAGAGAGAGAGAAAAGAAAGCTGTGTACCGGGAAAAAGAGCTTGTTGATGTCCTCTTAACAATGAGCCACAAACTTGAAGAACACATGGCAGGTAGGGGGACAATGTTAAGAGACTTTGTCCTTTTGGTTTATTAATGTTATTTATTAATTTGTGATCTTTTTTTTGTGATAGTTGATGTTGCTGACCTGGAGACCAAATCACAAGTTAACATTGAGATGATGCCCTTGGATCATTTTATGGAGGTTAATCAATTAGATCAACATGCTGTTGACCCAATGTCTGGTATTGTGACCTACTTCGACCTCGATGAAGACGATAGAGAGATGGCAATGTTTCTTTTGACCTTCAAAGATAGCTACATTTTTGGAGTGTGTTGGGAGGAGTTCGCCAAACTCTTAAGTGAGGAGGATTACGAAGATGAGTCTGATGAGGTTCAAACGACACTAGACATTATCTACAGTGCCATTTACCTGGAGTGTTTGAACAAATATAAATGGATCTACACAAGTTTGAAGGAAGGCAGCATCAGAATTAAAGAAATAAACCAGCTTTTCAGTGTGTTTAAAGAAAAGTACGACAAGCTCACCGAGGAACTGAACATCATGTGTAAACTTGAGAAGTCAGCTGACAAACAGTGGATCAACAACCGGGTCGAGCAGGTCAAACAGTATCATGAGCTTCACTTGGCTGTGGACTCCGCTCGAGTCATCATGAGGGTCAAAGAGACACTCGGTCTTCAAGGGGACTTCAGGATTTTGGAGACACTTTTGAATGTTGTAAGTAACCCTGTTTTGAATGTGTAAAGGTAAAATAAGGTGTCTTAAAATATATCTTTTGTGGCCAAAAAAAATGCTGAAATGAACACAAAAAATGGAATAATTGCTGGATTTGAACCCTAACTTTGACTTTTCCCACCTTAGATTCATGCAGACTTTGAAAAAGAGCCTCTTAGTCGGATTGACAATGACTTGATGCAGGCCAAGATGGTTCTGGTTGACATTACAGAATCCCGCAGACAGTGTCTGGATGAGCTAGGACACAGAGGGCTCTTTGTAAGATGGGTGAAGGATGCCCTTGAAGGTGCATATAATTAACATTGCATCACACTTTTTAGTGTTTGTGGTATTTCACTTAAACGTCTGGAAATTGTCCATCTAAATCTTGTTTCTAGACATAAATGAGTTGAAGGTATTTGTTGACTTGGCTTCCATTTCTGCTGGGGAGAATGACATGGATGTGGATCGGGTCGCTTGCTTCCATGATGCGGTCCTCGGCTATTCTTCGGTTCTTTATGACCTCAAACCAGAATCTGGTTTTCATGCCTTCAGACATGTGCTCAGCAAGCTCTGGGGAGCTTTGGAGAATGACTGCAACCTACCAAAAAAACTTGTAAGTAGACGAATTATGGGTGTTAGCTTTGTATAATAAGGACCTTGCAAAAGTAAAATGTATTCTCCGTTAGCGTGACAGTGCACGTCATCTGGAGTGGTTGAAGACTGTGAAGGACAGCCATGGGTCTGTGGAGCTTTCATCTCTCTCGTTGGCATCGACCATCAACAACAAGGGTGTCTACCTAATCAGTGCACAACATGTAAAACAGGTAAGTACACTAAAATATGATTGATAGCTTAACTGTGATTTATTTAAATAGAAAAATAGTACATTATAATAACATGTATTGTGGATCTTTGATTCAGCTTACTCTCAAAAGCGCTCTGAAGCTTCAGATTCCAGAGGAACATGATGAGGGTCGGCAGATGCGCTGCTACTCTCTTGATGACTTGAGGGAGCTGCAAAACAAACTCATGCTCATGTCTGGAAAAGGAGACCAAGGCCAAAAAGAAGTTGATCATTTTGTTGAGGTAAATTAAATATATTTGTATACTGTGTATTTAAACTGGTTTAAGTAGAAGCGTGATGGGTTTACAGGGTTTCCCCCAGAAATCTTGCTAAGCCCGATGGTAGAGAAACCCACAGGCAGCCCACCGTGTTTTTGTAAAAAAAAAAAAAAAGTTGTCAGAGTTCATGACTAGTATGTGTTGAATGTGTTATAAGCCATTTATTAACACTTATTCGTTTTACAAAAAGGCAAAATCTCGAAATGGTTTTACAAAAAACTGTGTGGGTGTCTGTGTGGGTGTCTGTGTTTGTGCGTGTGGGTGTGTGTATGTGTATATATATATTTATATATATATATATATGTGTGTGTGTGTGTGTTTGTGTGTGTGTGTATATGCATGTGTATAGATACATATGTGTGTGTGTGTGTGTGTGTGTGTGTGTGTGTGTGTGTGTGTGTGTGTGTGTGTAGGGCTGCACAGTGGTGCTGTGGTTAGAGCTGTTGCCTTGCAGCGAGAAGGTCCCGGCCTGGGGTCTTTATGCATGGAGTTTGCATGTTCTCCCTGTGCATGTGTGGGTTCTTTCTGGAGACTCTGGCTTCCTCCCACAGTCCAAAAGCATGACTGTCAGGTTGATTGGTCTGTCAAATTTATCCTTAGGTATGTGTGTGTGTGTGTGCGTGTGTGTGTGTGTATGCATGTGTGTGTTTGTTTGGTTGATTGTCCTGTGTGTCTCTGTGTTGCCCTGCGATGGACTGGCATTCTGTCCAGGGGTGTACCCCATCTGTTTGCCTGTGGACTGCTGGAGGTAGGCTCCAGACCCCTGCAACCCTGCATGGACAAGCGGGTTCAGAAAATGTATAAATATAAATGTATATGTTTGTATATGCACTTGTTGACCGATGTGTTTGGATTTTTCTGTTTTTTAGGTATTTGCCAATGTTCAGAGACTGTCCGAGGCCTTCATTGCACTTTACACTGCTGGAAATCCTCTGTTCAGATACTTGGAAGTGCAAATAAATTGTTCTTCCCATAGCGACGAACCCAGCATTGTGATGGACTTTAATTTGAGCAGCGTTCTCAGTGTAATTGTGGAGGGCAGCTTAGAAGAGCAACTTCCTGAACTTTGCAAAAAAATGGAGAAATGTCTGCATTTCTGGATGGACTTCGTAAAAAAACAGAGATCCCAGCATTACTTTTTGAACTACTACACTGCTGAGCAGATTGTCTATCTGTGTAGCAAGTTGACTCAAGAAAACATAACCAATGTAGAGGACCAAGTTTTCATGATGCTGTCATTCATTAAGGCAAACTGCACATGTCAAGATTTGAGACATGTCTGGCATGAGCTTCAATATGTTCTCCTTACCAAATCACAGGAGCAGAATGAGGACATTGAGCTTCAGACTTTTGTTGTGCTGCCAGGAATTGATCAGGAAGGCCTAGACATCCCTGGAGAATCCGACCTTTTTCCAAGCATGGTGGAAAATGCAACAGGGTTAAAAGCCTTTGATCAGATTTGGAATGCCTATATGAAAGACATGAAGAATTTTCTCCCAAACTTGCTTGATATGAAAAATCTTGGCAGACTCTTAGAAATTCTGTCCAACATTGATGACAAGAATGAAGATGATGACAGTGAAGAAGACATTTCCGATAACTTTGGAAAGTTCATAAATAGGCAACTACCAAACGGTCTGACCCTTGGAAAACCAAACCTCATTGTCTGTCCACATGACGATATCTTGACATCTTGCATCTCCATTTACATGAACAGTGAGGATGAGGTTCTACCAACCTACGACGAAGTTCTTTTGTGTAACCCTTCTACTCCTTATGAACAAGTTGAGTTATTCCTCAGGCGTTGTCTTACCACAGGCTACAGGGGTCAGAAGATCTACACTTTAGTATATGGAGATCTCCTCACATATGATGTGAGCTCAAAAGTTGAGATCTTTTTTCAGCAAATGAAAATGCAAAGTAGGAAAGACTACAAACTTGTCATCATTTGCAGCTCTGAAAGTGAGCATGCCTACCTTCCATCTGCTTTTAGCCAGTACAGGGTGCACATGATTCCCCTGGAGCCCTTAACAAGAGTTCAAAGGTACCTCCAGAAACACTACACTGTCCCTGAAGACCAATGCAGTGCTGCATCTTCATTTAAAGACAGACTCTGTGTTGGTGTTGTTTCATCAAAAAGGGCTGGAGTTGGTGCGTATATAAATTATTTCAAAATATGTTTATGTATTTGAAAGTGTCTCACAATAATATGACTATTTTTTTCGAAATTGCAGGTAAATCGCTTTACATCAAAAGGCTTTATGAGAAACTGAAGCACTCCACTAAAAAACCAACAATGATGAAATGCATTCGCTTGATTGAACCCAAAATTGATGAGATGATCGTCTTTGAATCACTGTTTCACACCCCCAAAAAGAAGGAACTCGCTGTCTTCCACTTTGATGTCACGTCGTCGGTAAATATTGAGTTAATGCCAAATTTATTGTATTAAAATTCTTGAAACAAATACCTTGTAAGATTAAATATGTTTTTATTGATTTATGCTTGGGTAAACAGGTGCAGAAAGGTCTTGATGAGTTCCTTTTCAAGTTGTTGATTTTGCGCTATTTGATGGACTCCAAGGGAAAGATTTGGAGGTGCAATGACAAACATCTCTATGTTGTGGAGATTTTGGAGCCCACTGTCAAGTCAGCTAGAAGCACAGCTCGAGAGGTAAACTTTCACAATTTTTGCAGAAAGGCTTGAAACTAAAGATGGGGTATTCAATTGCAGGCCTGGAGGGCCGTTATCCAGCATGCTTTAGTTTTAACTGCTTCAACACACCTGATTTCAATCAGCAGGTGTTTAACAGGCTTCTGCAGTACCTGATGAGCTGCTGCACAGGTGATCCAACCACTCAGTCAAGTGTGTTAGAGCAGAGAAACCACTAAAACATGCTGGATACCGGCCTTCCAGGCCCGGAATTGAATACCCTAAACTGACTGAAACTGTTGCTAACCTAGGCCTGTTTTTCATTTTCTATTAGGCGCAGACAGTGATCAACACATTTATAGATGTGTTTCCAAATGTATTCTGCCGACCACCTAAAGATGTACTCATGCTGGAAATGAGAAAGCAGGAGAATCCAACCATTGTGAACAGTGAAGACCCGCTGATGGATGAGAAAGAGTTCAGAAGTGAAGCCTTTCAAAGACCTTACCAGTACCTTACCCGGTTTCTTAACCACATCGACCTAGATCTATTTACATATCGGGGTGTTGAGGGGTCACATGTTGAGTGTCTTCAAATGCTTCTCATGTACTGTGGCATGATGGATCCATCTTGGGCAGAACTTCGGAATTTCACTTGGTTCCTTAACATTCAGTTAAAAGATTGTGAGTCATCAGTTTTCTGTGACGCCAGTTTTACAGGAGACACGCTCAGAGGATTCAAAACTTTCGTGGTGGACTTCATGATTCTAATGGCAAAGGACTTTGCTACTCCATCACTCAGCATCTCTGACCAGAGTCCTGGCAGATCACAAGTTAATCTGGCAGATGTCCGGGATGAAGACCTGGCTCCATTTCTCATCAGAAAAAAATGGGAAACAGAACCACATCCATACATCTTCTTTAATGACGATCATGTTTCCATGACCTTTATTGGTTTTCATCTTCAGCTCAATAACCAAAACTATGTTGATGCTATTGACCCAACCTCTAAAAAGGTAATTAAGAAGAATGTCATGACAAAAGAACTGTATGATGGTCTGCTGCTACAAAGAGTCCCTTTCAATGTTGATTTTGACAGCCTTCCAAGAGGGGAGAAAATAGAGAGAGTCTGCAATGTTCTTGGTATCCAGTGGCCACTCGATCCTGATGAGACATATGAACTTACAACTGACAATATTCTGAAGATGCTAGCAATCCACATGCGGTTCCGGTGTGGCATCCCTGTGATTGTCATGGGAGAAACAGGGTGCGGAAAGACTAGGCTCATCAAGTTCCTTTGTGAATTACGAAGGTGTGGAGTAGCAACTGAAAACATGAAACTGGTGAAGGTGCATGGAGGAACAACTTCAGCGATGATCTACTCTAAAGTCAGGGAAGCAGAAAACATTGCTTCTATAAACAAACAAGACTATGGATTTGATTCTGTTCTCTTCTTTGATGAGGCCAACACTACAGAGGCCATCAGCAGTATCAAGGAGGTACTCTGTGACAAGACAGTGGAGGGAGAAAGTTTGACACCCTGCTTAGGATTGCAGATTGTTGCTGCATGCAACCCTTACCGAAAGCATACAGATGAAATGATTCAAAGGTTAGAATCTGCAGGCCTTGGTTACAGTGTTCGAGCAGAAGAGACAGATGAAAAACTGGGGTCCATCCCTCTTCGCCAGCTTGTGTATCGAGTCCAGGCGTTGCCACCCAGCATGATTCCTTTGGTGTGGGACTTTGGACAATTAAACGATTGCACAGAAAAAATATACATACAGCAGATTATACAGAGAGTAGTTGAAAAGAAAAACATTGCTGAAACTTACATCAAGGTTATCACAAATGTCCTTTCAGCCTCACAGAAGTACATGCGGGAAAGAAACGATGAGTGCAGCTTTGTCAGCCTTAGAGATGTGGAGCGCTGCATGCAGGCCTTTGTTTGGTTTCATGACCACCATGAAATTTTCTTTTCAGAGCTTCAGAAATTTGAGCAAAATCAAATGTATGAAGGAAATGAAGGGCATCACGGACGGACCGAGATCAGAGACGCTGTTCTCTGGTCTCTAGTCATGTCAATAGGAGTGTGCTACCATGCTTGTCTTGAAGATAAGGACAAGTACAGACTCAAAATCAGCAAGCAATTACCACCATCATACACCTCAGTAAAGTTAATGCAGGAAATTTCACTCATGCAGAATTTTATCTTGAGTGGTGTCCCTATGGGTCAAACAATCGCAAGAAACAATGCTCTCAAAGAGAATGTCTTCATGATGGTTCTATGCATTGAGTTAAGAATTCCACTCTTCCTTGTTGGAAAACCTGGGAGCTCAAAGTCTCTGTCTAAAACTTTAGTGGCTGATGCAATGCAAGGCCAAGCTGCTCATTCTGACCTCTACAAAAAGCTCAAACAAATCCATTTGGTGTCCTTCCAGTGTAGCCCTCACTCAACACCAGAAGGCATCATAAATACATTCAAGCAATGTGGGCGCTTTCAGGAAGGAAAAAACCTGAATGAGTACATTTCAGTTGTGGTTCTTGATGAGATTGGGCTGGCTGAGGACTCTCCAAAGATGCCACTGAAAACCCTTCACCCATTGTTGGAGGAGGGATGCATTGAGGATGAGCCACTACCACACAAAAAGGTTGGATTCATTGGGATCTCCAACTGGGCTCTGGACCCAGCAAAGATGAACCGAGGCATTTTTGTCTCCCGCGGTGATCCTGATGAAAAGGAACTCATTAAGAGTGCTAAAGGCATATGTTCATCTGATTTAATGGTTCTGGAGAAGGTCAGAGATCTTTTCAAGCCATTTGCAAGGTCTTACTTGAACATCTGCAAGAAACAAGGAAAAGGTTTCTTTGGCCTACGTGACTATTACAGCTTAATTAAGATGATCTTTGCTGTGGCCAAGACCTCTCAACAAAAACCCACACCAGAAGAGATTGTGAAGGCTGTGTTAAGAAATTTCAGTGGTAAGGATAATGTCAATGCAGTTTCAGTCTTTACTCAAAGACTGCAGATTACACCAAACCTGGAGAACATCAGCACCATTGATTTTGTGAAAGAAAACCTTCAAGCAGTTGGACAAGAGGAAGAGTGCCGATACCTCCTTGTGCTAACAAAAAACTATGCAGCCCTAAAGATCCTACAGCAAACCTTCTTTTCAGAAAGGGGACAACCAGAAATACTCTTTGGCTCTAGCTTCCCAAAAGACCAAGAGTACACCCAAATCTGTCGCAACATCAACAGAGTAAAGATATGCATGGAGACAGGTCAAACAGTTGTGCTTCTAAACTTGCAGAATCTCTACGAAAGCCTCTACGATGCCCTCAATCAATACTATGTATGCTTGGGAGGACAGAAGTATGTGGATCTTGGACTGGGAACCCATCGTGTGAAATGCAGAGTGCACAAAGACTTCCGGCTCATTGTCATTGAAGAAAGAGAGGTGGTCTACAAGCAATTTCCAATACCTCTGATCAACAGATTGGAAAAACACTACCTAGACATCCATACTGTTCTAAAAACTGAGCAGAAGAAGTTGGTGGAAGATTTGGAGGAATGGGCAAAGCTTTTTGGATCTCTCAGTAATCAACATGCAACAGGAACTCAGGCACACAAATATCATCTCCCAGATGTCTTTATTGGCTACCACTCAGACACCTGTGCTTCAGTAGTTCTTCAAGTAACCGAGGAGCAGAAGGACTGTTTGGGGGTATCAGAATCTAACAGGAGATTGCTTGATGAGGCTAAGCTCGTACTTCTTAAATGTGCTACGCCGGACTCGGTTGTTCGGTTGGATGGCACGGGCCTGCCTAATGTGGAGAGTAAACATCTAGCCATGGTGTACTTTGAAGAACAGAACAACAGCTGTTTAGCTGACTACATACTTGCTCATACAAAGCAGGAATCCCATTGTGCCTCCTTCATCACAGAGGTAAAATAAAGTTCCAATTTTTTCATATATATTCTACAGTTCTTAAAGATATAATACCTAGTTTTAATTCTAAACCTTAGGTAACAACGTTCTCCAGACTTTTGACTGCGTTTGACATGGAACACCTGGGGCAAACATTCCATAGCGTTGAGCTTCTCTCACTCCAGCAGTTCGACACAGAGCACTCGTTCCTGAAGAAGATCAGGTTTGTTATTAGAGATACCGTTCATAGGGCCATCTAACAAGAAAAGTAGGTGACGTTGGAGGCAAAAATGTATAAAGCCTTTTTGATATTTACAGTACTTTTGAAAACCACCTGAGGTCAATAATTAGTGTTAATTTTTACTTTAATTTCAAAAGGATTTAGATATGTTGACATTTGTGGTAATAAAATATATACTCTTGATAGGACTGTGTACTATATATGGTCTTAACTAACATTTTTACACTTATTAGAAATCCTTGGAATAATCATGTCTAAAAAAATATACTCTTGTTTTACTGAAGGAGTTTCCTCACAGCTGAAAATAGAAGAAGTGAAACTGAATTGTGCAACAAAATTCTCATCATTCAATCTGATTTTGATGAAGCCTCTCACAGTAGCAATCTCATTGCATCTGCCAAGTAGGTCTATGATTTATTTTTCTGTCTGTTTTCTACTAGTCTGCCTTGTTTCTATGTTCAATATTTGCCATCAATGTTTAGGTACTCTTCAATAAATGAAATCAACAAGATAACACAGGTGAGCACAGGAAGCAGGGTGTTTGTCTACTTTATCACACGGCTGCCAAGAATGGAAGGAGGCTCTTCTTACATTGGTTTTCATGGAGGTAGGCTTATGTTTATTTATTACTGGTTTGACTACATTGTTTAAAAATTAAGCGGTAATTTAGGACATCCCACTGTTTTCAGGTCCCTGGAAATCCGTTCATATTGATGACCTCAGACGCTCAAAAGACATTATTTCAGATATCAAGACCTTGCAGAACACGACAATCAGTCAGATGTTTGAAATACAGGAAACTCCACCTGAAGGTAGGGAATGAATATAATAAAATAACATTTTATTCTCCTGCAAATGAATGCCGAGCAATAACGTTTAGCCTTTTTTGTCTGGGTGTTTTATCAAATTTTCTCATGAACCACTGGATAGATTTTCATGCATACACATCCTCAACTTTAGTTAACCCAGTTAAAGATGGCCACTACAGACAACATAACATAGGAAACACAAAAAGGGCAGTTGAACTGCAGTGGTAGTAGCTGAGTTATTCACAACATACTCTTGAGTACTATTGCACCACACACAATTTTCTAAACTTTATGAAAGCAGCTGTAACACCATCTTTACTCAGTGTAAGATGATTTTGTTTAATTTATTTGCAGCAATGGAAGTGGATGACATTTACACTGAGACTGCGGAAGAGAAGGTAGAATACACTGACTACAGAGAAACATATTTCGCTTTGTCTAAAATTTATTTTATTATTTATGTATTGTCAAAAGTTAGGTTTTAACACGAGCATTCTTAATGTAGGGTTTGGATAATGTGGTGGACACCACATCGCTGCTGCGGAGCTGCGTCCAAAGTGCAGTGAGCATGCTCAGTGACCATGTGAAATGTGGCTTCCGCAGCACTCGAAGAGTTGAAATTCTTTTGACCCTTCTGAATGACGAAAATGAAATTCAAGGTAAAAGCAGTCATGCTTAGGTTTTTTGGTTTTTTTGTCAGTTGCAGAACTCATTCTTTTATCTATCAGGCGAATTTCTGCGAATGTTAAAGAAACGTCTTCATTCACTGTTGGTGATCCATGATGGCAACACACTGTCCTCCATCAAGAGCAACTGGGTCCTCAAAGAGGCATCAAATATTGATGCCTTGCAAGAAGGAGGCACCTTCAGGTGACAGGATCAGTCTCAGTGAATTACTATGCTGAATTTACAGGCTAACATTATTTTTTCTCCTAACAATCTGTTAACATATTCATTGCAGACAAACCCTGTGGAAGCGTGTTCAGGCAGTGATTGTCCCCCTCCTGGCACAGTTAGTATCAATCATTGACCGTGACCAGAACATGGACTTGCTGCTTGATGCAAACTGCTGTGAGTCTGTGAAGAGACTGTGGTTGGACATATTTAGCAATGAAAAACTTCTGGAAATTTCACACCTAAAAATGGACCACAGGTCAGCCTCAACACCGATGCTTTGTTATGAAGGGGACCAATGTCTTGTAGCCTATAATATACTAAGATCTTGTGTCTTTGAACCCTCTGACAGGTCTGAAACCAGAACCATCCTTGTGCAGAACTACGTTGCTCAGGACAGGAACATGCACTGCAGCATGCCCTTCAGCTGGAGGATCAAAGATTGTATAGAGGAACTTTGTGTTCACACTCTTCAAAATGAAGGTAATTGCATGCAGTCAGGACCTCAGCTTTTTTGCGTAAACTCTTTTTTTTTTTTTATAGAAACATGCTTTTTGCTTGATAGGACACACTCCTCAGAAGCTTGTCCAGTTGTTTTGGAAAACCCCTCTGGGGCGTTACATGGCAAAAGCAAATCCAGAGACACAGATGGAGTTTTACCATCGCTACCTTCAAGACTTTGTCTCCATGTCCATAAACATCACCTGTCAAGAAGATTTACAGGTTGTGAAGCCTAAAGTCTCACACCATACCAGTATGCTAACATGAATTAACACTGCATCTATCTTTCTAGCTCCTTTGTGGTGCGTTGAACTGTAGTGTCACTGAGCTGCGGCTGCAGTTAAATGACAATGAAACAGTGGCTGCTCTCCCATGGGTCCATGTTGCGTATCAAAAGTTCCGAAACCGCTTGCAGAACCTCTCAAGAATTATGTGCATTGAACCCCAAGTGACCAAGGACCTAATGGGGAATCCACAAGCTGGAGACAATGTTGAACTTGTAAGTCTGACTCCTTGTGCGTTTTGGGGATTTTACCTGCTTATTCAGTGCAGCACCCAGATGCACATTTATGTCCTTTATGCTGATTGTTTTTGGAAACTAAATTTTCTACTTTAGTTCATTATTATAATTCCTGAAGGTTACAATAATAGCCTACTATTCTTCCTCTAGTGTATTTACGTCTTTTTCCCCTTTTCTCCAAGTGAATGGGCTGCCTTAACGAGGGAATTTCTCCACTGTGGGATTAATAAAGTCTGTTTTATTCTGTTCTATTAATGAACAAGTCTGTCTCACTGTCTTCAAGGTGCTCGACGTCTATGCTGCTTTTGCATGTTTGGAGCACCTGGAGCCCAGAGTTTTGGACACTCATACTCAAAGACAAGTTTGGCTCAGGCAGGTGAAAAAACTCCAGGTTCCCATTGAGTTGATCTGTTCAGAAGACACCGTGAGACATTATGGAGAGAGAAGCAAGGCGTTCGTCGCCAGAGTCCAGTAAGATAAGCAAAGCTCAACGAGTGACCATTATTTATCAATAAGTGACGTGAACTGTGTGGAAATATTTTTTTCTTTTAGATCTGGATGGAATCGAATCTTTTCTCTCTCTCTGTTTGTGGAGCACATCTTGTTGAGAATCGAGGAGTTGGACGCAAAGTTGACGCCGTTGGTTCTGGAAACCACTCGCCAACTTGGACGGGTTTGTTTGGGCTTTTTTTTGTTGAACCAAAATTTTCTTAACCCACTAACGTTCTCAATGAGAAAGAAGTCAATAGAATATTATTTTTTGCATTTTCACTGTGAGATACTAGGGATGTCCCGATCAGGTTTTTTTGACCTCGAGTCCGAGTCATTTGATTTTGAGAATCTGCCGATACCGAGTCGCGATCCGATACTTTCGATACATTAAAAAAAAATAATAAAATAAAATAAAGAAAAGGAAGAAACAGTTCCAGAATTTTTATTTCATTACCTTTTTATTTTTATTTTTAACCACAGATCACTTCTGTGAGGTAGCTTGAACAATCAAGCAATAAATAACATAAATTCTTCACTTTTGGACTTTATTGCAATTATAAAAAGTCTAATATAAATACAGATAGCACTTCAACTTAAAATACCTGGCAGGGGTCCATTTTCCCTCGGCCCCCAAAATGCTTAGATACGTCCCTGGGCATGGGACGGAGTTTTGAAGATGATCTGAATTGTATCAATTATATAAATACTACATGCTGATAAATTATTGCTTTATACAGGTACAAACGTGTAGTGGGATAAATCTACCTACATTTTATTTTTTTAAGAACTTTGTTTTGTTTTCTTGGTTTTTATTTTCCTATCTTCCTGTCCTGTCTGTCTCTGATCTTCCTGCATCTCCCAGTCCTCCAGAAAAACTCCTGCCTGCTCCCTTCTTTTTCACCTCACAAGTAACTTTTTAACTAGCAGATCAAATTGATCTATTGACCGCAAAAAAAGCGGAGTGTGCGCTGCGCCAGTGACGAGCGCTGCAGCGCGAGCGCGTCCACACGTCATGCTCAAATACAGACAGAACTTACTAGAGAGAAAATGAACGGACACGAACGACTGTGTGTTAAATATATATTTTTGGTGACGCCACTTAGAAACTTAGAAAATGTTACTGTGGCCGTGTGCAGAACGCAGCTGGAGTTCATGACTAATCAGCGGTCTGCCTGCCGCTCTCTGCATCTCTGCTCAAAAGAATCCTCGCTACGCTGAGTCCATGTAAATAATATAATATAGGGAGAAACAGCATAATAAAAACATTCTGTGTTTCTTAGATTTATTTTGTGTTTTTTGTTGTTCTGTTTTCTGTTAACAGTCATAAAAATGTGTTTGACTAAATGCCCAGAGCATCAGAGTTAATGAAGGGACTTATCATCAGAATTTTTCCACATTTGTTTTATTCATCAGTCCTGAAACGTTTTTTCCTTCTTTTTTTTTCTCGTCCAGATACTTGAAAATAACTCTGACCTCAAAAGCCAGCAGCCATTTGAGGCAGTCATTGTTTTGCTGAAGACCTGCAGAGATAAAGCACAGGAACACATTTTCAGGTAAAAATATATGCAGCATGCTGATTAGAAACTAGAATATTTGTTGTTAATGAAGTTTCTTTGTACGTGCCAAATCTTATTTTAAAAAACTATCCGCTCTAATTTAGGTCTTAGACTCCTGAATAGCTTGAATTTATATATTTATTATGAATAGCATAAAAAGGCATTAGACACTGTCCTTAATATTAAACGGTTATTCACTTAATGTTTCAGATTTTATGTATTCACAAAGTGAAACACATTTTAATAAAGTTTATGCGTTTATTACCCAGGTTTGGTCTCATTCTGTGTCCAGTCTGCATGGGAGACCCCCAGGATCCACTCTGCCTGCCTTGTGAACACATCTACTGTGTTGCATGTATCAAAATGTGGCTGGTCCCAGGTCAGATGTACTGCCCGCTTTGCATTCAGCCGGTTAATGATGACTTTCCCTTGGTTCCTTCAGACGATACTAGGTTAGTTACGGTTATTGTAAAATTTATCAAATAAATTCCTTATGAAGATCAGTGTTATGCATTATGGGCCTTCACATCAGTTTTCTGACCTCAGAAAGAATTTGACAAACATCTGTGTGACTCTGTGCAGGATTCTTGTCAGCAAACACGCTCAGTTCAGGAAGCGTTGCAACGCCTTCTTCATTGACCTGGTGTCGACTTTATGCTTCAAGGACAACTCTCCACCGTGTTCGGCCATCATTCTTCATCTGTTATCTTTCCTCATGGTTGAGGCACGCACAGTTCCCTTCCTCAAAGGTAAACTGCTGCAGTCTACTTTATGATTTATGTACAAATATCTTTGTCTCTTAAAGCTTTCGGTGGAGCACGGTCGGAGGATCGCGCAAATTCGGTCTCATACTGGCAGTGTAGTGTTCACATGTAGTTCTGAAGGAGTTCTCAGGAATGCAGAAAACTACGGGCATGTGGGCGGCGTTTAAGACGCGTGGGAAAGTCTGGTGTCCTCCTTAATAAGATAAACAAAGGCGGCCATGAGCTGTGTTTTTGAAGTCTCTGAACCACGTTATTTTATTAAATTGCTCCCTGTTCTCTCACTGCTGTGCATGTCCTCAAACTATACATGCACACACATGCATGCTTGCTGCTCTCTCCTCCGTTTGAGCAGATGTGGCGAGAGCTCTGTGCAGAGATGTTCGCTGCTCAGAGGACACACGCATGACTCTCTTTTCCCATGTCCACTGAGCGGGAGCTTCGTGATACAGACAGAGATGTTTATTTAACAGCATCCAGCATGTAACTGAATCATGCATGCATTATTTTGTCACCTCGGTTCCAGTCGGACCTCTGAGGAAAAGGTCTGATAAAAAAAGAGTCCCCTCAGAACGGAAAATGCTTTTCTGGCTCAGGAGTGAAACCAAATTCCGGTTTGGTACCTGACCGTACGGGTCCTAATGTGAAAGCCCCATTAGTTTCTCAGCAGGCTGGGGAAAACCTTGGGATTCCCCCGGAGGAGCTGGCCCAAGTGGGTGGGGAGAGGGAAATCTGGGCCTCCCTGCTTAGGCTGCTGCCCCCGTGACCCAACTCTGAATAAGTGGATGAAATTGGATGGATCTTTGTATCTGAGTTCTTGATGTTTTTTCTCAGTTAAACAACAAATGCTGACAAAAGTGTTGTCCCCCTTTGACGACTCCATTGATAAGAATCCTGTGATTCGCTCTGTGGTCCTCAAACTCCTGCTGAAGTACAGGTGAGGCATTTTGGTTACACTTTAGTTGTGTTTGAGTATGTTTTTAACATCCATAGTGGTTTTTCTGACATTTATTCAAAATGCTAATTTTGTTTTGAATTGTATTTTAAGCTTTGATGATGTTAAAGAATACCTGCAGCAGCATCTGGTGGCTGTTGAGCAGAGTAACATCTTAGAAGAGACGGACAAAACGGAACTTTACTGCATGTACATCAACTGTCTGGAGGTACAGATTACTTTTAAAGCATCAGCTTGATTGCAGGACGCTTCACATTTATTTATTTTCCTTTGGCTTCTTTTTTGTTCCAGGACTCCATGTTTGAGAGATTGCATTTTAGGTCTGTTGCAGATCAGCAAGCATTTTTGCAGGATGAAGGCGTCTTCCTGACTGACTACCTACAATCACATGGTCAGTCCACTCACAAGGGAACTGTGGAGTACCTGCAGCAGGTGGCCAGAGTGCGAATGAATCTGGATGTAACTGCTAGCCTTATCATTGAAACACTGAGAAACACAGGTATGCATTTTAATTCATTGTATAACATTCCCCCCTTTATTGTATGCTGGTTTAGTGAAAGCTTAGTCCTTCATTTTCTACTTCAACCAGGCTGTCAGGATGGTGTTCAGGGTGGAACCTCATCCTTCCTGGACAACATGGTAAACCTGTGCAGGCGGAGCGGGAATGACTGGTATCGTGTGTATTTGATCCGTAAGATCTGCAGCCAACATGGAGTGGAGTTTGTCATGAAACTCCTCAAAGGGGATCAGATATCTTGGCTTTTCCCTAAAGAAGTTCAGCAACAGGTAATTTTTGTGTTGGACATTAAAGATGTGGATGACAGAAAAAAAAATTGTTTTAAAGAATTTTTCTGATTATAATCAGTTACTCTGAGTTTTTAATGTCGGTTGAACATAAAAATAGTCTCCTACACCTTTCATTATCTTCTGATAGTAAATAGAATATAATACTCTAGAAGCCTGACAGATCTACTTCTCACTGATTTGGACTAGCCCATATTGACTCACGGCGGGGAAGGCTGTTGTTGTTTTTAACGTCCAGATTCAGCAGGTAACGCCTTGATCAACAGAAGCTAACCGCTAGCATTAGCAACTCACAAACACAGCTGAAGCTCGTCCAGGTTTGTTATTTGAGGAGAGAAAACATCCATGTTTCCGAGCAAACGGAGTTGGTGGTAGAGTCACGTTGCTTTTATCCAACTCGAGGCAAGATGTCTAAATATCAGGAAATGAGACTAAATCCTCCAGTTTGAAGCACAGCTCTGATGTCTGCTGGGCCCGGGGTTTGTTGGCTGTTCTGTGCCCCGAGTACGGCCTGTAAGGCATTAATTCCTACTAGAGACCACTGCAAATGTATTCATTAAATGAGCAATCCACACCTTTAAAGCAAAAATTGACCAATAAGGATGTAGTATTCAAATTTCCTCTGCACACAGGATAAAGAAGTCACACCAATAGATCTGTATCTTGTATGCGGTGAAAATTACAAAACTATCAGAGAGGCTGTTGCAAAGGGAGTTATGGAAGGCAAACTGGAAGGACTGGATGAAGTCTGTGAGGTAACATTACATCACCCACTTGTTGCTAATTGGGACTCTGGGTTTGCATGCATGTTTACACGGGTAACTTGTGTTCTTGCTTTTCTTAGGGGTGCAGATGTCTCCCACAACAGAAAACGGTTTACCTTCTGTTAGCGCTGTACAGAGAAATCACCACTATGTATGGAAAAGCCAGTGAGAGCCTCCATCTGAAGCCTGAGGTAGGCCAATCATGTTGTTAGATGAACTCAGCCACCTACATTCTCATACCTAAAATCTTTTAGCAGTTTGATTATAACAGTTTTTGTCTGTTATGTTTTTTGAACTTTTGATCTGATCAGTTGAAATAAAAAACAATTTGTATTAATTGCACAGCCATTTAACCTATTTGTTAGGCTCAGATACATTTTCTTTCAGCTATTACATAGTTAATACTATTTATTTGTACCAATAGCAACTCCAAGCTCTGACAGCTTTCATCCAGACATCCAAAATTCTCGCCAGCACTGAGGCAAAGGCCTTTGCCCAGGCTCTGGTGACCAACCAAATGGGGCCGTTGGCTAACCGTCCTGGGGTCTCTGGGGCCGAAAGCGTGGGAGTGGAGTTAACAATCCACCTTGCTGCTGTGCTGATCTGTGGAAATTATGGCATCTTAGCCCCTCTCCAGCAGCTAGCGATGAAACCTGAAAACATGCAGGTGTGTGACATCAGAGATGTATCTATTTTCTGTTCTTTACAGTAAATGTAATCCTTTTTCTTTGTTTGTACAGGCCTCCTTCCTACCCACCATGCCAGAAGACATGGTGGCAGTGGCTCAACAAGCTATGGGTTCATTGCAGTGGTACTGTAAGTGATCACAAATATTACAACCCCCCACCCTCATGACAGAGTGCTATAAAGAAACTGCTTTTCAATTGTTCTTCCTTCTAATCCGACCACAGGTTGTCCAAATGGCCACCCTTGCACCATTGGTGAGGTACAGAATGTTAAATATTATTAATAAATGAACAAAAGCTAAAGGCTGCATTTTTATACCTTCATATTGACAGTTTTTTTTTTTGTTCTCCTTGCTTGTTGTTTGTTACTTGTGTATCCAGTGTGGCCAGCCCATGGAGAGGAGTCGTTGTGTGGACTGTGGAGCTGAAATTGGGGGGAACAACCACAGGGGTGTGGCTGGATTTCAGATTATTCAAGTGCAGTAAGTGGGGGGAAAAACCCCAGCAAGGTTACTTTAAATAAATTTGGGCACATTTTCTTTTCATTTACATGCGTGTATTTACCGGTCTTTTGTTCTGACAGAGGCGACCGCACTCAGAAAGGACACATCCTTGGTGATCCACGACGACGAGACCATCCAGATATGTTAGACACAAAGAGCATTTCTTCAGTTCCCTTTTGCTTTATCCGAATGCTCACTCACATGGCGATGCTTATTGGTGCCTGTGATCACATGCAGGTACACACACATGATTTTATTACTAACAACAATAACCATAACAACAGCGCCTTTCTGCATATTTTATTAGTCTTTATATGTGGTCCTGTTGAGAAAGAGACGAAAGACTTTGTTTTTTTTCCCAGTTGATTTCTGCAATCATCAAACCTCACGTTGCTGACCCTGCTGCATTTCTACTTGCTCACCTGAGAAAAGACTTAGAGCATCTAATCAGGTCTCTGGGTAAGGGGACTGATGATGCAATAAGCACAGTCCAGCTGCTGATCAGCAGCCTTCTGGAACCACCCCAGCAGCACAGCTGTATGTATTACAACTCAACAATACATCATTCAGCTAAAAGTATGCAGAATAGAGCGCTGTGCAGACATTTTGAAAATGATACAAAATATGATGACTTGAAAATTATACTGTAATGCTTCCTTTTACAGTCCCCTAATTACTAAGTACTTACATGGTAATTACATAGTAAGTTAAAGTGTATTATTGTTTCTGAGTTATTTAACAGTTATTACCATGTAACTCAGGTTCAATTCTAATTTCATTTTTATTCATCATTCCCAGTAAATACTGCTTTACACAATAATTACACTTTATTACAATTATACACTTTAATTACACAATAATACACTTTAACTTACTATGTAATTACAATCTAAGTACTTATTAATTAGTGGACTGTAAAAGGAAGCGTTACCAATTAAACTTCTGATTCATTACCATCTTACACAGCATTGTTTTGCAAACAATATATTTTGTATATTGTGAAAATGACCATGAAAGTAAATAAATTGTGATTTGTGTCAGGTATCACATGCCCCATTTACACTTCACTTCCTTCCTTCAGGGCCTGTTCCTTATGACAATCTGCTCTCAACCAAAGAGAATAGGAATGGATGGGAGATGGAAATGAGCAATGCCGTAGTTACACCTCAGCTTAAGGTTGTTAATGAAGGCACAATCAAAATTCTGGAAAACTGTCCCACGTATTCATGAGACACCCTTGCACATTTCACTTTTCCTGCAGCACTTGGACAGACGGCTAAAGGAAGTGAACACCTTTATCCAGACCGACACTCGCATCTCCGCCAATCCAGTCATGAAGCTGGTGTTTGGTGATCCTCGTCTCTTTTTGGCCTCAATTCCCCAAAACTCTCTCATCCATTGTTCTGCTGTGTGGAGCTGCAGGGAAAAAGTGTCCCTGCTAAGCCTCACCCACATTATGGAGCAGAGTGATGGCAAAGACACTGTGCCGGTGTTGTGGAGATTTCTGCACAGGGTAAGAAAGTGACAAACAAGCAAGATGAAAGTAGGTCAGATGTCATGTACCAAACTGAATTATTGACATAAAATAAAATAAATTCTAATTCTCAAGGCATGGTTGGCCTACCAACCAATAGAACCTTGGAACATTTCAACATTTTTCCAACTTTTTTACCAACTCAAAGCATTGACCCCTCTCCCTTTTTGATAGGAAGCCGAGGTCCGACTGGTGAAACACCTTCCTGACATCCTAACTCTCCAGAAGAATCTGGTGAAAAAGTTTCAGAACATCACAGAGCTAACCTTCGACACCATTGCTGAATTTCTTCACAGTCAAAAAGCAGGTATAAACACTTTCACCGCTCATGGCCTCACATTTTCAGCTGTGTGACTTTCTGACAGAAAACAAAAAGTTCTTCTGGCAACTTAATTTTTGGCCAGTTTACCAGGAAACTAGTTTCAGCCAGAATGGGGGCAACAATTTGATGATTCTCTTTTTTTTTCTTTCGCTTAAGTTTCTATCAAAACCTGGTATGAGAAACGCATCCGAATCTTCCTGACTTCCTGGAATCAGCTCAGGGTTTCCCTGGAAACCAATGGTAAACACGAATACCTGCTCTGTTGCATGAAACCATTATTTTTATGATCTAACGTGAAATAAAACATTGTTTAGGTGAAATTAAGATCCCAGCTGAGTTCTGCAAGAAGAATCTGGACTTCAGCAGTGATTTTAAGGTCCTGTTGCCACAGCGACGAGGTGCAGGCCTGTGCTCAACAGCTCTTGTCAGCTACCTGATTTCTCTGCACAATGACCTGATTTACTGTGTGGATAAGTACACAGGAGAGGATACCAGGTGGGGGCGCTCATGCCACATTTTTTCCATGTTTTTTCTTTAAAGAGACAGTGTGTAGTTTTTACCATGAATTTCTAGAAATATCCATCGAAACGTTAAAAATGAATAAAATGATGTTCGGTTGTTGAAAAATATTGGTGGCTTTGTTCCATATGCCCATAAAAATCGGGTCTAAAGTACACAGAGCGCGGGTCTATAGTCTTTAGGGGACGCCATATTAGGTGCCATGTTTCCTTATGGCCGGCTCGGGGTCCTGCGCCTGTTGATGACGTCATACTAGATGATTAGCTGGGTGTATGAGTAATGGAAGTTTTTTTACTACGTTCAAAAATATTTAAGCAGTAAGAAACATGAATATAATAACAAGAATGCTAAACTTTTAACCAAAATGTATGTGAAATAACAGAGTCGAAAAAGAGATGCAGTATATTTTGGCCGAGCGGTATTGCCGTAGTATGATGATGTCATCATTAGGCGTGGGAGTTTCCCCCAGCGCTTTATAAGTCTGGCGGGGCACCAGGCCATGCTTGATCCCCCACCAGGCCAAGCGTCCACCCCCCACCCCCGCAGTCACGGAAGACGCATGGTAGCGAAACGAGCTGCGTGCCCCTCATCCGCTCTCACAGACGGTAGTGGAATGATCCATACGCCCTTACGGATGTCGGACGGTAGCGGAATGATGCGTGCGTACCCCCCCCCCCCCCCCCCCCCCCCCCCACACACACACACACACACACACACACACGGTCCACCAGGCCTAGCAATTTTTCTAGGGGAAACCCTAGCATTGCATTCTCTCAGTGGAATTAAATGAGAAACCATCAGAGTCTAAGAAGTCCCGTCGAGGTTGCGTGCTTTCTGCTCCACAGGTAACATTTACCGTGATGTTTTTAACTAGCGACAGTTACGGCAATATGGTGTAAAACTATGCTGAAAGGTATGTACTGCCCCCTAGTGTCAGTAAGCTACACACTGCCACTTTAGGAGGAAAGTGTTGACCCCCTTCTGCAAATCTGTATCAACTGATTATTTTCTAATTCCATAGCTACAAAGTGAGCCCTGCAGACCTCACTGATCTGCACGTGATCCGTTATGAGCTGGAGCGAGACGTGATGCCCCTGGTTTTGTCCAACACCCAGTACAGCATTGAGAGGGGCCAGCAGACTCTTCATGAGTATGATTTTCACAAGATCCAGCAGCAAATCATCTCTCACCTCCTGCTGGGCAAACCTCTTATCACCCTCAACGTGAGCATACCTTACCATTTTATTTGCTGAGCGCTTTTAACACAGCATTACAGCCGACCAAAGCGCTGCACGTTAAAAACAAACAAGCTAAATAATCAGATAGTACAATTAAAAAGAATAGAGTAAAACCAAACAGGCAATTAGAATAATGAAAAACACTAATATCAAATGAAGCAATCGAGATGGAAAGAAGGAAAACTTGTATAGACTTAATACTAAAACTAGGTTTAAGAGTTAAATGCCAAGGAGAAATGGTGCGTTTTCAGACGAGATTTGAAAGCAGCCTTTGAAGGTGCTTGCCTAACCTGGAGGGGCAGAGGGTTCCAGAGTTTTGCTGCACACTTAGAGAAGGTCCTTTCACTGCGAGTCTTTAAACGACGAACAGTGAGGAGGAGCTAATTTGCAGACCTGAGGGCATGAGGAGGAGGGTAATGGTGGAGCAACACACTCAGATAGAAAGCAGCTTGACCATTTAAAGACATCAAAACTAAAAGAAGAATTTTAAATTTTATCCTATGAGCACATAAAAAGCACATCTTTAACCATTAAATGAACTTGTTAAAACATGTTTTGTTCTCCTCACATATGTCCCACAGGGCATTCCAACACTGGTTAACAGACATGACCGCAACTATGAGATCATCCTTAAAGATGTTCAGGCAAAAGTCAAGCAAGAGCCCCTCCAGACTCTCATCCTGTCCTCTGTGGCTGGAGAGCTGCTCGCCTTCAGCGAGGTGTGTGAGGCGCTGTCCACGCTGGAAGTGGCACTTGGCTTCCTCGCCATGACCGGAGGGGAGCCCAGCATGCAGCTGTCCAGCTACCTGGAGGGTGTGCTGCAGATGGGAAACCAGATGGCTCAGCATATCACCAAGGTCAGTGTATTTGAGACACTAGCTGTAGCTCTGCTTGTCTTCTTCCTCAAAACAATCAGCCTGGTTACATTTTAGAGACACAAACTGCAGCTTTTGTTATTTTTCTTTGAAGCTATAATGCTTATTCAGTCACACAGGGGTTTTTATGTGCTTTACTGATATATTTGTTTTCCTCTTTACCTGTAGGCCTTTAGCATGTGTTGTCTGAAGCACTGTGTTGCTCTGTGGCAGCTGCTGGTCTCACTCAAATCAGAAAACATGCTGCGACTCAAGAGGGTAAAAGTCACCACTTTGTAAAACCTTTATGTTCTCTTGTTATTTTGCTAATTCTGTTTTCTGGGTCAAGTAGGATCCATTTGTGGGCGTTTCAGAGAAGTACATGCAGGCCCTGGGTGAGGAGGAGCAGCGGCTGCTGACTGGGTTCTTCTCCAAGAGCAGCGCCGACACCTTCCTGTTGGAGATGCATGAGTTCCTGGTGCTGGTCCTTAAAAATCCTCATGCTCCAGATACCTACAAACCTGGCTGGAGGTAAAGAGAAATATCTTTTCAAATCATGCATGCATCGTTTTAATGTAAGCTCCCGGACCACATCTAGCTAACTACAAAGCATCTGTTAACATTTAGCGCTATATGTCTCAAATGTCAGACTTTTGTTTACAATCTTTTTATAATTCATCTAAAATTATTTAAATCCCATTTGGGGTAGGCCATTTCACATCATTCACATTACCATTAATTATTTTTTGCCCCCCCAAAAAGAAATCTAATTTCTTGACGTAATTGCATCCACTGCACAAAGGATAACGTTCACATGGGTGTAATGCAGCGCAGAGTTATTAAAGTTATGAAGGCAAGCATGACTGGAAACTCACAGTATTAACTCAGCACAGTGAGTAGGGAACAGGGTTGGGCGATCTGTATCACTTTTCCCACCGCCAATACCGTCAGTCCAATAAATGATGATGGACGATTGACTGACGCATGATCATGGTCTACAGACTGATTTGCGAACACAGAACAAGCCCAAACACAGATATTTTTTTAATACAAGCACATCGCATATGTTTGCTGTTAGATAAATTAACAATTTTCTTTTTAATTTTGTATTTGTAGATTGGTAGAGGGACGTATAAACGGCTCGTATTAAACACAGTTAAAGTGTTAAAAGGAAGCCTCCACTATTGTGGTAGCCTATTTTATTTAAGCAAAATGTTTTCTTCTGAACAAAGGCTACTGGGTTTCTCTTTTATGAGTTTGAGGAGGAAATGGAATGAATCGCTGCTGCGTTTGGACGCACTGTGAGGAGGGGGCATTTGCTCGCAGCCAGAAGTCACATGATCCATTTATCCCCGTCGCTTTCATTTTTAAAATAATAATCAGTTAATGCCATTACATTTCCACTACTTTTTAATTAATATTTAGTAAAAAACAAGCTGATCAGAGTGCCCCAATAACGCAAACAATGAACAGTCAATGATGAACAATAGTCTGCTTCTAGACCTGCAGAAAGAGAAAAACAAACAAACAAACAAACAAAAAGGGGACACACAACAACACAACTAGAGCAAGCTATCACTGCGTCAACCTGATGAGGAAATATAAAATCAACATTGTTTTACTGAACAATCACAAGATAATAAATCACAGTGCATTTAGTGCCAACCACAGCCTTAAGACGTGTTGAACGTGCCCAAGTCCATACTTAAGAGAGCACGTGTGTGCGTACACGCGCTTGTATATATAGGAGCGTCCAATAGAGCGTGAGGGGCCACAGATCTGTCCCCCAAAGATGTGTTCGAGATGGAGGGAGCTCCAAGTCCCAGAGATGGAAGGGTTTCCACTTTCCACTCGACACAGGCGCACTCTGAACTCTTCTTCAATGCGCCGCTTGTGCACACTGTCAGCAGCGAGAGGCAGAGAAAGTGTGTGATAATGCTCAGATGCACTGATGGAGATCTTTTCATGTTTGTTACCTCTGTGATGTTCTCTGTGCGTAACGTATTAAATATCTGTCATTAACAAACTTACTCACGAGCGAATAAACAAACAAATAGCATCTAACGGCTCAGCCCATCGTCGATGGTCGAATAATTCCTCCCGTCGTCCAACCCTAGTAGGGAAAGATAGGTTTCTGAGATATTTTGGCAGGCGCACAGTATGTGTGACAGTTTATTGAACTTTTCAGTTTAGCCAAAAATAATAAGATAATCGAGTTCAAGCTGAAGCTGTTCTCTAAAACATATTCATTTGTATTCTGAGCATGTGGGTCGCTTTGGGGCCGTGAAACGACCAGTCTGGAGTATTTGATGTCGCAGTTCAGTTAAATTTGAACAGCCACACAAAAAAAAAATTCCGATTTACTCTGAAACATTGGAATTGAGCATCAAACCTTGCAGTGTGAACTCAGCCTTTAATCTGTTTGATCTGATTTTGTCTTTTAAAGCTTGAAAGACACGCTGGTGTCGTACATTGAGAGAAAAGACTTGGACGTGCCCCCAGAAGTGGAGGAGCTCTTCCCGGAGAAGATCTTCTTGTCACATTATGTTGAAGCCTGGAAGTTCATTGTCGCCTTTAAGCAGGAACGTGGTCAGAGGCTGTGAAAACGGAATCAAATTCTGCCTTTTGATTTTGTTAAACCTTTGTTTACATTTACATCCTGAAATCACAGTATCGATAAGTAATGTTTGCACATCTTAACGAGTAAAAATGTGCCTTTGTAGCACTAATTAGTGACAATCTTGGTGAAAATGTGTCTGTGTGTGCATGTTAGAGATATAAGAACTGTAAATGTTGTTTATGTCCCTTTTTAAAGTCTTCTTGGCTGCACTTTCCTTTGTTATTGACAATGTTAAAGGTTCTCAGGAATAAAGTGGGCTGAATCTTTGGGACAGAAACTTGAAAGTTATCAAACTTTAAAGAGTTCCTATTACACATCTTGCTATAGTTATTTTTTCATTGTCATGCCTGTTTATTGAACATTTCCATATTTGTTGTGCTACATTCCAAGTTTTCATTGATTCCATTAAATTTGATAATTTACATAAATCTTTTTGTCCAAAATGAAACGTTTCTCTCCTCATTTCGGCTCAGTGCTTTTGGCCCAAATTAGTTTCATTATAAGTCAGAATCATCAAAATCATAATAAATATCATATTCCATACAGTAAATGATGCATTACTGCTTTGGCTACTTCCACATCTGGGCCAGCCTGCTCCAGGCTGGGTGGCATCTGTCCAGGACCCGCCCCGGTAGCTTTTCTTCACGCACACTTCTCAGGAACGCAGAAATCTACAAGCATGCGGGAAAAAGATGCACGGAGAAATCCGTAGTGTCTGCTGAACAAAGGGGACTGTGGGCGGTGTGGCTTTTGTTTACACTGATATAGGGCTTGGGATCACACGTGATTACGCGTTGCATTCTGGGACGTCAGACATGTTGATGGCCTCACAAGTGGAAACAAACACTAAATCACGTTGAAGCAGCAGATTGGGGAGAAAGTGTAAACATGTTAAAATCGTTAAGTATATAGATTATACAGGTGTATGTTACATAGGGAAGCCAGACCGGTATGACCGCATCATAACTATTAGAAAGAAATGAAACCTTATCAAATTATCCTACGTAGCTTACTTGTGATTATATTTCTTATGTTACTGAGAAGTTTGGTCTACATTTCACTTAACCAAACCAACGCAGTATGCATCGTTTCTACATCCTACAATTACAACCTGAAACAATTCATGCAGCTTTATTTTGTGCTACTTGTAATTTATATAAGTTAGACCAAACAACTGGAGCGTAATCCAAATGAGACTAAAGATTGAACTGGGTTACCATCGAGAAATTAATTTACAACGTTTAATTGTACCCATACTTCTAATTTGTTTGAAAATGTATCCTAGTGTGATGCTTTGTATCCACGTTTAACTCACACATTTGTCTTCAAAGCTCTAGCACCAATAACGTTGGCAAGCATTAAAAATAACAAATATTTGCAAAGTTGAAACAGTTGTATTTTACACAAGTCCACACTAGAATACACAACTCCAAATGCCACACACACACACACACACACACACACACACACACACACACACACTGCTTTTTATACAGACCAGCAAAGTTAGAATCAATCATGACGTCGGCAAAGGAAAATGTTTCCTACAATACTCCTACACGTGTGGTAACGTTTTGTCAAATATGTGGCCAGCTTAGACAGAAATAACACTGGAGTTCACTCTTAAAGTTACTCTTGATTTATAAAATAATATACACCTTTGCGTTTACACTTCACTTTTTATTTTGAACTTTTCCCTGTTTCTTGCGTCCTGATTTCCACCGGTTATTCCTGAATTTCTTCTGAAAACCTCCACCCTGTACCTGAAAAAAGTCAGGAATTAAAGCACAAGATAAAATTCCTCGCCCACAACTACAACATTCAATCATATAGTTGAATTCTGACATTTCACAAACCTTTTTGCGTTTCTGCTGCACCACCTGTGTCTCCACTTCCATTTCCTCATCTTCATCTGTCTGAAAGTCCTCCTCGTCCTCTACCCCCTTTAAACTTTCAGCCACTTGATTTTTTAAAGTGAACATAGAAGCTGTGGGCACATGAATAAACTGTTAAAACACATTTAAACTGACACAGGTGAGAATAAACTAATCTAGAACCTGAAGGACCCAATAAAGTTCCACTGACATGGATAGAGGTCGCTCATGCTGTCTTCGGAGTCACTGTGTTCCTCCTCACTGGATGAGGGCTCCCACATGTTCGATCGTTTTGATTCCTTCCCCTGATGGAATTCTTCTCTCGGTTCTTTGGGTCTTTTCTGTTTCAGTCTGGCTGGAACATAATCAATCCCCTTTTGCACACACTCCTCATCTGAAGCAGTGAACACACAGCCATGTTAATATTAAAACACGAGTGCGTAAATTTTCAAATAATCTATACAAAACTATTCATTTCTAAGCTGATTTGTGTTCTTTCTTTTGGTAGATCCCAAGAATATCCATCCGGTTTATTATTTAGGAGATTTAAAGCAAAACTGTTGAATAATGTGCAAACGCATGTCATCCTCCCCCATATTTTTGTGCGCTTTTGTCGGAGCTGAGCAAGTGACGAGTTCTGCAGAAATGCTCATTTACCAACTGATCAATTATCAGCAGAGCACATGAAGTACGCTAGCTGTAGAGCTCAGGTGTTACTTTCATTGTGCTTTACCGGCTTTTTGAAGCATGGAATCTTGCCTGACCATATGTTATCTGTTCTCTTAGTCCCTATAGTCAAAGAGAAAACTGGAAAAATCTCCTGTATTGATAACTACAGGCCTATTGCTATGGCAAGTGTGTTGTCCAAAGTGCTTGAGCATATTTTGCTGGAAAGACTGCAAAATTTTATAACTACGACAGAGAATCAGTTTGGTTTTAAAGGTAAACTTAGTACTGACTTGTGTATCTATGCTTTAAAAGAAACTGTAAGCAAATACATGAGGCATAATACTTCTGTTTTTATGTGCTTTTTAGATGCCTCTAAGGCCTTTGACAGAGTCAATCATCAGAAATTATTCATCAAGCTACAAAACAGAGGGGTCCCTTCATACCTAGTTAGGATTTTGCACTTCTGGTACTCTCATCAACTGATGCAGGTAAAGTGGGGGACAGAAGCGTCTGAACCTTTCTCCGTATCGAATGGAGTCAGACGAGGCGGGATTCTGTCTCCTGTCCTTTTTAACCTGTACCTTGACGAGCTGTCTGTTACTCTGAATGATAGTAAGACTGGATGCTTGGTGGGTAACTGCCTTATAAATCATTTAATATATGCAGATGACCTAGTCCTCATGTCTCCCTATAGCGCAGGCCTGCAGCAGCTGCTCAGGGCATGTGCTAAGTATGGTGAGCCATTTGACATCCTGTTTAACCCTAAAAAAAGTGTGGTTATGATTGCTGCTACTAAAGGGGACCTGAAGCTTAATTTTCCATCTTTTAACTTAACAAATCAGGTCCTCGAAGTGGTAAGCAAAGTAAAATATTTGGAGCACATTTTAAGAAGTGACCTCTGTGATGACGAGGATATTAAGAGGCAATGCGGTAAGTTGTACATGCAAGCTAACACTCTGGCACGTAACTTTGGCATGTGCTCAGATCCTGTTAAAGTGTCCCTCTTTCGTTCCTTTTGTACTCCTCTCTATACAGCCCACTTGTGGTGCAACTATAGTAAGGTAGTAATGAAGAAGCTTCAAGTGGCTTATCAGGATGCTTTTAGAATCCTCATGAAGCTCCCTAGATGGACCTTTGCAAGTCATATGTTTGTTGTAACATCCCTACTTTTCATGCGCCTCTGAGGATCTTCACGTACAAATTCATCTGCCGACTGAATTTGTCAGCTAACGCTGTTGTTAGAGCACTGTCTTCTTTAACTTACAGTGACACGAGGTACTCCTCAGTCCTTTTTTAAACATTGGAACAACTGCCTATATGGTTTTTAATGAGAATGTGTTTTTTACTTCTTTTTTTTTATTCTTGTTATGGACATATCCCTTGTCTGAAATAAAGTTTGAATGAATGAATGATGCATCAAATTTCTCACATTTCCTTCGTCAATGGTGGGTGTCTCCTAAAGGTTTTCGTGACTTGGGTGCAACGTCGTGTAACATCGCTCAATATGTGCAACCAAATAAATAAAACACAGATGCATGTAGGTGGGTGATGCACTGACATTGAGAAAGTGCTTTCTTGAAGCGTTTCCCGCTGACGTGTCGTATGACGTGATCCGGCTGCCGGTTGAGATGTCTGAGAGTGAGTTTGCAGAACAGCTGATTGCTACAAAACAAAACAAAATTATTAGAGAAGCGTAATAACTGGTGGTGGTGGGGTTTAAACACCAGGGTAGAAGTCTCCTTACGGTTGCTTTGTGCTTGGAACAATGTGTGGCTCATACTGGCTGTAGTTAAACTCTGCTGCTGAACTCAGTTTCTTGTATTTCTTCCCCTGGATGAACTTCTGCAACTCTGCTAAGCTGCAAGGAAACTCGTGGCCATTCAGGTTGCATTTGAGCTGCAATCATACGTAACTTTGTTTTAGTAGGAACAGCAAACTGACGGAAAAGATGAAGTAGTTTAACTTGTTGAGGCAATAAATTTAAATCGTGGTCAGCTATTTACATTTCATCTCATAACAGAACCTGACTAAAGAAGCTAGCATACAGCTACGTATGGCAACAACATGACAATTTTGTGAACTAGTAAGAGTTATTAACCAACCTTTTTGCCGTCCGTAAGCTGAAAAAACGGGTGGTTGCTGATAAAACTTCTGATATCTGCGGGTAACTCTTCCATATCTTAAAAATCACTCCAGGTCCTGACAGGAAGAGGCTCGACATGTGGTTGGAGGACGCAATTTACTGATGCACGTTGACGCAGACGCGTTACGTCAGCACGTTAGCCTTGTTATGAATGAGACTGTTCTGGCTGCAGGGACCAAATTTTGATTTCAGAAGTGGGGGGGACACAGCAGGCTTGTGCGGATTTGGGGTGGGGGGTGTTATGTAAAGACCCCTTGACACGTCACGTGCCCATCTCAATAATTTTTCCATCCTCTATATATATATATATATATATATATATATATATATATATATATATATATATATATATATATATATATATATATATATATATGAATATATATATATAAAAAATAAATGGAAAAAATAAGATAAATCTAATGAAAAGTGTACATCTTTGACATTGGGGCAACGGTGGCACAGGAGTTAAGTGCTCGCCTCGCAATCGGAAGGTCGCAGTTTCGAGACCCGCTCAGTCTGTCGCTGTGTCCTTGGGCAAGACACTTAACCCACATTGCCTGCTGGTGGTGGTCGGAGGGACCGGTGGCGCCAGTGCTCGGCAGCCTCGCCTCTGTCAGTGCGCCCCAGGGCAGCTGTGGCTACATCGTAGCTCATCCCCACCAGTGTGTGAATGTGTGTGTGAATGGGTGAATGACTGATTGTGTTGTAAAGTGCCTTGGGGGGTTCCAGGACTCTAGAAGGCGCTATATCAAATACAGGCCATTTAAGCTTAAAAAAATCTGTTGACGATGATACTGTTCATTTTTCAGAGCTTTTTAATGTGAAAATATACATTGCAATAGATAAGTTTACAATAAAGTTAAATGATAAAAGTTTTGAAGTTACACTTCTACTACTACTAGTAATAATAATTATGATGATAATAGTAATAATAAAAAAAAAATTATTATAATAATACGAATAAATTGTGTCTGAGGAGTCAGTTATGTGGAGGAGATGAGTTTGTAAAAGTTAGTTTTGAGTATGTGTGTGAAGGAGGAGGTGAGTCTGAGCTTAATGCAGGGGTGTCACATGTCAAACTTACGTTTTGACTTTGAAAGAAGTCTCTTATATCCACTTTTCGTTTTCTTGACATGCTGCCTCCTGGCTGTGCCTAACTACCAAAGACTCACAAATGAACACTTATTCAAATGTTATGTAATGGAAGCTGAGCTGAGCTCTGATATTACACAGCGTCTAGTTGACGATGTGACTCAGTACCGGTGTTCCCTAGCGGCTCCAAACTAGCAAAACAACGTGAGCACGTTCTGACTGTTTACAACTTGAGTGACAGCAGCAATAGCCAATAATACGTTAGCAAGTATCAGCAGAGCCAATAGATAGCTTTTGGGCGGGTCTAATAGTAAACCGGTTTCCGTTTCGGTCCTAGTGCTCAACCAAATCCTTTTAATGGAGCGTAACATAGTTTTTGGACGTAAAAAAGTGCAGGGGACCAAAACTGCCTTTTGAAAAAGTGGGGGAGACATGTCCCACCCGCCCCCCCCAACCCCCCCCCCCCCAACCCCCCCCCCCCCCCAAAATTACGTCCCAGTCTGGCTGGATCGATCAAGGGCGTTTATATGCTGTTCGATTGTTGTGTTTGTTTGTACATAAATGAAAAGAAAAAAGAATTTTTTTTTTATTTTCATTTAGCAAACACAGCATCGTGCATCAGTAAATTGCGTCCTTCAACGTAGCTGGAGATTTACACATCTGAGATGATTACAATCACTGTCACGTAACTAAACAAATACCCCCATTCACCCTCTGAAACAGATAAACAAATAGAAACAAGATGGAAAAAATATTGGTTGTTAATATCGGCCCAGTTTTATTTATCAGAACAATACCATATTTTAAAATATGACTAACATTGGCTGATACTGATGCCGATATATTGTGCGTCCCTAATAAAACACTTGTCGCATTTTTTTTTTACTTCTCTATTGTGAAATCTGCATCACATGTAGTCTGAAAGGTCACTATTCTCTACCCTCTTCTCCTCTTTTTTTCTCCATATTCCAATATTTTGGAGAAGAGGAATAAAGTACTGTTTTGGAACTGTAGTCATTTGCCAACTGTTCATTTCAATACCTTTAATAAACTGTGAAGGAAAATATTTTCTCACATTGCCACTCAAGATTTGTTTTCAGCAACCACCAATGCAGCTGTTTCCCCCCACTAAAATACTTGAAAGAGAAATTTCCAGTATGTTAAGGTTATTTCTTAACCACTGTAGGATACACCTAACACAGCTGGAAAATGTAATTTGTAACGAAGAGTAAATAAATAATGGGTAGGGAAATAAATCCAGACAGAGGAAGTCAGGTGCTTCGGTCAGCTGACTCTCGCTCTGAGTCTGAGTAAGAAGGTAAGAGGGTTCACTCTGAAAAAAGTTCTGTACCTTTAATCAAAAGTGATGACATGGCTTGTTTAAAATGAATGGGAACCATCGACATTGGAAACATAAAATGGTAGCGGCTTGAAGACAGTAGTTTTGCAAATTATCTGTCGCTAATGTATGAATATTTTACCTATTTCATCTGTGAATAATTACCAGAGTGAGACATCTTGTTTTACTCCCGAATCTCTGCTCAGGTTTCTCCCAGAATCAATTTGTTCCGTAAACATTTATCATTGGCCGCTGACAGATCTCTAACCTTGTTTGAAATGTCCTCTGAGAGCGTTGGACATGAACTCTGAGCACAACCTTTAGAAAGGACATTAGAAAGCGAACTCTTATAATTTTGTTCATTTAAACCGAGGAGATTCGAGGTCACGGAGGACAAATAGCACCGGTGCGAGTTAGCTAGCTGCTAGCTTTGCGTGAGTTTAAGTGGCAGCTTACTTCAGTTTGAATCATGTCAGGACCAAACGGGGATCCAACAATCTCCACTGATGATGGTATTATCAACGACGACGATGAATTTGGCGAAGAGGGTAAACTTTTTATGCATACTGAGTCATGTTTCTGAATGTTATTTGAATTATTGAGTCTGGCGGAAGCTTTCTACGTAAATCACCAAAGCGTCTATCCTGCTTTTCACCCGCAGAGTACTCCGCCATCAATACGATGCTGGATCAGATCAATTCGTATCTGGATGACCTGGAGGAGCGTAATGACGCACTGAATGGCAAACTTCACGAACTTCTAGAGTCAAATCGGCAAGCCCGTTTGGATTTCAGGGCTCAGCTGGATGCTCAATCGACCCAAGAGGAAGGGTGCACCCAGAGGGAGCGTCAGACCACAGAGGAAGAGTCTTCCTCACCCACCAAAGATGATTTAAATGAATGCGCAGATTCACAAACTAGTGACAATAGTCGTTAAACGTGGTGTTTTGTTATCAGTACTGATTCAGGCAGATTCTGAGATGAGATCGATTAGTCGCCCTTGATCAGCTTGGTTTCCTGTCTGTCCTGATTATTTCCGTGAAGCTACATTCCATTTGGCAGACACTCAGTCCAGCTTTCCACCGGTGAACTTTGACACGCTGGTGTTTCTGTTCTATGCAGTTATGAGTTTATTGACCCAGACTTGGAACATTCTGAGTAAAATGTGTTTGTGTAAAAATGTGAAGAGAATTAAAATATTTATCGCAGTTAAAACTGCAGCATCACTGGGGTTTTCGGTGAAGATACCTTACCTCATTTCTGTTAACATTTCCCTATAAATGCTCCAAACATTATTACTCTAAAATCAAAGAGCCATGCATTTCATTTAGAGCAATAACCAAGGCCTGTTTCACAAAATTAACCAACCTCGTCATTTTTGCATGTTGATCACAGATAAACTGAGGGCGATGGCATGCTCTTAACATCAATTGTATCTACTTTAAAGTAGGTTAAATCACACTTCAGACCTTTATCCAAAACTAATTCCTAGCAGTGGTTACAAAGGGTAAATCTTAAGTTTAGGTTGAATTTAATCTAACATTTAAAATAATGAAAAATGATCAGTCTTTGACTTGAACAGTATGTTTCAAGTGTAAAACCACGGAGAGGAAAAACAACATTCCAATGAGTCATGGATCATTATGGGATTTCAGACATTTTAATATAAATTAAGATTACTCCCAAACAGAAAAAGAAACATCCAAAAATACAATAAACTTCCAGCAGTTAGAAAACATCACCTGGTTGTTCATCTCTATTTTTTCAGTAGCTGAATAAAAATACAATAAGAAACAGTTTTGCTTTTTGAAATTCTCTGCCCGTGTTTATCCCACTCCTGATCCACTCAGGTTGAAACGAAGAGGAAAGTTCAAAACACGTCTCGCTCCTTCAGAAAGCATTGTCGCCATGACTACAAGGGCAGCTGTATCCTCCACTATAATAGAAGATGAATGTTTCCAGAAGAGCACACACTCGATCACGAAAAGGGAAGGAACAGGTCCTGGTTCCCACTTTGTGACACAAAGTTACACACTTGTATAAACTACTGCGTGGAACCAGTTCTTTCAAATGCTACATTAAACAAACACACGTCATGAAAACTGGTTTGGGATTCTCTCACAAACAGAAACCTTCTATTAGGAAAGGAAAACCAAACGATAAATTAGAACCAACTACCACTAACAGTATCAATGCTCAGTGATGCATTTGATGTCAATGCAAGCTCTTCTGTGTTCTAACTGTAAGCACGCTTTCCAAACGTATAGAGGATCGGAACACAGTACAGTCTTTGTGGTTCTGACACAGTCCATTCAGTACTTGTTTCTTTATGGATTCTGAAATCCGCCTCCAGAAAAAATAACTAAAAGTCTCAGAGGGACTCAGAGACGACTGCTAGTTTCACTTTAGAGTGGTTGGAAAAAACCTCGCATCAAACATTTTTAAAGTCATCTGCAGCTCCATTCAGCTTCTTTGTAATTACTGAAGGCCAATGAAGATTTTTACTTCAAACTAATGCACAAAATTGCAGACAGTTTTTTTTAATGACCAAACAACGATTAGATTAATTAAACCAAAAGCACAGTTTCAAGACTTTAAAACCCCCCTGGTCAGACGCTAAATCAGGCTACATTCTACACTCGAGCTTGCTAAAAGCTACGTGGTCAGCAACGGGGGAAGCGTTTCCACCAACACATTAATGCAGTCTTTGACAGTTTTAGGTGGCTTTAGCTTGAAATGCATCAAAATCTGACTACAAGCTCCCACCGAACGGCCGACTTGTGGGCAGCAGGGTGGAAAATGAACATTGTTCTGTAGAAAGCTACAGAAACGCATTTAGAGTAGTGACGAGCGTTGTCCCGCTGTGTGATTATGTGGTTTTCAGAGGTAAAACTACCAGGAGCCTTTTCCTACTCAAAAAGTGACTATAATGATAAAACTGACACTAAATCTGATAGGTAAAGGAAATGGCCCGTTCTCACCTCAACAGTCAGCTAACGTTTGTAATGGATGTTTGCCTTCCACCCTGCAAGAGTGATTCCAATGAGTAGTACTGTAATTCAGTAGCTAGACTTCCTGTTTGCTGCCGTGCGGTTCCCTCTGACTCGTCAGCTCTGGGGGGATGATGGGAGGCCAAGTTTTTCCACTGCAGCAACACATCAGATGGTTTCCGTTCCACTTTGTGTCTTAGACTCATCGTCTGTTTGTGGCCCTCGTTGACCTTCGTTTTGCTGTAGGCTTTGCCCTCCCTGTGCCATTCTTCTTTATAGCGGGAGCCTCCTCCTCCTCCTCCTCTCCATTAGACTCTTCAGCAGCAGCTGCTGCTGCCAGCTCTGGGTCGACCACCTCAGCTGGACTCTCCTGAGCTGTGATACCACAATGAAGACTGGCGTCATCATCTGAGCAGCTGGTTGCTAAGATGCCTATGTCTTGTGAGGTCGAGTGGGTTTCTGGTTCCAGCTCCTTCTCCTTCTGCGTTTTCAGTCGGCTGACTGCAACGACGGGCTCCATCGTGCAGAGATTAGCAGCTTCACTGGAGTCAAAGGACAGCAAAGCTTCGCCTGAACTGTCTGTGGAGGTTTCCGTTACTGGTTTGAAGCCGTCTGCTGGTGGGTCGGATTTCCCAGATGACTGAACAGCTGCTGATGTTTGACTCATTAATTCTCTGTACCTCTGAGAAACACAAAAACTCCACAATAAAGCACAAACAACTTCAGATTAAATTCTCTAAATATATAAAATAAAATAAAAAGTACCTTAAAATTCTCTAAGTGCTTGGGTGATTTGCAGTGAGTGTGCAGAGCAGAAGACTCGAGGAGGTAAAACTTGTTGCAAAGTCTGCAGATAAAACCTGCAACTGGATCTAAGAAACTGGATCCTGTCAGTTAAAAATGGAGAAAAGGGATTTTTCACAAAAAGATTCTATTCTGAACGAGTGGAAGAGCAGAAGTGAAAGATGTACCAACCATAGACTGTGTCAGGCTCATACTGCTCCTCACTGGCCAGGTCGTTTAAGGTCACTGCTGAGTGGGAGGACCAGGCATCCTGTAACAGTTAAAGGAGCTGATTGTAGTTTTTAACTAACTGTTTATCACAAACAACAACAAATAATCTGCAAACAACCTCTGTGTCTCCTCCGTCTCCTCCCTCCTCCTGCTTCCCCTCTAATAAAAACCCGTCCATGTCCAAGGTGCTCAGTTTGGTCAAAGCCTCACAGCCTCTCTCCTGGAGCTAATAAACAGCAACAAAAACGAGGGAAAAGGGAACAATTTAGCTTTTCTTTCCTTCTAAAGAAACATTTTTGCAACCATAATAAACAATCCAAGCACAGATGTGTTCTTCACCTTCTGTCTGTGCTCTTGCGAGTGCAAGTGCTCCAAAAAGTCCTGGGAGGTCTTGAAGCGTATCTTGCAAACGGCACAGACGGAGATGTCGATTCGACATGCAAGCTGAGGAGCAAGAGAGGGACGGGTGAGTCTCATCGGACCAATCACAGGAAACGAACAGGGTTTCCTCGGATATTCTACCTTGTGCTCCTCAGAGCGATGGTGCTCCACGATGCCACCGGTGAAGTGCGTGCGACAGGTGGCGCACCAGTGCTTCGGGTCTTTTTTCTCGCTGTCAAACGACACAGATTGAACAGGAAAAGATCACCTCTCACCTTCTAAACACAAAATACGGCATTCAACAGAAAGATGTGAGCAGAGAAGGTTTTGATGCATCTGAGGCTGACCCGTCCTTGTTTGCTCCCTGAAGAGACTCCTGCACTCGCGGCAGCAGGGTGACCAGGCAGGCGTTGCTCATGTGCTGGATCTCCATCATCCTTTGCTGGTGGGAAATACTGTTCATGTGACTTCTGAAGTTCTAAAACAAACAGGATGGATTTAAAGGGGAATCACCCATCAGCAAACAGAACGGACGCTTGTGTTCAGCCTACCTGCTGGTTGTGGCAGGTGATGCTGCAGAGGTAGCAGTAGAACTTGTTAGAGCTTTCTGATGCAGCTTCCTCCTCTTCCTCCTGGCTCTGTGGTGAATCCAACAAGGCATCTTTGTTTTCTGAAGCATCTTCTGCTGGTGACTCTTCCTGCAGCTCGGTTCCAGTCAGCTCACAGGAGGGCGACCGGGTCGGCAAGCCGCTGTAGCTCTGTTCAAACGAGCAGAAATCAGTGCCGACAAAACCGATAAGAGCAGTGATTATTTGGTGTGAGCTTTCAGCAGGGTCACCTCATCAGCTTCAGTCTCCTCTGGACCCTCGACGAGATCTGATGGCTTGTTGGAACTTTCATCCTCCTTGGTGCTGCAGCCTGGTAAAGGCTCTGAAGACAGGAACATAAATGAGGTCGTTTCAGTGATGCCACTTTAAAGTAAACAAGTTTTCATGCTACCTAAAATGATAAAACCCACAAATATTAGAAGGTTTGCGTATTTTACCTGCAGGCTGGGTATCCACGGTGTTGCTGTCGCACCCCGAGTGCGTAGTAGTGACATCATCAACCACACACTGATCTTTAGACTCCTGTGACCTGGGATAAGAAGAAATGATCGTTTATACAGCACCTCTCAAGATAAAAATCACGAGGCAAAAATAAATAAAAATAATAATTAAAAACATTACGACAATTAAAAAAAAATCATAACATTGGGAAAGTTAAAAAAACTGCAATGAAAAAAACGTGAGGAAAGGGAAAACGAAGAATGAGGTCATCAAAAATATAGATGTTACAAATGTACAACCAGACAGAAAGCGGCTTTATTTTTACTTAATTAAGGACTTTAACTCCTCTTTAATATATCAGGACAAAAATCCACTCGTGTGATATTTAAAGAGCAAGTCACCCCCAAATAAACTTTTTTTTGCTGATAAACTAAATAAACGAGTGTCTAATCGTGCTGCAGACACGTGTCGTCAATAATTTGGCACTTCAGTGCATCTTAGTTAAAATTTAAATATTCTGCCTAAAACTGGCAGTGTTGTGCCGTTGTCAGGTAAAAACTCTGCACTGTATTCTAATTTAAATCTGCCACCGCTATTGGCTAAGAGGTATGCTATGATGTAAACTGGTACATTATGATGTCACAATGCTGTCGTGAGCCTGTGGCTGTGTCTCAATTCAGGGTCTGCATCCTTCGTCGGCCGGTTACGTCACAACGCCGCGACTAGGCCTGTCCCAACTGGAAGACTCCTTCAAATGCGGTCGACGAATCCGGCCTTCTTTTCGCCTGAATGAAGGATGGGTCCGGTGTATCCTTCAATGGTTTACATTTCAAAAAGAAGCCTTGCGGGCCGGATGACAGAACTTTTAAAAACAATGGCGGACAGTGAAGCGGGAGCTGTCGGAGAGGATTGCGCATATAAATGTCAGTATAAACTTGAAAACTGTTAGGTTAAGGGCTTTTGGTGATACATGAACGTTATTTTAGTTAGAAATGTTACAGTAAAAGTGCTTGTATTGCGGTCTCGGCTCGTATGTTCGGCCGCTCGGTGTCGTACTTCTCTCGCGTTTTCCCCGATTTTAATAGAAGTTTGTATTTTAGGAACAAAAGAGAAAACCAGGGAATTTATTAAGCTTAGGGCGGAGATGGACCACATGATCACTGGAGCAAAGTATTCGGCGGCTGTGGCATGGAGGTACAATAACATCTCATATTTTAAGTTTAGTTTTTTCTGCAAAAACATGAAAGGAATAACCCATTGTCCTCTTTTCTCTTCCTGTTTTATTTTTCTTACGTTTGTTAAGATTATTCTGGAGAAAATGGGCATCCAGGGGAAGGTGACAGCGATGACCAGCTCCTGGAGCTGATCAGGGAGGACATGAGGCTGCAGAGGGAGGCAGAGCAGCAGAGGGCCCAGGAGAGAAGGGAGAACTTTGACAGGCTTTTTACTTTGCTAGAAAAAATGGTTAATAAGGATTAAACATGTACATATAAAAGAAATATCTAAATAAAATCAATTCTGTATTAAACACTTGAATTCTATTTTTGTTTACAAATGTGAATTGTTTATTATTAAAGGGTATCTGCTGGGTCTTGAAAAGTCTTAAAAGGTGATAAATCGGTTTTGGTCAAATTAAGACCCTTAGAAAGTATTAAAAACTATTATCACATCTTTGCTCAGCTTGCCGAAAGTATTTTCTCTGAATTAGCTCTCCAACAGTCAAGGAAATGATTAAAAAGCTAAATAAAACGTCGAGCTCCATCTTTTAAAGTTCCTTCTCCCTTCTGCTCAGCGGTTCCTCAGTTGCTAGGCGACAGAACGTTCGCCGAGGGAGTGGCGGGAATTCATGAAGGCTAGGCCTGTCCAAATTCACAGCCGTTAACATCCGGTCTACTCGGCCGACGGAGGACCCAGCCCACGTCGGCCGAGTAGGCTGGGTCCTTCGAAGGATGCAGACCCTGAATTGAGACACAGCCTGTGTGTGTGTGTGTGTGTGTGTATTTGTTAGCAGCTCCGCCCTCTCAGTCTGCCAGGCAACAGCATTTGTTGCATTTTTCAAACATGAAGTGGGAGTGGAGTTAGAATCTGGTAGGGGTTGACTTGCTCTTTAAAATCAGTATGAAGTTTGAGTAACTGAAGCCACATATGATAAAACATTCATGTTGCCATGGTGATAAGGAAATAAGACTGGGTTGTCTTGGCTTGAACCAACAGACACAATCATATGTTAGCACACACATGTCAGACTCAAGGCCCGCGGGCCAGATGCGGCCCGCGGAGCATTTTTATGTGGCCCGCGAGATAAATATCAAAAATATATTAAAACTGGCCTGCTGGCTGATTTTACCGCAAATACTTCAACTCCCATGATGCTTTGCGGCGTCAGGGCGGAGCCGATGCGCCCCCTCCTTTGTGTTTTTTCCAGCGCCTGCTGCCGGTGTGCAGCTCCGCTGTCTCGGACAAACTAAACACTCCTCTCACTCAGCGCCGAGTTCACTCAGCTGTTTTCTGACGTTGAAGCCCAGAAACGGAGATTCTAGCCGTTCAGTAATGTGTTCACGACTGAAAGAGAAAGTTTTCCAACTAACGTCCAGACAGAGCTGATATAACTCCAGCGAACAGCGACACGCTCAAACCAGCATGACTCTGTGGTTGCTGTCGTTGTGTTTCCTCCCCGACACACAACAACGTGGTCAAGCTGCTCAGACATGTTCAGCAGCACAAACCTATGAGAGCACCTGTTGTCATCTAATGTTGTCATTATTATGATGAAGATGAACAAAACAACAGGAGTCTCCTCCTCAGCGCAGATCAACCCCATGATGCAGGTATCTGGCTGGAACAGGTGAGCATCACAGTAAACCAGTGGAGCAACCTGAGCTTTAAATATGTTGGTTTTATGCTCTTTTTCTGCTCCAAAACATGAAAGTTAACAGGTGAGATGTTGCATTTTCATTTAAGATAAAATGATATTTTTATTTTGTTGTTGGCCCGTGAGAAAAGATTTAAAAGATTCAAAGATTTAAAAGATTTTAAAAATGCTGATTATACCACAAGTAATGAATACCACTGATGCCTTTTATTTAAATCTGACTTGCTCGTGTGTAATTTGGTTATTCCACATTCAGTGTTAATGCAGAAATAAGTTTGTTTCCAAATTTAAAAGTTCAAAATTGCATATATGTTGATAAAGAAAATGTGCAAATTTGCCGTCACTTTTTCAAAGTTTGGCCCTCGACTCCGTCCCAGAGTTTCATTTCGGCCCCGTGTGAGTTTGAGTTTGACACCCCTGTGTTAGCAGAATGCCACATATCTTCATTAAAGGTAACATTTCCTGTGATTTTGTAAACAAAAACACACTTGGAGAGGATATTTTTAAGAAAGTGTAATTAGTGTTATTTATCAGTGTTTCATCTCAGGTTCTTGTAAAGAAAAAATAGATGAACACTAACAATTCAGATATTGTTTAAATTTAGCAACAATTTCCAGCACCAACATAAACTATAGACCCATTTCCACTATCGTAACTTCAGGGTACTTTTACCGAACCTTCCCGACATTCGACTGCCTCCATTTCACCGGGCCGGCCCAGATGGGGGTTTTTCAAGTACCCCCGAACTAGGGTATGCAATCTGAAAATGCTTGGTAGAGTGGCTGGGCGGGGCTTGTGGTTAACTCGTGCTGATTGGTTGTAACTCAGCAGGAAATGGCATCAGCTGACGTTGCCAAACAAACAGCATTTGAAAATTTTTAAAAGTTGCTTTGAGGCAAACTGGAAGAAACAGAAAATAAGCTGCATTGATGCATCTTTATTATCACCGTTTCAAAACTCAGCTACGAAATATTCGGTGGGAATCCCAACATGACTGTGTAATTCATGCCGTTCCTGCGGGGGCGCCATAAACATTGTAAAATACAGCGCTCTTAGACGGAATAAAATATCTTAAATGTTATTAATGCCCAAGTATGGAAGCCCATTTCTGCCACTTTGAAAAATAAACAACTTCTATCTCATAATTATGACTATGACTTATGAGATAATTAATTCATAACTATGAGATAATGAAGTCATGATAATGAGATACAAGTGTTTTTTAATCAGAGTGGCATGAATGGGCTTCCATACTCATAGCTGTGGGAGCCTTTCGGTGCTGATCAATGACATCACTAACGACAACAATGATCACAATATACTGACATCTTAGTCCTGAAATGGCTGATTTTGTATGGAGACACAACGGCTGAGCAGAGTCATCGTACCCCCCCATGAAACTCTTATATTGGAAAAGCAGCTACTCTCTACTGTAAGATGGATTGTTTTCTAGAGAAAACAAAACAAAACAAAACAAAAGAACAAGAAGAACCATTAATGCTTGAATATATCAGTGTTCTCACTCTTCTGTCTTTTGCCGCTTTGCTGCAGGTTCTTCAGAATGTTCCTCAGAGGGCTGCCCATGCACTCCTCCTCCCACAGCATCATCTGTCAGAAGAATATTTACCACTTTAATGTGGATTTATATTTCAGCACTTAACTAAAAACAACAGGTTGAACTACAGCACCACCTGTGAGAGTTTTGTCTTCATTGGTCCTCAGATCAGCTGCTGGCTGGTTGTCTGTGCTTCCTGCTGCCATCTGACCGCTGTCCCGCTTCCTGTCTGTCTGGAGAGGAGCTGCAGCATCCTGTCCACAGAAAATACGACTCCAAATTGATATTTTATAGAGAGACTACAATTTCCTGAAAATGGTGGCACAGATGTTTCGATATTGAAATATTCACAGATATCAAAATGAAAGATCTCCTGTTTTAAAATATTTAGCAAATATATGATAGCAATAAAAATCTGCTTCTATTATAATCAGCTTGATTAGTTTTTGGTTTTATTAATAATTATCTAACATTGTCTAAATAGACTTTTTCTGGCCTAACATTTTATTTACTCCAGTAAAATCAAACTGAAATAAATCAAAATTAAAATCTAATTAAGCTATAAAAATATGGCATCATAAAAATGCCTGAAAATTCAACTTCACAATATTATGCAGCAAAATTGTGATGATTTCCCATGGCACAACCATTTATGAGCATTGTTAGTGGTTCTGATTGTTAGAAACTCAGACTGAAAACCTTAAATGAGTCTGGTGTTATTACTGTGGTAGAGATGGAGGAAGAGGTGGAGGCTGTGGCTGTGGAAGGGGTGGCAGAGGCGGAGGAGGTGGAGTTGTAGAAGCGAGAATGAGGGTGGAAGGGTCGTGCAGCTGGGAAACCCATCATGGGGGACTTGATGGCCATCCCCATGGGGACCGGCCCGAGCAGGGACGACCTGGCCCCTGCGGTAAAGAACTGTCGGAACTGCGTCCCGCCCATTGCAAAGCCTCGCATGCTGCCTAAATGAAAGCAAAGCATGACAGCAGGAAAACATGGCCACTGTTAGTCATGTACCGCATCGAATCACAGGCTAAAGTCATGTTTTCCAAATGTTGCTTTCTGTACGTTATAATCTAATTTGTACCTTGCATCTGCTGCATCATCAGAGCTCCCTGCAGCATCGGATTGGGGGCAATGATGGTTGTTTGGGTCGCCTGGCACAGGTTGACCATCCGAGGAGGAGGGGCAGTCTGAGGAGGAACTTGAATGGCTCTGGACAACAAACACACAAAAGTTTGGAACCTTTACTTTTAACAGACATTTCTGCAAAAAGACCTCAGGAACTACACATTTTCTCTAGAAATGCTACTTATGCAAAGCTGACAAAAGCCATAATTATTTACACATTAATAAACACATACTTTCCACAACTCTCAGTGTGTGTACAGTAATCCCTTAATCGGATAACCTGATACTTTATATGAATCAGTGTCACTGGTCAGTCATAAGGCATAATTACACTCAGATAAAAGAAAAATCTATGTTATAAACTAAGTGGTTAAAACTGTGGCTGATTAATATAACCAAAGATCTTATGTAACAATACGGCTCTGGGGAAAAAAATAAAGTAAGAGACAATAATGATTATATCTGTCTATTTTAGGAATAAGATTTAAGAAATTAATTTACTAATCTGGGCTTTAAAATTTACTAAAGGTATTTTAATGAAGCTGAGACTATGCATATTGGCTGAAATGTGGTGTTCTGTTGCAGCTGTGTTTTATATTAGCTTAGTTAATTTTTGTGTTGATAAAAATGTGCGAAAAGGAACATAAAACACTTTTTATAAATAATGTAATACTTGACCCTAAGGTTTGAGTGGTGTAGCTTAGCCAGACCAGCTAGCTCATTTCCTCCACAGTAGGCCTTACGTGATCCCCGGTGTCGCGTTACCCGGCTTACCGCTGTGTCTGGTGGTGATGGGCGACATGATGCGCCGGGGGCGGCTGCGGAGGAGGAGGAGGCTGCTGCTGCAAAAAATGTTGTAGCTGTCGGAGGTGCTGGTGAAGCTGCTGCTGTTGCTGCTGCTGATGGATATGTGGGTTAAACATCCCGGGGCTGTAAAGTCCTCCGCTGGTTTACACCGGACTGTTGGAACCGCTCGGTGCCACCTCCTACAGTAGAAACGGGACCAGAGGACGAAATACTTATTTGATTGGACCAATCATTCAGTGGATGTGCATTAAAGCACACAATGACACTGCGCAGTCCATAGGTTCACAGGTCCTTCTCCCATTTCATGGAAACTAGCTAATGCTAGCACACACTCCAGCAAATATTTCTTTACATTTCTGCTTCCAAGTCAAACTTTATAAACAATGCATCGTGTTTATTAGCTCACCTGCACGAAACTAACACAAAAACCATGAATTAATGTCGAGTTATATGTATTAAAGTGCCATAACACCTACTAATGTTACACCAGACTAAACACAACAGCTATTATTAGCATAAACCGATAGCATCGAGCTATTTCACAGACCTCGATCATTAGACAACTTGCAATATTTTACCTCAGGCGTCCTTCAGTTTTTACAAACAATGGTCAAAAGAAACGTAGCTAGAGTTGTTGATTAACCAACTAAAGTCAACAGCTAACTAGACTGTTACTAGCTGTCAAAGCTGAGGCGCATGAAGCTATTGAACAAAATCTATTAATTATATCGCCCCCTGGTGGTGGTCTAGAGAACTGAAGGACACATATTCAGTCTTCAGAAAATTTAAAATTAATAGAATTTCTAATAATAATACCAGATTTTGGGGTGTTTGGTTATTAAAACAATTGGAATTTATTTTAATTATAGTAGTTTAATTTTTTAAATCTTTGGAATAGAATAGAATAGAATAGAATAGAATAGAATAGAATAGAATAAGAAAAGAACAGAATAGAATAGAATGTATTAATCCCACAGTGGGGAAATTCACTTGTTTACCAACCTACATAAGAAAATGTTGTAAATTAGAAATAGAATGTTCTCGCCAGTGTCAGGAGGGAGAGTTGCTTTGAGTAAATGTTTGTTGTAGTGAACATCAAGATTCCCAACTTCCTATTGGAAAACACCACAGCATTCAGAACGCAGATCGAGGACTCATGCACAAATATCTCATTTGGCTCAGAGTTTGTGAAAAATCAGACTATAAATAAGGCGGAGGGTTAGACAAGAAAAATGAAGGGTGCATTGTTTTTTGAGCAACCTGAATACAAACCAAGTGGAGAAATTCAAGCATTTCGATGTCACTAATAAGTACAAAATGCTACATTTGTGCATGAAGACCTCATCCCTTTTAATTATTGTAAAATACTTTAAAATATCATTTACTATAATCATCAATAATTTTCTCCCACTAGCAGTTCATTTTGGGGACATTTGTTTATGAACACCTCCCCTAAATCCTAAATAAGTTTTGAACTTTGTGTACTTTTCATACATAATGTTGCCGATCTGTTTTGGGGATCATTTGTTACAGAATAAATCATGGCTGAAGAATGATTGCAGTAGGTTTTCCAGAGAGCAAACAAAGTGTAGAGGATAAGCCATCTCCATGTTAGTTAATGTGTAAATAGAGGAAACGACACCACTAAGCGATGAGGTTTTGGTATTGCAGGAATCTCCTCAGAAAATCCAGGAGATCATCCTTCTCTTCCTCCTCCTCCTCCTCCTCCCCTGCGGCGCAGAGGAGTGTCGTGTAGAGGGTTCTGGTGTTCTGACACACTGTTAAATCGTTGTAAATGAGGGATAAACCCGACAAATAAGCCACCGTGAGCACAAATAAGAAATAAAGCTCCCTCTAAGTGCGAGGGCGGCGAGCAGAGACACGGGAGAACAAATAAACAAACCCGTCCCTGTTCTGAGAAGCCGAGGAGGACTACTGCACCGCAAAGATGGGGAACCGGGGAATGGAGGATCTGATTCCTCTGGTGAACCGCATGCAGGATGCTTTCTCCGCCATCGGACAAAACGCGAACCTGGACCTGCCGCAGATCGCGGTAGTGGGCGGCCAGAGCGCAGGGAAGAGCTCGGTGCTGGAGAACTTCGTGGGGAGGTAAGTCGCTTTTGCTGGCTGATGGTTGGTGATGGTGCGCCTCCACCGCTTTGTGGACAGGTTCAATGTCATCACTCATTATAACCGAAGATGAAAGATCTGTCTAAATCAGGGCCCACTCATTTATTCACTTTCTTTTTTAAGTTAATTTCATTGACAGAAGCAGGAGGAAGGGGATTATTTTGTGAGGCCTACACAAATCCCCAGTGAAGTTTATCTGTTTACACCATGATGCCTGCTTTGACCAAAGAGCATCATAAAATTACTGTAAATTAACTAAATTCCTATTTAACAAGACATTTGTGCTTATAGCTAATTAAAATATAATTCTGATTAATCCTATATTTAAAATGGTTTTCCATTCCTTGTATAATAATGCCCCTGAGGCTCTATGAGAGATGGAGTTTCTGTCTCTCTGTGTTGCTCCTGTGACAAGGCTGTTTAATTTCAGAGCTGCAAACCTGGGGTTTGCTGTGTGGAGAGCTTTCAGTTTTGCAAACTTGCATAGATGTTATTTCTGTCTGCCAGAGCTGCTGCTGCGGTGCTGATAAGTACAAAACAAAGCAACGGAGAACAAATCTGATCTGTTCTGCAGTTCCTGATGACCTTGCAGTGAGGGGGGAAGAGTCCACTTGAGCTTTGAGCCCTTTCAGCTCAGCTCACCCATCTGTCTGAGTGGATGGGAGTGAAACCTGCTGCATGCACGCACCAGACTAGACAGTGCAGATTTTGTCATTTAGCAGTATTTTTTAAGGCTTAAGTACATTTTCCCTGTGGTCACAGAGCAGTTCCCATTAAAATGTTATCCCTCAGTTCAGCAGATGTGGGTTTCTTCTAACCCAGACGTTCTCAGGTAGATTTATAAGTCCGCCACAGTTCACCTCATGGCTGCTAATCTCCTCACTGTGAGTAGGTGAGGCACGCCCACTGTTTTCATGTTCATTTAATCTCCACACACGTGGCCCTGCACAACCACCAGTAACAGGCAGGATGATATAAGCTGCACAGCTCAGGGTTGGACATGACAGCATTTCCTAAAATACTACAAATATACCAACAACTTAACAAATGTTTCAGGAAGAACTTTTTTGGTAAACAAACCAAAAATCATCAGGATTCGGTGAAGACTTCCACCCAGCAACTTTTTTAAATGAGAGAGAACATATAATGCAAAACACACCTTTTTGATCCTTTTGGGCTGCCATGTGGGTCTTCACTGCCTCCAAAAAACACTCCAAACTTGGAAACCCGTCCTTCCATTTTCTGTCAGTGTTTGGTTTTAGGGATTATGTTCCTAAAACAAGCCATTTCAAAAAGTCCCCATTTGTGACGTCACAAATGGGGACTTTTGAAACATAGAATAGAACCACTTCTCACATGCAAGAGAAAGTAGAGCTGCTGCTGGAGGAGCAGCAGCAGCTCTACTCTGAGCTCCTCCTGGATTTCAGAGCTTCTGAGCCTGAGCAGGGGACAGGTGGGCGTGGTCAGCAACAGCTTGCTTTCTTAAAGTGACAGAACCCTGAAACGGCTCATTTTGGAAGGTACTAAAAACGTCTAGTATAACATTTCTGAAATCTCTTTATGTGAGAAGAATATCCTGTAAAAAACTTGATGAACATGTTTTGAATCGACCATAGAGCTGTTATAACTTCTATCATTTTTATTTTAAAGTTTACACTAAGAAAAAACACTTGGGTTCTATTTCAGAACTCCTTATCGGACAGCAACAGAGCAGAGCAAGATAAATCTATAGATAAATGATATTTAAAAATGTGAAATGAAACAAATTCATTATCTCTCAGAGGCCTCTCTCAAAGTTTTATAAGAAAAAATATTTGGAGTTATGGTCCGGTATTTGGTCAAAACCCAAATGACTCTTCAGTCAGACACTTGTATTAAGTGATTTTGCACAATCCAGCTTCCATGTTTCACGTATATTGAGGATGTTTATATTTGTTTAATTCCAAATAAAACAGCTCATCTAAAGATTTTCATCTAAATATAAATTTGCATATAGCCTATATAAAAAAAGATCAAAGCTACTTCTTTGTGTTCCATTGGTCATATCAGACTGTATCATCTCAGCTGTTGCCATAGAAACAGCTTGGTTATGATGCCTCTCTGAGGGAGATTTGACAGACAGATGCTTTATCTGCATTTAGCAGTAATACAAAATGCTGATGAGCATCCTGCAGTGTTTGTGCTCAGTCACCCTCTTAGTGCAGTTGCAGTGATGACCACATGCATTTTTTGAGACATTTTCTTTTACCTGACATATTTGAGGTTTCTATTATTTCTGGGGCTAACTGTAATCTGGCAGATTTGACGCAAAGACACAATCAGTCTGAAGATGTTGAGGTACTAACAGAATAGGAGATAGCAGCTAATTGAATTTGTTGCTGTTGCAGCCCTGCTTTAGGTTTTCTAGCTGCTGTTTGCTGCTCAGCTGTTGGACCTTTCGTCTCTCAGTATCTTACGTCTCTGTTTATATTTTGATCAACTGGTGCTCTGCTGCATGAGTTTAAACTCTAAAATATACAATAATATAATATGTAATGCTCAGATAAATAAAGCATTCCATATAAAGGTCAGTCAATAAACATATATGTTGTGTGTGGATGTGTGTTTGTGTGTGGGTGGGCTGGTGTTGGTGTGTGTGTGTCTGCTCTGTCTTCTCGATCCCCAGTGAGTCGTGGAGGATGGCTGCTTATACTGAGCCAGGATCCTCTGGAGGTTTCTTCCTGTTAAAAAGGAGTTTTCCTCTCCACTGTCACTAAATGCTTGCTTAGTATGAGGATTAGAGGTGGGAAAAATGATCGATTCTAAGATGCATCGCGATTCAGCCATGCATGATTCTGCATAGATGCAGCAATGTGACATAATGAGATTTTCTCCCTATGTCTGTCTATGTCTATGTCTATGTTCTGGATGTGTGAGGACAATAAAGTTTTGAGGTTTTATAATTACTTCTAGGGGCAGAATTGCAATGACATGCACACTGCGTTGCCCTAGCGCCAATTTAAAACAGAAAAGGCAGACAGGGATACAGGGCGAACATTACCAGTAATCAAAGATGTACCCGTTACATTTAAATCGGATGTCTGGGCTAATTTCAGTTTTGGGATCCTGGATGTGAAAGAATCACTTAACACAGTATTTGTTTACTATTTTTAAGTTCAGTTGTATTCTTTCTTAAAGCTGCTCTACAGAAAACGTTATTTCTTATATTATTTAATTATAGGCAGCACACTTTAAAAATTGTTGCTCACTATAGTGAATAGATGTATGTTCAGTTTTTCAGGGATATTGAAATAAAAAAGAAACTGAAAACTATTCTACTGCTTTTATTATGTAATGAACATTTTTGTGTGAAGAATCGTGATGCATTTCAGACTCAAATAGAATCTTTAGGCAGATAATCGGAATCGGATCGAATCGTGAGGCAGGTAGAGATGCTCACGACTGATGAGGATTGCTACAAAGACTCTGACACTAGTCAGTGACTTGATGTAATCTGCTGGGTTCCTTATATAGGAAACTTTTTACTGATTGGCTTAATGAACTGACCTGTATTGGAATGTTTATTATGTGAAGTGCCTTGAGACGACTCTTTTCGTGATTTGGCGCTATATAAATAAACTTGAATTGAATTGAAAGTTGGTACTTTATTTATTTATTCTGTTACTGTTTACTCACAAAAGGAAATACAAATAATTACATTTAATTACAGAAAGTTTACATTTTAAATCAATAAAACAAAGACATAAAAAGGCAGTAGAATCTGTGAATGTTTGCCATTTTTCGAAATAAAAAAAATATAGTGACTCTACTTTAATTGACAGGAAGATTACGGCTCTTTAATTATTTTATTTAAATATAAAAAACAATGAATTTCATGGGTATGAATCGGCACAAACGCAGGTTTACGAGTTAATGTTATTATTTTAGACAACCACGAGTCTAATTATCACACACAAAGCAGCTTGTGTGTTCAGTCAAGGTGGAAATAATGTCAAGATATCTTAGTTTTAAAAATATATTATAAGCAAATAAAACAGGAAAAACAGAGCTAAGAAATTAAAAGTTAAGAGTACAATCTGATGAAAGCTACAGTAGTTTCTAAAAGAACCTGTCTGGATTTAGTTTTATTCATTTTTTATTTATTTTCGTGTCATGAGTGTGCAGTTGACTTTGAAGAACGGGGGGAACTGACCCAGAAATAATACAAAATGCTGTTATATTAAAGAAATAACAAAAAAACAATACATTATTGTCCAATTTCTCTACTGGAGTGTTTCAAGAAGGATTGATTTCCCTCTAGAAAGCATCACCCAGCATACTTTAATCCCCTAATAGCTACATGAAATGTTCATTCTCGTTCAAACAAGTTTTCAGCACCTTGGACAGCTCACCAACAGACACAAGCACAGCTGGTTTCCTTCAAACAGACAAGAACATTCCCTCTTAAAAATCGTTTTCATAACAGTCCTTGTAGATATTCTAGAATATCAAAAGCTCCCCAGACCTGAATCACAGGATTTGTTGTAAAAAGTGGCATGGGATATTTTCCTCGATCGTGTTTTCAGTGCAGATTGTTTCTATTCTAAGAGATAAAGGAGCAAATCAGGACAGAATGAAACTGGTCATAAAGCTTTTCTGTGATTAATCAAACCCAGGTGTGGTTTAGCCAGCTAGAGCCTTTAGTTGATGATGAAAGCTGCTGCTTTTGCACAACTAACAACAGAAGCAACAGCATGAAGGGCTGGGGTTAGGTGTTTCTGCCGCCACCGCTCAACCCCCACACTGAGCCTCTGAAATAAAAATGGTGTCATGTTACATCATACAGAGAGTGGCGGCTGGTCTGAGAGGCAGGATAGTGAACTGAAGCTGCACAGAAACCTTCACTAGGGTGAATAACGAGTGACGTTTCCCGTTTAAAAAAAAGACTTGAGCAAACAGATGATTTTGAGTGTTATTTTTATTTAAAAAATAGTAGATAACTAACAATTGCACATTTTACATAATTTTCTAAAAGATAAATCACATATTATTGTGACATGGTATTCATTTTTATTATTTATTATTTTACTTTAAAATAATTATTTATTGGATCATTTTTGTTACTTATAACAATCCTGTTATTGTTTTAAACACTTCAAACATTTAAAACCATAATAGTCAAAATGTTCTGAGGAGCAATCATACATTTTTAACAGTTTAATCAAATTCTGCATGTTCAGTGACAGCCTTTGAGGCCAAAACCATTAAATAATTAGATTATGTTACCTAATCTAATATATCTAATCTAATCTGACCTAAGACCATCTAAACAATGTATTTATTGGTCCAAGACAATCACTTTTTAAAAACATTTTCACTATTTTCAGTTAAATTGATTTGTGCTTTTACATGTAATACGGTAGTTCTGGTCCTTTCATGTCATCAAACAAAAGATATATATTATAAATCCTCCATAACTATTCCGAATAAAATCAAGTTTCATGTTTTCAATAAATATCTAGAAGAGAATTTTTATCTGCAGCTTTTAATTTTCTCTTCTTCTTTTTGGATTTTTTTTAGCTTTTCACTTCAACCCCTTACCCCTAATAATCAGACTAGGGTTCAGGGTCCGTTAGGGGTTGGTTAGGTTCAGTTGCAGAAAATACAGTTCAAGCCTACATTCATACTAGCTAGCTAGTTGCACAGAATTCTAATTAGGAGGCGGAGAATTTCTCAAATTAAGACTTTCTATTGGCTCCCTATATCCAAATACAATGTGACAACCAATCACAGTGCAGAATTTCACAAAATCCCACCCCAAACATTTGCATGTGGCACACATGTTAACATGCTGGCCAGAGGAACCTCAGCTAGTGAACTAGTGGCTTCAGTGTGACACTTACATGTATACTTGTGAAGGCGGAACTGCTCACTAGTTAACTAGTGAGGGTACGAATGCCCACAAGTTGACTAGCGAGGTGCAAAATAAGTGTCACTAGATCACTAGTGGGCCCCAAAATGCCCACAAGTTAACTAGTGAGGTGCAGATATGCTCACTAGTTAACTAGTGGGGTGCAGATTTGCTCACTAGTTAACTAGTGCACCCCGAAACGCCCACTAGTTAACTAGTGAGGTGCAAAAAGCATCAGTAGTTAACTAGTGAGGTGCAGATATGCTCAATAGTTAACTAGTGGTCCCCAAAACGCCCACTAATTAACTAGTGAGGGTGTTGCAGACCTTACTAGTTAACTAGTGGCATGCCTGTTTTGCTCACTAGCTAACTAGTTACACCTAAATACACATACAAGCGGATGCCCCGGACAGAGAGTGAAAAGTGGACATGTCTGGGGAAAAGAGGACATATGGTCACCCTAGTTTAATGTAAAGCGGGAGATTACAGATACAGTATTTTGCCCATGCCCTTGCTGCCCTGGGCCCTTTAGAGTTCATGGGCCCCTGGGCAATTACCCAGTTGCCTGTATGGTTAATCCGGCTTTGGTTACGGATTAACGTGTTTCACAGTTTTAAGTGTTTTTTCTGTTGACATGCATACAAAAAGTACGTAAAAGGAAAAATTAAAATAAAACACAAAACTAACATGTGTGAGCTGGGCTTGAACCCACAATCATTACCATCTTAAACCACTAGACCACTAGCTATTAGTCCCATTAACCCCATCGCAAATTCATAGCTTCGAAGCAACAGGTGAGCTGGTCAACTTTATAGCAATATATGTGAAATAGAGCCCTTTTTATTACCGTATTTTAAACTTATCGCTTCCTTACAAATGTAAAACAATATATCCGACGAAGATTTCTGCGGAGTATCTACATTCCCTATCAACAGAAACAGACATGCTGTCTGCCGCTGCCTTCAGACTGCAGGCTTTTTCAGACTAATAACTGAAAAACTAAAGACTGTACATGTTAACTTAACAAAGATTACAGCAAAACACAACTTTCTCGCTGCAAATGTTGTCAAAACATATTTTTATGCTCAAGCAATCTTAGTTTATCAAATTTTCTCTTAGAACAGCCTGAACGGAGTCCACCATACTTCTTCTTCTTCTTCTTCTTCTTTTTCTTCTTCTTCTTCGGGTTTATTGGCGGGTGACAACCAACTCCTAGGTGCATTTCCGCCACCTACTGTGTGGGAGTGTGAGTCGCGATTGGGAGAAACTGGTCTAATTAAAATCTAGTTATGAAATTATGAAAAAATTCAATCAGTAATTTATAAACACCCAATCCTCCAATTAATAAATTCCTTAAATTCAACTCTTCAGTATCTTTCAACTTTAATTGTCTAGATAATATTTTCCTGTTCTGTATATATTTGTCACAGTGACACAATACATGTTCAAACGTTTCTCAATCCTTTCTACAACCAAACATTCTTGTACTATGTTTACCTGTCATAAAGAGAGTACCGTTTAAACCCGTATGCCCCAATTTCTGTCTCAAAATTATCACTTGATTCCTATTACACATTGGAATGGCTTCCATTTTACCCACCCTGTCCCTAGTTTTATACAGATGTCTTCCCATTGCCTCTCTCATCCAATGCTCTTGCTATTTTTTCATAAGAATCTTCTTAACATAGCCTTTAATTTCTGCCATGCTATACAGGATGTCCACCATATCATTCATTCAAGTAGCTTGTTTAGCATAAAAATTCCACCATTTTGTTGCCCTCTACCCCTCCTATGAGCTGGAACCCACATAAACCTAACAACATAATCAATCTTATGTAATCTGAACAAACATTCATATGTTTCATATAAAATATCCCTTCTTGTAGCTGATGACACCGTACTCATTGATGTTAATGCCGACATGGAATCTGAACAAATAATACAATTCCCAATTCTGTTTTGCTCTATCCACTGTAAACTAAAAGAAATAGCTAACATTTCCACTGTGTAAATTGACAAACCATTGGGCGTTCTACTCTGAAATTGTTTTATGTGAGAGGGATTTAGAGCACAGAACTTCATAAACACGTTTGGAATTGACCATAGGAATATTACAACTTTGGAAAAAAGTCAAAACTTTTTCTTTTTGAGTTCATAATTTCTCAACGTTGGAGGATCTTTGTTTAACATCCTGACATTAAAGATGGTGGGCGATATGACAGGCTTTTATTTCCGCCTGGAAAGGATAAAACTGCCATAAAGACGATGTTTTATCACTGTCAAAACCAAACTAATGAATGAAAAAAGTCATGTAGTTTGAGTTTTTAAGGCTAAATGGAGACAGGTGATTCTCCATGGCGACCCCTGAAGGGAAAAGCCAAAAGAGAAAAAAAGAAGTTGCTTAGTTTGAAAAAAATGAGTCCAGAAGCTACAGTATTTGCAAAGTTGCAATTTAAATAAAGGACAAGGTTTTGTTTATTTCTTTATTTCACGATTTTAATATTTCAACAACTTTTTTTATTTTTAACTCTATTTTGACATCTTAAACTTTCCTATAATGAAAACACTAAATTTAAAAAAAGCTAATAATCTGTAACATACAAAGGTTGCACGAGTTTTGTAGTTAACACTTAACTGTCTTACTTCTTATGTGAAAGGTTTCAGACATTAGAGAAGTGCTTCGGACAAATACTGACTGATTGTTTTACTGCTAAAAGGAATCTTAATGTTTGTGTGTGTGTGTGTGTGTGTGTGTGTGTGTGTGTGTGTGTGTGTGTGTGTGTGTGTGTGTGTGTGTGTGTGTGTGTGTGTGTGTGTGTGTTCATCCCCCACCTCACCAGTGGAGATTTAACAGAGGTAGGTGGTGCTGATGGGGGCTTTCGTCGCTCACTTGGAAGGGATTAGTTCAATCAATCAATCAAAGCTTTATTTATATAGCGCCTTCCGCTATATAGTTACATGATGAGAGAGGGGAGTTGGAAAAACATCAGAGTGTTAACAGGAAGAGTGTATAGATTTATTTTTATTCCAGTTTTTAAACAAAATTTGAGCAGAAAAATATTAAAAAGAAAAAAATCAAGTCTGTCTGCAGGGTCTGCCCTCATGTGAGGGATTTCTGTGTCACCGGTTTGAAGAGGGACCTGCTGCTAGGACCATCTGTCTGTTTGAAAAGGCCTCCAAGTGGGAGAAAACACACACACACACACACACACACACACTCACACACACACACACACACACACACACACACACACACACACACACACACACACACACACACACACACACACACACACACACACACGCGCACACACACGCACACACACACGCGCACACATACGCACACACACACATACACACACACACACACACACACACACACACACACACACACACACACACACACACTGAAAAGATTCCCTTTGCAGAACCTAACCAAACACTCAGATAATACTTATGAACTAAGCTCCAGCAGAGTGAGCCCTTTCTATATTTTAATGCAGCAAACTAAGAGCCACAGATCATGAAAACACACACGCGCTTTGTTCGCTCTAAAACTGGAAAATGTTCAGCGTCAGTTACGGAGCATCCAAAGCTTTCATACCCGCAGTCTGGGGAAGTTTGCACCCTTAAATGCAAAAATTAGGCCAATTCAGGTTTTTTTGGAAAAGAAAAAGGAAAAGCTTTATTACAAATTATTCATGAAAACATTTAAGTAATGTGTGAATTCATGTGCAGCATCCTTATTGTTCACGCACCACTAAATGACAGCTGTGCTGTCGGCTGGTTGAACGCTGACACTGAGGTTATATAAGCGACTGAGAGGAAATTTGTGCTAATACATCAAAACAAAACACCTAAAACTGCTTTAACTCCTTAGAAAAGATCAATTCAAGAAACGCATTTAGTTTTTCTGCCCTCTCTTCTACTCACTACTATCATCTGTTTGTGTGTTTCAGGGATTTTCTTCCTCGTGGTTCTGGTATTGTGACCCGCCGTCCTCTGGTTCTGCAGCTGATAAACTCCCCCACAGGTGAACATCAACAAGTCCTCTCTGTATGGCTGTTTTTTAACTTCATAGACGTGAACACTAACTAAAAGTTAAACATGTTCCATTCATAAGAGATTTATTATTAGTAGGATTTTAGGCAACAGGAATCCTGTAATGAGTCTGCATTTGGGATATGAATACCCAGTTTAACTGGTGCATCTTAAATACTGACGATTACAGTTAAAAATAACAATTTTATCAATATTTTGGTGAAAAATGATTTGGCAAATTTCTAAATGTTATCGATCTAAGTTCCTACCCTCACCTATGGTCACGAGCTTTGGGTGGTGACTAAAAGAACGAGAACACAGATACAAGCGGCCAAATTGAGTTTTCTCTGCAGTGTGGCTGGGCTTTCCCTTAGAGATAGGGTGAGTCATCCGGGAGGGACTCGGAGTAGACCCGCTGCTCCTCCACATCAAGAGGAGCCAGTTGAGGTGGCTCGTGCATTTGATTAGGATGCCTCCTGGATGCCTCCATGGTGAGATTTTCAGGTCATGTCCAACCGGGAGGAGACCTAAAGGGAGACCCAGGAAACGTTGGAGGGACTATGTCTCACAACTGGCCAGAGAGGAGCTGCCCCAAATGGCTGGGGAGAGGGAAGTCTGGGCCTCCCTGCGTAGGCTACTACCAACGACCCAACCTCGGATAAGCAGCCGAAAACAAATGGATGGATGGATTTGCTCGACACAATTATGTGATAAAACGACCTTTCTGACATTCACATTAATTTATTACTTTTAAGTCAAGTCAAGAATTGGGTTTCTATACCGCAACAGGTCATCCTTTATTCATTCTGCAAAGCAAACCTTGGTCAAAATGACAATCCTTTCCATCTTGGATTATGGTGACATCATTTACAGGACTGCTTCCAAAAACTTCTTCATAAACTCAAAGTCATTTATCACTCAGCAGTCTGCTTCGTCACTGGTGCCCCTTTCACTACTCATCATAGTGACCTGCACTCACTTGTTAGCTGGCCATCACTCCATTCCCGCAGGATGTTACATTGGTATCAATATAAATACAAAACAATCATCGGTAGAATATCGTCATATCTTTGCTCATCACTTCCAACAACCAGCGCAATTTACATTTAATCTCTATGGTTATTCCTAGGGATGCAACAATACCACTTTTTGCTAAACCGATACGATACCGATACTTGGATCTGAGTACTCGTCGATACCAATTACCGATACTGATACTTGTACCACACAAAAAATGCAATGATTTGGATTACAGATTTTATTTTCTTCTCTGCTTTCAACAGGAAAAGACTGTGAGGTAGATAAACAATAAAATATATGAATAGAAATGATCACAAAACTAAAATATTAGGGGAACAGAAATGACAAGTTACAGTGAAGCCATTTTCAAGCAGCTGCATTGGTATCGGTTCCTGGTATCGATTAACTTTTACCGATACTGGAATTGGTATAGATATCGGCACCGATACCGATACTGGTATCGGTATTGGCATCCCTATTTATTCCCAAAGCTCGCACCTCCTTTGGCTACTCCTCATTCCAGTTTTCTGCTCCCAACGACTGGAATGAGCTGTAAAATTCACTAAAGCTCACTACCTACATCCCATTATCTACCTTCAATAATTCATAGCAATCAATAGTTTCTGATCAATGTGCTTCTGAGTACTTAAATATTGTTTTAAGTCTCTTTTGATTGGTTGTACATATATGAGAACAAGCCTTTGTCTTTATGCCTAATTGCTTTATCATATTTTGATGTTGTTTGTTTTTATCTTATGGGCTTTTGTTGGGTCTTAAGCTAGCTATGTGTCTGTTGCTGCTGCCTCTTGGCCAGATGGTCATCTTAAATGAAGATGAGTTCTCAATCATCTCATCTGGTCAAATAAAGGTTAAATAAATAAAATAAAACAAAAATAAAAGGACCTAAGTAACACGATAATCTAATGCTGTTATGACATTTAGATTAAAAACCAAATGTTTCATCTGTAGGAGGTCAGCTTTAATGTAAATTGTGATTTCAGATTTATAAAGTGTTGTTAAACATGTCTGTGTTTTCAAGGACATGTGTGGCTTTGCAGACGCATTGAATTTCAAATTAAACCAATATCAACTGAAAAATGAAAACCTACTTTTAAAAGCAACTTTGCGGTGATTTGGTCATTCCAGTCAACCCAAATGAAACTCTTCCTCATCCGTCCTCAGTCTTGAATTTTTATGATGCATCTTGCAAACATAATGTAGCAGGAAACACACACCAGGTGAGACACAGCTGGAGTCTTTACGCCCTTTCCTTCAGTGAAATAAAATCCCTCGAATATATTTTCCACTCCGCTCAGCTCTGTAGACCGATGACAACATCCTCTTGTTTCCATAGTTACACAGCTCACGGCCTGCTTAAGAGCATTTCCCCACAGCTCACTCATCGTGTGAATCAAATACTTGCCTTCAGCTAATTTGAGGAAACTAATGGGTAATTTTTCTAAATTAAAGATGTTATCTGAGATTTTCTAGGCAGATCAAAGTTTGTTGTGTTTTCACATAACATAAGAAAGACATTTGTCTTCATAAACCTGCTTTCTTCTGTCCTGTCTAGAACATGCTGAGTTCCTCCACTGTAAGGGGAAGAAGTTCACAGATTTTGACGAGGTTCGTCAGGAGATTGAGGCAGAGACTGATCGTATCACAGGAGCAAATAAAGGCATCTCCCCAGTACCCATCAACCTGCGTGTCTACTCTCCTCACGGTGATTGTTTTACACCTGTATCAGGTGTTTTTAGGGTCTGTGATAGTCCCCTTTGGTAAACAGAGCTTTAATTGAATAGAAAGTTCATTTTACTTTATAGTTTTCCACTTCTCTGTTTTCTCCTCACAGTGTTGAACCTGACGCTGGTGGACCTGCCGGGGATGACGAAGGTTCCTGTTGGCGACCAACCAGCAGACATTGAGTTCCAGATCAGGGAAATGCTTATGCAGTTTGTCACTAAGGAGAACTGCCTGATGCTGGCCGTGTCCCCGGCCAACTCTGATCTGGCCAACTCTGACGCTCTAAAGATTGCCAAAGAGGTCGACCCTCAGGGTGAGTGTGTGTGTGAAGGAACACACACACACACACACACGCACGCACCCATAAACATATTCTAGCTCAAAGTGAATATAAATGTACACAAAGTAATAAAAAAATGTTTTAGGGGATATGAATATGTCATCTACTTGGGTATGTTGTTTTCTTTGCTCCTCCTAAATGTTTTACACTGCATAATTCATTTACAGGCATTAAAAATAACATTGTATTTGTCGTATGCAGGTATGAGGACCATTGGTGTGATCACCAAGCTGGACCTGATGGATGAGGGAACAGATGCTAAAGACATCCTGGAGAACAAGCTGCTTCCTCTTCGAAGGGGTGAGAATGAGAATGTCCCACCCACACACACACACACACGTTTGCACCCTCAGCTCAGTGACACATCGTTTCCCTCTTGTGGTGGTACAGCAGACGTCCTCAGAGCTGGTTCTAAAACTGTTGAGGAAATGTTGGGAGGGAGTGTAACAATGCAGGCCCGAGTAAGAAATCAAACGTAAGAAAAAGTCTAGCAGAGAGCTGGCAGAAAGAGGAGAAACACTCTTGGAAAAGAGCTTGCATGTGTCCTGTGGGTTTTTCTTATTGCTATGTGCTGATACGGTTCTTTTCTTTTCCATTTGTACTTGGTTAGACCCCAGGCATGTGCTCTTGAATATTCGTCATGCCCTTTTTTCTATGTTTTCATATATTTTTTAAACCTTTTCTAACCCCTTTCTTTGTCTAATGCCATAGATGTTCCCAGATTTTCTGTAGTTGTGGGCCATGAACAACCTTAAAGATTGACGCATCAGGAAATTAAATCCTTAACTTAGTTCTTTTTTCCTTTTTCTGTTTGAAGCTAAGCTTAAAAACAAGAACAAACTAATTTCTTCTTCTTTCTCTGCCTTACTCTATTATCTTGGCGTTCATATGCCTGATTCACACAGTGTCATGTTGGGGTTTAAGTGCTTGACCCAAGACATGCAGAATCAACACAAGAGACAAATGTAGAATTAAACAAAGGTTTTATTCATCTGTGCTCAACTAAGGACGTCCCAAACTGGGAGATGCTGGGGTGAGGGGGAGAACTGGACCTGCAAGTAGAGTCCGATTAGTAGGAGGTCTGGTGGTTTGAAGGTGGAGGAGGAGTGGAGGTCTTACTGTGCTGCTGGGGAGATGGTTTGTAAAGAGGTCTGTTAGATCTGAGGAGGCAGGATCCAAGTGTCCAGTGGGGTCGAGGTAAGGGTTCCAGAGGGGGGTGGATGAGCAGTGGTGAACGGGACTGAGGGAAGGAAGATGCAGGCTGAAGAGAGGTCCAGGAGCTTGGCTGAAGGGGTGTAGTCGAGCTGCATCTGGGAAAAACAAGGAGCAGCGTCAAGTAGAAAAATCAAAAATATAACTAGACTAGAGTTTTAGCAGAGACTGAGGGGCAGGAGAGTTTCCAACTGGATATACCCGTGTGGAGTAATCAACCAGCGTTGATTATTGGTCTTCCTCCAGCAGTGGCTGATGATGGATCTGCTGCAGCTGGTCCCATTCAGACACCGCTCACCTGGAATGAATGCTGATGCAGATTAGAGGATGAGCTCACCTCAGCCCATGACACACAGCAGCATTCTTCAAAGCATTAGAGACCACACACGTGGTGATAAAATATCATGAATAGACCAGTTTCGAACCTACAGTGTGCAACAAATCTCTAAACACGTACATGTGACATCAAACAGCCAGCATGTTCATTTGTCCTAGAAAATCAGACAATCCAATGTTTTTGTAAGACCAGATTTATGACATCCTTCTGAGCAGACAAGAGCGCTCGTAACACACCACACACGGTAGGATTATCTGATAAGATTATCTTTAGAGCTGTTATGCTAATTGTGCACATGTTTAAGATTGTTGCGAGGACCGTGGTTTCCCACGGACTAACGTTATTGAACTTCTCTGAAGCAGCTGGATCCTCTTGGAACTGTTCCCTGTATTGGAGCTCATGTATTTAAGAAAAAAGTGCGGCAACATGCCAAGATTCCATTCTCCTTTCTCATATTTTAGGAAGTCACAAGTTGAGTTGGAGCTGGTTTTTCCTCACAGTACATCTGTGGCCTGTGACTTTTGTGTTGTCCAGGTTACATTGGTGTGGTCAACAGAAGCCAGAAGGACATCGATGGGAAGAAAGACATCACTGCTGCTATGGCTGCAGAGAGGAAGTTTTTCCTCACCCATCCTGCGTACCGACACCTCGCTGACCGGATGGGCACGCCGTACCTCCAGAAAGTTCTCAATCAGGTGGGTAAAACTGCACAGACCTTTTCCCACACGATTCCCACTGATGTAAAAGGTGACCTCTAACCTTGACAGCAACTGACCAACCACATCCGAGACACCCTTCCTGGCCTGCGGACCAAGCTACAGAGTCAGCTCCTCTCCATAGAGAAGGAAGTAGAAGAATACAAAAACTTCCGACCTGATGATCCATCTCGTAAAACCAAGGCACTCCTCCAGTGAGTGTATGACAGGAACAGGAAGTTGTAGGTATTGGTTGTGTTTAGTAATGTTGGCATCCCCCTCTATCTGCAGGATGGTGCAGCAGTTCTCTGTGGACTTTGAGAAGTGTATAGAAGGTTCTGGAGACCAGATCGACACAGCTGAGCTGTCAGGTGGAGCCAGGATCAATCGCATCTTCCATGAACGCTTTCCTTTTGAGCTGGTCAAGGTGTGGCTTCCACTTCTAAACCACACATAGATATGCTTACAGTATATCTATTACAGAATAAAACATTTAAAATATGATTTAAAAACATAAACACAAAACTTTCTATGAGTAACATTTTACACACACACAGCAACTTTTTCACATTTTAAAATTAAATTAAATTAAATAAAAAAAAATTTGAGCCAGTATGTGCTAAAATGACTCTTTGCAGGGTTACTGAAATGTCACTCAAACCCCATCGCCCCATGTGGCCAGAATACGGCACTTGCAACTTCAGAGTAGCCGGTTGAGTCCTTGTTGGACTTAGTAGAGCTGACATAAGGATATATTTACTACCATTACTGTAATGCTTTTCCTTTCAGATGGTTCTAAAAAGCACCACCTGGTGCATTAAGTTAATTTTCACCTGCAACAGCAGGAAAACTAAGGGTGGGACTGAAAACATCAATGACAGCTGACTAAATAGCTGTAGTGAGTTAGCATGCAAAGCACCAGGACATTTTCTTAGTGGAACGTGTCCATCATAAATAAACCCACGGATTTCCTGCTATAAATTTACTCGTTTACTGGCCTCAGCACATGACCTTTCTCACTGAAATAATCCTCTTATGCTGTTGCTTCTGACCCTCCCTCTACTCTCCTGTTTCTCCTCACCCAGCATCACTGTCCTCCATCTCAAAAGACTCTTTCCTCTCTCCTCCTCTTTCATGACTGATCTCTTCTCTCTTTCCCAGCCTTCCCTGTCTTGTGTCCTCTCTCGCCCTCCCTCAGAGGGTTTAAAACTTACTGTCTGTGTCCAAGGTTGTAGAAAAATACCCGCTGGGTTTACCAGAACAGACTGCTTCCTAATCAGACAGAAAACACAAAAAGGCTCTGTGTGCATTGGTTGGATATGTTTGAGGTCGATTCATCACTGTGTTTTATGTGTTTATAAGAAGAGAAAAGTTTTGGAATAGAATTTGAAACCTGAAAAAAAAATCGTGACGAATGCGGCATTGCAGTAAATTAAAGGGAGATGCTTGAGCAAAAATATTAAAAACAGATGGTAGGAGAATAATACATGAACTTGGAAGAAGGAGCTTTGAGTTTAGCCAGAATCTACTTGTGTGTGTGTGTGTGTGTGTGTGTGTGTGTGTGTGTGTGTGTGTGTGTGCGCGCGCGCATGTGTGTGTGTATGTGTCTTTAATCCTCTTTGTCTGTTTTCAGATGGAGTTTGATGAGAAAGAGCTCCGAAAGGAAATCAGCTATGCTATCAAGAACATTCACGGCATCAGGCACGTCCGCCCTTCAGCTCACTGCTCTGTCCTCTCATCCCTTCATCTCTTTGTCTCAATTACCACAACCGCATCTAACTTCCTCCCTATAGTTCGAGCCAAGACCTCCACACTAATTGCTCTTCTGCAAGCTAGTATCAAAAATGCACTTAAACAAGGAAATCTAGGGATCAGATACAGATCAGGCAATACTTACTGTACTACTCTTGTGTTTTTTATGTGTTTTGGCTTGTCCATATAGCTGTGCTGGTGTGTGTGTGTGTGTGTGTGTGTGTGTGTGTGTGTGTGTGTGCGTGCGCGCGCGTGTGTGTGTGCGTGTTTGTGGCCGGTTGGTCAGTCTGGTTGGTGAAATCTTGCACTTTCTTGTCTCATTTGTGTGTTAGCTATTCTCTTCCTGTATGTCAAACTGAAAGGCTGAAACATTAGAGCAGATAGGTGGTAGCTCATGTTTAGTGATAACATTTGATTAGGCATTTTCAGGTGAGCACATTAGCCACTTTAGCTAGTGGGTGTGAAGCCACAAGTGCAGGTTTATTGCATTGTTTGTTTATTTTTTTTAAAATAAATAATGAACTTTCATCCTCTGCAAAGCACTCATTTGGATGTTTAAGGGTTTTAGTTTTAACGCTGTTTACCATTTGAAGGTTAAATTCTAAGTTCCTTCAAGTTTTTATAGTCTTTTAACAATTTGTTGAGGCTGGTTCACACAGCAAGGAAATGATGCCAGTTTTTGACCCGATCCTCTGCTTCTGACAATCAGGATACACCCTATTATTGTAATGACTCTAAAGATAGTCTTATCAGATAATCTTGCTGTGTGTGGTGTGTTAAGAGCGCTTTGGTCTGTTCAGAAGGATGTCAGGGCCACTCTCGTCATAAATTGGTGATACTAAACATGTTGGACTGTCTTGGCCCGATTTTGAGGAAGGATAACCAGGCAGCCTGTTGAATACGTAGCCAATCAGAAAGTGAGGCTACAAAAGCATTCTGCCATTTTTGTTTACACCAAAGTCACTTTTGGTCTCAAGAGATTTTGCAAGATTTCTTGTCTGAACGGGGAATGTTCATGTGTGAAATCTGTTTGTGTGTAGTGTTTCGTTTAGCCTCTTTGCAACACAGCACACTGTAGGACCACAACTGGTATGTCCATGATTCTTTATCTCTACTTGTGTGGTCTTTCATGTCTGCGGAATCCTGTTGTGTCAACTGGACTTATGTCTGCTAAATTTTAAAAGTAACATTTATAGGAGTTTACCAACCAGTCTGTAGTTATAACATTGGTTTCTTTGAATCTCCATGCCTTCACCGTCTCTGTTTTAAAATGCGTTTGCTTGTTTATTTGGTGGTAAAGCTATGATATGAAAGGTAAATCTCCACAACTAACATTCTCTTCTCTGCCTCACCCACCTCCCTCCTGTCTCTCTTTCTCCCCTCCCTCCTGTTGTTTTTCGGCCCTGTGGCTGGTTCTCTCTGTGTCGGGCAGAACCGGCCTCTTCACCCCGGACATGGCCTTTGAGACTATTGTGAAAAGGCAGATTGGGAAGATTAAAGAGCCTTGCACCAAATGTGTGGACATGGTCATTTCTGAGCTAGTCATTACAGTTAGGCAGTGTACCAGGAAGGTAAAAACAAAAACCATAAATGGTGATTAGTGTCTTGTCTTTTGCTTTTGACCCCAATGAGTCCCTCAGTTGTTGGCTTCCTTGTGCTGTGACCACCTGATTCTCTCCAGTCCTTGTTGTTGGGGGACACCTGGAGGGGCAGGGTGGGCTGAGGTTGACCTGCCTGCCTGTTGTGCCGCTTTTGGGCGGGTTTGGCTGGACAGGCTGCCGATGGTTGATAGCTGTTCTGTAGCAATCCAGTGTGGAAGCTGAGTGGTCATCAAAATATGATTTCTGATAGAACATAGCAATCTAAAACCCAGATAATTTGTTAAAACAATGTTAACTCAAGGTATACAAGTCATACACTGCAAAAAACTATTTCAACCTTGTTTTTATGTATTTTATCTTACTTTTAGCCTGTAATATTATCAATTTTTTCTTCTTTTGAGTAAAAAAAATCTGCCTATGGAGTAAGCAAAATATGTGTGGCTAGAAATCTTTAAACTACTAAACAAATAAATCTAACTTTAAATTCTTCTACTAGTTTAAAGAATTCTTGCCAAGCAACTTTTGCTCACCCTGTCGGCAGAGTTTTTACTCAAAACAAGAAAATTTGGATTGTTTTCATCTCAAGCGATTTTATTCCGCTAAAACATAAGTGAATAAATAAATAAACAAATGAATAAGAATATGTACCTCAAGTCAAACAGTGCTGTTTTTGCATATAAGAATGTTTTGTATTTTTTACACTAAAATAAGATAAAATGTCCGAAATCAAGGCTTTTTATAAAGGTGCATTATGTAGAAATGAAGTAAAAATTACATCCTGTGGTAATATTTGATTACCGCCACCACTTTAAACAATTCTGGAGCTTTTTGCCAGCCATCATCAAATTACAAATGTCGACGCTGCAGTTTTAGCTTGCAGGAGACACGGCAACCCCACACTCACTGATGCTAAACAGTAGTTACGTTCCCCCTTCATTTGTTTTGAAAGGAGAAAAACTGACAATCCCTGCAGCCAGCTGGATATGAAATATGCTTCATTATAACTTTCCTTCCAAAATGACTGAAATATTCGACTCTTCTGGGATTTTCTCATTGTAAAATTCTCACTGTATTCTTACATAAAGCACCTTTAACTTTCTAAAAAAAGCATTTTTGCAGTGTAAATTAGATTATTGACTCTGATTTTAAAAGCAGAAACATGATTCTTCCTGCAACCATATTGGATGACATCAGTTTCCAAACCTTTCTTGTGTGTGAGACTGCAGTCGCGCACCTGCAGACGGACGGCTCTTAAACATTTGGATCCAGTGTGACTGAATGATTTCAACAGCGGCTGAGCTGCAACAACTGGGAAAGCCTGGGAGGACAACTGTTATGATAAAAGGCATTCAGTGAAAGTCGGAGGAAACGGGGTTTAGGTGGAGATCAGGAGGGGGTGGGGGGTCTGGCTGAGCGTCCAGGTGCACATCTGCAGTCTTTCAGTTTGTTGTTGCTTGAAGTTTTGGCTGGTGAAGTGGAGAAGGCTGGGGGATTCTCTCTATCTCTAACTGTTTCTCTGCTCTTCTCTTTCTGTTCCCTCTTTCGTCGTAGAGAGAGACTCCAGCACAGTCCTGTTTTAGAATGGCTGCAGGGAAAACCAAATATCTCACTTGCACTTTCTTCCTTCTGTCCCTCTAACTCCTCACACCTCCTTTTCATCTATAATCCATCCTCACTTCTGCTCCATCCCCAGTTTACTTCCATCCTTCTCTCCTTATCATTTCTTTAAACTCCTGTGTTTTTTTCCCATCTCATCTCACTTTCATTTATGTCCCTCGGTGCACTCCCTCCCTGTTTATTCTCCTCTCTCTCTCTCTCTCTCTCTCTCTCTCTCTCTCTCTCTCTCTCTCTCTCTCTCTCTCTCTCTCTCTCTCTCTCTCTCTCTCTCTCTCTCTCTCTCTCTCTCTCTCTCTCTCTCTCTCTCTCTCTCTCTCTCTCTCCACCTGCTCATCTCAACAGGACGGGGCTTTTCACCCCTGACCTGGCCTTTGAGGCTATAGTGAAAAAGCAGATCCAAAAGCTGAAGGAGCCCACACTGAAGTGTATAGATATGGTAGTGAGTGAACTCACCTCCACCATACACAAGGGTAGTCAAAAGGTAACTTCCCCCCTGAAAACAAGGGGACACTTTCAGTGTCTGTCTGCGGGTAAGGGTGGACTGAAGGCTGCAGATGGTTTTACTGTAACTGAATTTCATGTTAATCTAAAAAAAAAATTAAGTCAAAGTTAAGATTTTAAATATTGAATTTCACGAATGATAATAACTGCTTGATTAAAGCTCAGTGTTTAATACTTAATGTAAACCTTAGTTTATAATTATACTGATGCCAGTAATAATAACAGTTTGATATAATAAAAAATAAACAAATAAATAATAACATTGATCTCAATAATTTTTGAAAATACTCTCTAAAATTAGTTAACATGTAAATCATGAAGAAATTCATGTTCCTTTGAATACCATTAATTTATTAGAGCAAAAAAGAAACTAAAATATTTTCTTTTTTAATATATATTTTTTTGTTTTTACAATTTTTTCTTCATTTTGTTATTATTAAAAAGATAAACAAATTTTTTACCTAACAGGGATTCAGTGATAAACACATTTATGATTTTTTTTTCACCTTGAGCGACATTAACTACACATTTTATTTATTAAAATGATCATTTACAAAATGAATCTTCATGACATGTCCAAAAGAACAAGTTTTATATCCCAAAATATACACAAAAGAAGGAAAATAGTTTATTGTTTAAATATTAGAATTGTTCAAACTTCTCAAATTAGAGCAGCACGTTGTAAAGCTTCACAAAAATTTTTATCCAACAAGAACTTTAACTATTTGATTTTGTTTCTTGCAAAAGTGAAGAAAATATAAGATCATTCAGCAAATATCAGTCTATCTTTACTCAACTTATTTAGAATTTTAATTAGACTTTTTATTTTATGTCCTTCTGTAAATTATTGATTTTATAAACAATATAAAATGCATGTTAGACATAGTTTTTATCTCATCTCTTGATGTCTTGAAATTATTTAAAATTGTTTGGATTTTAATCATCGAACCTTGTTTCCAAAAAAGCGTGGGCTCTTTATGAATTGACTTTAAAAACAGAAGGTGCTGATTTGAAAATAATTTAAAATAAAAATGAAGGGGAGATCACAAATTAAAATTAAATAACTTAAATTATTTTTTCTGCAATTAAGGAGTCATAAAGCTTTATTGCTCCAATGATTTCTACGTGGGTTGTTCAGTTTAACTTCTGGACCTTTTGTTTGACCTGTAAAGTTAGGCTTTTGTAATAGTTGTTATGCTGAATGTTGCAATGTCTTTAAAATCAGAAACAAGCATCAACACCATCTCGAGTAGCTTTCTTTCAAACACGAAAAACATAAATGGGTCCTATGTAAACAGTTTATTTAACTCATTTCATTTATTCCATTTATAACAGTCAATTTATTTGTATTTAGATCAGGAAAATTTGCTTTATTAGAGTGTTTACCTGACAGCTTGTACCATTATGGATACTGAACTGTGCTGATAGAAGATTCCTTTCTGCAGTTTTTAACCCTTTCATCTGTTCGTTAAACAGTTTAGTCCCTTTCCACGAAACTTAAAAAAAACACAAAAATAATTCCAGAATTTGGAGATGTTTTAATAAAAATAATAAAACATTAAACCTGTACCCTTTAGTACTCGTGTAATAGTGTATGGGAGTATTATCATAGTGGTATTATAGCATAATATTAATATTGACTCAAATGAAGAAGATAAAAAAATGAAAGAAAAAAGGAAAACATAAGACAAAGTAAGGAATAAATTATTTTAAAAGCTTTATATTGTAGGTGAGTTTCTATATAGGTTTACCTGCTCATAAAACTGCAGGAAAAATTTAGCATTTAAAGTCATATTTTTAATTAAATATTTACCTGCATATTTATTGAATACCTTTCGAACTATTGCGCTGTATTTGAATCCGAAATGAAAACAGTCTTGACTTTTTTGGAAACAAAACGTTTACGTTATATTCTGTCTGTATTGTTTCCATATTTGTGTTTTTGTCAGTTTGGTTAAACTTTCTGACTACTGACATCTTCAGAATATTGTTTATTATTATTATTATTATTATTACTATTATTATTATAATAATTATTATTATTACTATTATTATTATTTCTCATTTCATTTCTCTTTCATCCTCTTCACCCTGTAACCCAGCTGCGACCTCCTTTGGATTTTTCTGCTCTGTCACACTTGTGTTTTAACTCTTCTTTCAGAGACAAAACGTCTTTTTAAAGACGCTAACATACAGTGTTAGGGAAAATCCACCGAGGGGTCGGTTTGAAGTCTTCCTCCCTGTCTGTTGTCCTCCTCTCCCTCCCCTTTCTGGCTCTTTGCACTGCATGCTGGCCTGAGTCATCCCGTCCCTCCTCCTGATGCTTGTTTAAGAAAAAACGCTAAGAGCTGATGTATTCCTACCACTGTCAGTGATGTGTTTCTGTGGCAGCTTTAAAAATCACTCAGCACACACAAAATTTGCCAGCCTGTGTCTGCCTCCAAGCTGCAATGCATCGTTCAACTTCCTGTAGTTTTAAATGCGGGTTGCATCCATTTTTCATAAATTCACAAGCTTTAAAAACATTCTCCTAAGTTTCCATTCATAATAGTACAGTAAATTGTTTTTGCAACCGCCAACTGAATGTAGGCAAATCAGTATTAAATGTGCAGCTCCAGAGCACAAATGACAACTCATCCTCATGGCATCCGTTATCCTTAAACCTCTAGTGTGGACCAGAGAGAACACGCTAGAAAAAAAAAAGAAAAACTCACAAGGAAACAGCAGATATTCATGCATAAGATGCATAAACCTTTCCACACTTCTCATATGAGTAACTTCATATCATCAACAGCAGAACAAAGCTCTCACGTGCAACTGCAACATGGGAAGGGTAGAAGAGCATGACACATGCAAACGCCCACAAGTACGACCTTTAAGGCCAGTTCTTTGCCCGACTTATCTGGAAATCCTGACCCATCTTCTGCTCTGTAATTGAACCCGGGAAGCTGTAAAGCAAAATGCAATCCAGAAAGTGGTTTATTGATACCCGCCTCCCCCCCGTAAAAAAACCCCACCAGGCCGGCATGAAAGATGCATTGTAACTTGCACGGAAACAGCAAACATTAGTCTTTCTTTGCTCTGTGATTTTGGTTTTGATTCTGACTTCTTTGCTCACACGTTGTCTAATGTGTTTGTGTCACATTGGCGGCCCACCAAAGTCTGGGTCTGCAATGAGCTCATGGAAAACAGACTTGCAGTGTGCTGGGAAAAGAAAGCTTTCCTGCCAGGAACTGTGTTTACGCTCTGTTTTGATGGTAATATCACAGACTTCGCTCAAATCTTGTTGCTTTTGATCCATCCGGGCAACAAATTTTGAATGTGAAATTCCAGCCTCTGGTCAGGATGAGCAGGGAATAGAGCTGAGTCTGGGATAAACCCCAAATCCCTCAAAACTCAACATGTTTAAATGTTTTCATGTTGTATCGATGCAGTGCTTCAGTGGAATCAGTCATTTAGTGGTTTTCTGAATCTTGTGTGTGTGTGTGTGTTTATTTGCTACCTACCTGCTGGTTCCTGTGCTTACAGCTGGCTCAGTATCCCATGCTGAGAGAAGAGATGGAGAGAATTGTTACTCAGCACATCAGAGACAGAGAAAGTCGCACCAAGGAGCAGGTATTGATTCTCCTCCTCGTTTCTTCAGGCGGTGACAGGAATTTTCACTCTTAAAGGGGGAATGTGCAGAAAATTATTATTGGACTTTGCCTGGAGTTGCACTTTCACACATGCACATCAACTGAAAGATTCTCCAAATGAAAACTGGATATATTGCATCCTGGTAAAGCCAACATGTGGCAGGGCTACATGCAAAAAGCAGTTCAAAGTGTAGCTCACTGGTAGAAAGGGAATTGCAGAAAACCAGAAAAGAGAAATACTATCTGAGCAAACTTTCATCCACCATAAATTCTTTGGAAATACATCAAGGAATTCTTGGTTTGTGGGACAAGTTATTCTCACAGGGCTGAGACACTTGTGCACCATTCCTGCAAACGTGGAAATATATATATATTTTATATCTTCTTTGCATTTTAGTCTTAAAGGTTGAATATGGAACACAAACACCAAAGCGACATCTAGTGTGTGGAGGGTGTAGTTGCAACAATAGAACAAGGGGTGATGGTGGCACAGGAGTTAAGTGCTCGCCCAGTAATCAGAAGGTTGCAGGTTCAAGCCCAGCTCAGTTTGTCGTTGTCGTTGTGCCCTTGGGCAAGACACTTAGCCCCCCTGCTGGTGGTGGTCGGAAGGACCGGTGGCGCCAGTGCTCGGAAGCCTCACCTTTGTCAGTGTGTCCCAGGGCAGCAGTGGCTACATCGTAGCTCATTCCCACCAGAGTGTGAATGTGTGTGTGAATGAGGAAATGACTGGTTGTGTTATAAAGCGCCTTGGGGGGTTCTAGGACTCTAGAAGGCGCTATATTCCAGCCGTCAGGATACCAGGTTCGCTAGAATACATGAAATATTTTATATGGGTCCATTTGTTGTAGGCTTCATCTAAACTCACTCTGGTTTTAGATCTTTTATGGTCACTCCTCTTCTGAGAAGGATAACGACATCTTCTGGGCTCAGAAGCCACTGCTTCATTTGCCGAGCTCGCCATTTTCCACAGCGCCAGCCTCGCCGCGCAGAGGACTGTTTCGCAACCTGCAATGGTGCCCTCTGTTGGTAGATGTAAACATGAACCCAGTGTCTTGCTCGTCAAAATAAATACATGATTTTTTTTAGTAAAATATAGCTTTTAAAGGAAATACTGTACCTTGATTCTGTGCACCTCTAAACACACAGTAGACATATTATTTTTAAAAATATAGCTTTTTATTAAATTGTTCCAAATTCAAAATTTAAAGCATCTTTATGTTTTCTTGATTTGTTCACAAATTATTCACATTTTATATTTTCTGCAAATTTTTTTTACATTTTATTTTCTCTAGTTAGACACAACTAAACATTCATATAGCAGGATTGTTCAATAATCGGCCACATCTGAAAGCATAAGACCAAACACAACCTGAGTTATCTATTTCAGAGACAACTGGAAAGTGTTTGTCTCAGCATCCCTTTTCATGCATTCTCTAGTTTTAGTTCCACAAAGACTAAATTATCACACGCACACACACACACACACACACACACACATGCACGCACGCACGCACGCACACACACACACACACACACACATGCACACACACACACAAAATCTGTATTTAGTCATTCTTGGGCTCTGCCACCAGAAAGGGGGTCACAGGGAGGTCTAGGTTAAGCTTGGTTTATGCTTGACGCGTCCGCGAGGTCCGCACGGCTCCGCACGGAGAAATGGCGTCATTTTAACAACCACGCCCCTCTACCGTGTCTCTGCACGGCCCAAAATTTCCGCAACGCGCACCTAGGAAAATTTCTAACCACGTGGACGGACGGACGCGGAAAAACATGGCGGACCGGCAAGAACTAGTTATGGCAGAGTTCGTAAATACAGACATTTGTATGATTCAGCTCTCAGAGATCACCGTGATCAACATGTTGTTAATAATTCTTGGAGAGAAATAGCTCGCACTGTCGGCAAAGATGAGGACGCTGTTAAAAATGCTGAAATGCCATGTTGTAAACAGTAATTTCTACTTCTACCAATGTGTAGTGCTGGATTCATGCCGTAGAGCTCCATGCTGCCCCGTTCAGTTTGGGAGAATATTGGCTCACCGCAGAGACGAGCCGCACGAACCATAAACGCTGCAAGTTGTGAAGCGCGTTCTGTCCTCGAGCCGCATCACCTCGCAGAAAGTGAATGCGTCAAGCATAAACCAAGCTTAAGCTTGCTGTCAGGGTGGCACTGGCCTCCCCTGGACCTGCCTTTGAATCGCCCCTGCAGAAAGTATCTTTCTAGCATTATGTGAAAATCAAGTTACTGAATACTGTTGCATGAGTTGAGACAAAAGAAAATGTACAAAGTTGGTGAGGTTGTAAAATTTCCATAATCTGATTTGAGTTCAAAATGATAGCATTTTTGTGATATTATAACATTTTTTGATTAATTAATGACTAAATAATCCAAAATCAAACATCCCGGTTAATAACATGCACTTTAGCGTTGCAGGGAGTCAGAGCTCCACATCTAAAGTTTTGACTTTAGATTCTGCTCATTCTTCAGAAATATTCTTTTCTCTTTCCAGGTGCTGCTGCAGATAGACATCGAGTTGTCTTACATGAACACCAACCATGAAGACTTTATTGGATTTGCAAAGTGAGTTTTGAGCAAAAAAGGAAAAATCCCAGCTCACTGTGCAGCTCGCGAGGCTTGTATGTGTTTGCTGATGATTTGTTTGTTGTGCAGTGCTCAGCAGCGGATCAACCAAATGAACAAAAAGAAGACAGCTGGAAACCAGGTAATCAGAAACACACGGCTAGCTGGATTCTCCTCTGGATTCCTTGAGCTGCAGGGTGATGAGGGTTCAGGACTGAACTCAGTCAGTTTTGTTGGACGGCAACCAGACATCTTAATGCACTTTTCCCCCAAAGGCTCATTTCTGTCAGCACTCGGCTCTGCGAAGTTCTTTTCTCTCGTGCTAAACGTGGTACAGCGCCACAGTATTTTGTTTCCAGGGGAAACTTTTTCCTGCAACACACGCCTGTGTAGTTTATCCTGCACGCTAATACACAACAGTTGTGTGATCATACAACAAAAGCCACAGCTCTGTCGGCACAGGAGAAAAAGGCTTGAAAATATCAGAAAACAGAGTCTTCTCTGGGCTTAAATGGAAAAAATGTATCTTGAATTGTATCAAAATCAGGTACTCAGGCATAAAATAAGCAAAGGAAAGAACTTGTTACGACAGCTATGAGGTGTCCAACTTTACTAAACTTCATCTTTACTTTTAAAACACGTTACATCACATAATCGTACTGATTGCAAATGTATAAAACTAAAAGCTCTTGCATGATCTACTCTGAGCCTTTTGGTGCACGTTGACGCCCATTCTGCTGTTTCTGCTTACACATTTTTATTTCTTTTGTAGTCTTACTTCCTGCAAATCCTGTTTTCTTACTATCCATTTTGTTTTGTTTTTTCCCCTCTCTTTTTGTCTTACTTGACCTTGTGGGTTTTCTGCTTCAGGATGAAATCATGGTGAGTAACAAGCTTGTAACCCTTGCATGTCCGTTTCCAACTGTCTGAGCTTACAATTTAAAGACTTTTGTTTCAACTTTTTTTTGTCTTTGGGGAAATAATGGACAGACTGAAACATGAGTTTTTAGAGACTGCGGCTGTACAAATAGATGCTTCGCTGCTTCCCTTTTCCAAACTTTTACATTTTTTTACCTTATAGATTTAGAACACACACACCGACACTGAATGTTTCCACACTGTTTTTCAGCAAAAAATAAAAAAACTAAAACAAATGAATATTTTCTTGTTTGTGACAAAAAAACAACTTTAAGATGCAAGACCTGCAGTGTGCCACACATATGTCACCCCCTTCGTTTTCAGTTGTCATAACAACTAAGAAGGCTTGTGGCCAAAGGTCAGGGTCATAATGTAAACAAAGGGGTGAACCTCACTTCCTGTTTATAAAAGGGTGCTGCTGGCCCTTTAAGACCCCACAACTTCTGTTCGTCTCATTCAGTCTCTTCAGACCAGAAACTTTAAGACTTAAACTTCAAATATGTAGCCTAGAAATAAGAAAACAACTCTAAACCAGCTTTGTTTGTTCATGCATGTTTTCAAAGTGGCAGGAAATTGTCCTAGATGGTGTTTTTGATCATAAACTCTCTGATAGTAAATCTTCTATGATGTATTTATCTTCACTTTAGGTTGTAAAATTAGCACAACTTTTCATGTTTTCTGTCCAAAAATCTCAGTAAAGTAAACTTTTAAGAAGTGAATAAAATAAAGTCAGAAATAGTTCTGCCAACAGTACCAATACATCTAAATATCCCCTTAGATCCATTTTCTGCCTTTTTTATTTTACTGTAAAAACAAGGAATCAAGCATGAATATTGAAAGCACATAAAGATAAGATTGAAAAAGGTCTGAGTGCAGGCTGAACATAAAACTAGTCTCCTACACCTATCTCCTGCATTAGCTACTGATAAAAAATAGACAGTGAAACTCTAGGATTAGAAAATCCTGACAGATCTACATCACACTGTCACTGAACATTAACTCACCCATCTTCACTCACGACGGGTTAGGCTGTTGTTGTTTTAACATCCGGGAATCAGCAGAGGACGCCTAGGCTAATGTAAGCTAACCGTTAGCATTAGCAACTTCACCACATGGCAGAAGCTCCTCCAGGCTTGTATTATTAGTGGAGATAAAACATCAACGGTGCATGTCAGTAGTAGAATCACGTTATTGTTTTTCAGTCTGGGGTGAGATGTCCAAACATCAGGAAATAAGACTCCAAAACCTCTCGTCTGAAGCTCAGCTGTGATGTGGACAACCTTTAGTTTCATGAAATTGTGCGCTACCAAATAAAACCCTTGCTTTCCAGTGCATGATCCATGAGCTACGGGTTGTAGCATCCTTACCCCCCTCGTCTCCCGTCCTGCTTGCTGTCCTCCAGTTTCCATCCCAGCCACAGCCTCTGTGTATTTGACCCTATTCTAACTGCCCTGCGTTAGCTTTGTAACGTTCTCTCCACATTCTCATTCAGCCGGAGAGAGGAGCTAACGATCGGTACAAGGTAAATAACCTGAATATCGTGTCTGCAATGAGATTAAAAGAAAGTGGAGTAGAAAAAAGTATGTTTAGTCATGAGACCTCAGAAGTGTTTTTTATCTCCATTAGAAGAGACACTTTAGGGAGTAGCTGCTTAGGTGGTCATGTTTTTAGGGGTTTATATTCATAGTCTTTTTTGATTGGACTGTTTCTCAGGTGATCAGAAAAGGCTGGCTGACCATCAACAACATCGGCATCATGAAGGGAGGAGCCAAGGAGTATTGGTTCGTCCTCACCGCCGAGTCCCTGTCCTGGTACAAGGACGATGAGGTGTGCTCACACACACACAATAGCTGTCAAACACACACACACACACACACACACACACACACACACACACACACACACACACACACACACACACACTTAATATTATGTAGTTTTATTTTTCTGTGCCTGCAGACGTGTTTCATTTGGGTAAACACTCAGCTGAAGACTCCATAGATCCTATAAAATTATGTGAAACCATTCCAAAACAACTACTGAGATTATTATTCTACACCTTCAGTATATATAGATGTAGGAAAGATTAAAAGTTCAGAATATTCTGGAATATTTTTGTGCCTGCACAACTAACCAGCTGCTTAATGGCTTGTTATTTGGATTCTGACCTTTTTGATGATGAAGGACAAGAGACGAAGAAACATTCTTGAAATATTAAAGAAACGTTTAATTTTCAACTAAGGCGTTTGCCGTAATCATCCTGTCTGAAGCGTACGTACTTGTGTGACCCTGTAAATGTTTCTGAGTTGGGCCATTCTCATCTAAAGTAAGTCTCAAGTTCTTTAAAAAGTATTAAATATGTTTGGTAAACTCATTTTTAACATGTTCATGTTTAGGGGCTGTTTTATCATCAATGTTACTTTATATTACATATTATATATTAAAGTACTTTTACAATGCTTCTTTACTGCTCAATAATCTGAATCTTATTTCAATGCCATCCCTGTTAAAGAAACTGAAATGTTCTGACCCGCCTTGTTCCTCAACCAAACTGATGTCCCAAGATGCTTTGCAGGAGCCTTCAGAGCTCCCTGACTCCAGGCTTTAGCCAGCCACTGTGCATTGATTTAAGTCTCTCTCTCTCTCTCTCTCTCTCTCTCTCTCTCTCTC